ATATTTAATATATAAAACTACCTATTATTAATAAATTTAAAATATTTATAAATTAACTTTAAAAGGTTAAAAAAGTAATACCTATATTTAAATAACTTACTTTTATTTTTATAACTAAAAGATAACTTTAATAAAAGTAAAATAAATTTTAAATATTTTTATTATAAAAATTAAAGTTAAAAATATTATATAAGGAATATAAATAGCTTTAGGAAATAGAAATAATATAATAATAAAGTTTTAAAGTATAAAATAGAAAATATATTTATAAAATTATAAAAGTAAAAAGTTATTAATTAAATTATAATATTAAATATTTATATTTTAGAGCCTCTAACCTCTATAAAATTATAGTAAATATAATAAAATAATAAAATATTATACTTTATTTATTATACTTTTAATATAATAATATTAATATAATTTTCTTTTATTAACTTTTAAAAATACTTTCTTTATAATATAATATTTTTATTATATTATATTAAAGTAAAGAGTTTTATATTTATATAAATTTTCTTTAATATAATTATTAATTTTATAAAAGGTTAATTATTAAAGTTTATAATAAAAATATTTATTAATATATTTTTATACTTTAATTATATAATTAAGTATTCTATTTTATAATTCTTTTTAATTTTATTACTTAGTTATTATTTTTTATTAAGTAATTTAAACTTAAAGTTCCTTAATTTATAATAGTATTTATTTTTTATAATTAATTAAACAAATATAATAATTTATTTAAATTTACTATTATTTTTATCTATTTAATTAAATTATAATTAATAATCTCTTTAATTTTAAAATTTTATTTATACCTTAATATATTATTTAATTAAATATAGCTTATTATATATATTTTTTAATTTAAAATTCTATTAAATTAATTTATACTTCCTTTTATTAAATTTATTAATTAATATTTTTATATTTTAATCTTTATACTACTTTTAATATTCTTATTTATATATTTTAATAAATAATTTAATTTAACTTTTATATATTTTTAATTTAAAAATATTTTATAATTTATTTATAAAAATAGATAATAATAAAGTATTTTAATTATAATATATTAAAAATAATAATATAAGTATATTAAATTATAAATAATTATAAAATATATAATAAATAGATAAATATATTAAATAGGTTTAATAAAAATATTAAAAAAATATAAGTTATATTTTAATTAATATATATATTTTCTATATTTAATTAGAAATTAACTTTTAGTTAAGTAAATAATAAGGTAATATTAATTTTAAAAGCTTTTAATTAATAAAATAAAATTTAAATTTAAATAATTTAAAAGATAATATTAAGTTTATTATAAAGATATTAAAAGGGTTTAATAATAGATTTATTATTAAGTTAGTTAAGAAGGTAATATAACTAGATATATTTATTAATTATATTTAAATTAATAATAAAGTTTATATTTTTATAATTAATTTTAAATAGTTTTTAATTAGTAAGATAAAATTTAAAATTAATTAATTTAAAGGAGATAATATTAAATTTATTATAAAGAGATTAGAAAAACTTAATAATAAATTTATTATTAAGTAGGTTAAAAAGTAGTATAGTTAGATATATTTATTAATTATATTTAAATTAATTATAAAGTTTATATTTCTTATAACTAACTACTTTTTTTATAACTTTATTTTATTTAATATTTACTTAATAATAATAAATATAGTATTAAATTTATATATATAATAGTTTATTTTACTTTTAAATTTATTTTTAGTTATTTAATCTTTTATTTTATAAAGGATATAATTAAAGTATTAGATAAATCTTATTTAATTATAATAAGTCCCTTATTAAAATAATTTTAAGAAATTTAGTTAATAATAAACTTTAATAGTAATATTAATATATATAATAGTTAAATATTATTTATTAAATAAAAAATATAATAGTAGAAAGTTTCTATTTAAAGAATATATTTTTAATAAAAACTCCTTTTAGAACCTTTAACTTTTAAATAATTAATTTATTAAAGTAAAAGTAAATTATAACTTTTAATAAGTAGAAGTTTAGAGGTAGTTTACTTTTACTTAATAGGTATTATTATATATTTAATTATAAATAGTAATAATTAAGTATATAAAGGGGTTTAGAAATAATTTATTATAATTAATAGTTTTATAAAAGTATAAGGTATTAAGTTATTAAATTTAATTAGTATTAATATAAATAAAAGTTAGTTATTAAAAATATATTATTAACTTTTATTATAATATAAACTTTATAAATATATAGGTAATTTATAATATATTAAAAGCTTCTATATAAAAGGTAAGTTAACTTTTAACCTTTATATTATAATAGTTTTTATAATAATTTTATTATAAATTAAAATTATTAATAATAAATAGTAAAAGTATTAATAAGTTATATTAACCTTTTAATAGTTATTATAGTCTCTTTAATTAAAATATCTTTAAACCTTTAAAATAATATAATTAAAAGTAAAAAAATATTTATTATTATTATATATATATACTTCTAATAATTAAGCTATATTTTAAGTAATAATAAAGATTTTATAGTTAATATATAAAGTATATTAAAATATATTATATTTAAAAGAATATTTAATAGATATTTTAATAATAAAAGTTATTAAATTATTATATTTAAATATAGTTAACTATTTCTTACTTTTAAATATTATTATTTACTTTTATTAAAGTTATTCTATAGATAGAATATATCTATTATATATATAGTATTAATAATTTTAAAAACTTTTAATTTCTTTAAATATTTTATTATTAAAATATATCTATATTTATAAATATTCTTTTAAATACCTTTATTAAATACTATTAATATATAATAATTTAAATATTTAAATATATTTTATATATAATATTACTTTTAGTAAATTTTATATTTATTAATTAAGGATTATAGGTAATATTAAGCTTTTAAATTATAAAGGATTTAAATATAATTAATAGTTTTAACTTATTAATAAAAGTTAAAAATAAATATAAAGATAATATTTAAATATTATATTAATAATATAAATAAATAAAGGTTATATTAATTAATATTAAATATAAAATTTATAAGGAATAATAAATTATTAAAGTTATAAAATTTAACTATTTTAATTAAAAATATAATATATTAAATATAATATTTATTATTTATATAAAAATTAATAAAATAATAATTCTTAATTAAAGTATTAAAAATATTTAATAGATAATTAACCTTTAAAAATTTAATTATTAAAAACTTTTATTAATTATTAATATTTTTAAATATAATTTATTTATAAAATAATATATAATAAATTAATAACTTTTAATTTATTTAAAATTAGTTTATAAAGATATTATATTATTTTTAATAATATAATCAAAGTATTATTTTATAAATATATATTTATTAAATAATTTAAATAGTAAATAATTATATAAATTATTTATTTTAATAATTTAAAAGAAATTTAAATATATTAAATATAAAATAAATAATTAGAGTATAAATTAGGAATATTTATTTAATACTTATTTATTCTTTTTAATTATAAATTAAAAGAATAATTTATTTTATATAAAATAAATAACCTTTTAAACTTTTATATTTATTTTAATTATATTTTTAAACTATTTTAGTATTTTTTAATATTTTTAAATATAAGCTTAATTTTTAAGATAGTATTTTTATTACTATTTAAAATATATTAAATAATAATTTTATATTATAATAAATTATTTTAAAAGTAACTAATAAATATTATATATTTATAATATTTAATTTAAAGATTAAGCTTAATTTAAAGATGATAATTATTAGAATTCTTATAGATATTTTTATAGGATTATAGTTATTAAATTAAGTTTTAAGTAGTAGATATTAAAGTTATTTAATAAAATTAGTTAATATATTATAATATTAAATAATAAAGTAAAGTTTTCTTTAAAATTAGTAATTATATATTATAAGTATAATTTAATATATTAATTTATTAAATTTTAAAGTATTTATAATAATATATAGGTATTTATTATTTATAATATAATAGAATAAGGAGGTAGAGGGTAAGAGGAGATTTAGAAATTATTAAGATTAAATTAAATTATATTATTATAAGGAGGTAAGTATTAATATTTAAATAAAATAGGTAGGTAGGTAATAAATAAGATTTTTATAATAAAGTAATAATAAAATTAAAATAATATAAAATAGTATATAATAATTAAGTAAATAGATAGTAATTATTTTAAATTTTTATTTAATATTTATTATTAGCCTAAAAAATATAAATTAAATATATTATGTGTTAAATATTGGGGTTAATGTGGGGTAGGCTTAATAGTTATATAGAATTATATAGGTTTTATATATAAAACCTTATACTAGATAAGTAAATGGTGGGAATTAGGTGAGTAAATATAATTACTAGGTGAGTGGATATTAGCTTACTTTATTACCTATTAAGTAAACTTTTAATTATTATTAATATATATTATTTTAATAAACTACTTTTTATATATAAATTAAGTTAAAAATTATATAAATTACTATTTATTAAAATATATTAAAGAAGATTTATAAAGTAAGTTTTAGAAAAGTTTAATTAAAAGAAGATTATAAAGTAATAAAATTTTTAATTAATAATCTATTTATAGAATATTATTAAAACTATAAGTTAAATACTTATAAGACTAACTAATAGGTTTATATACTCTACTTATTTTATTAGTTTAAATAACCTCTATACCTCTTATAATATAAGATTATAGCTTCACTACTTCCCTTATACTATTCCTTAAATAACTTTAGTTTTAAATTAATAATTCTTTATAGATAATTTAAGCCTTCTTTTACTATAAGTTATAAGGACCGTCTTATTAAATATAACTCTATTATATATTAAAATATTAAAAATTCTACTAGCTATTACTTTTAAGATAGTAAGAAAGAACTACTTAAAACTGTATAAGAAATTTAGTATTAGTAAGTATATACCGCAACTATCTCGGCTTTAGCTATATTTTATGAGGAGGTCTGCCTAAAGAAGAAACGATAGAAGACAGGGTACATAGGTCGTGACATGTTATCCAACCGGACCGGTGCTATGAAGGTGCCTCTACTTTGCCACAGATTGTTCAAGAAAACTGATCGCTTTCCGGAGAGACTCTACAGCAGCCACCCCATCAGGATTCGAGGTCTCAATGTCAACGACACCTGCCCTCGCGTCGAAACCGTGCTGCGCTTCACTTGGGAATTCTGTCAAGATGTTTACTCCAGATGCTTTCAACTTCTCAGCGGCTGCAGTACTACAGTCAAGTGGCACAGCTGTGTCATCCACGCCATGAAGTAACATGACCGGTGGGAGGCCGGCCAGGTTACCAAAGTCGAGCGGAAACAAACGCATGTGTTCTGTCGGAATTGCTGTAACCCCTTGGGCAGCAATCTGGCGAGCAAGGCCAGGGACACCAGTCATATAGTCAGGAAATAGGGCATCGATGTGCAGTGCCGAGATAAGAGCAAACCTCGGGTCAGTAGCCGGATTGGTGATTGGGTACGCTGAGACAGGCTTCTTTTCGCCGCTTCCGGCCTCGCTCATCGGCCATGCTTCCAAGATAGGTCCAGTCTCGACGAGTGGTTGCCCCATGATATTCATGCCGGGAGTTGTGTACCGAGCCCCAGAAGGATTAAGCATCCCGTAGATGAGCAGCAGAGCGTCGGGCTTCTTGACAGCCGACACGGCTGTGTTGAGAGCCAAGTACGCCCCGGCGCTCGATCCGGCCAACAGAACTGAGCGGATGGGGCGTCCCAGCTTTTCTGGAAGCGACGAGTAGACCCATTGGTAGACCTTCGCGGCATCGTCGATAGCGTCATGTGCGGTGGATTCGGGCATCAAGCGGTAGTCAGGGGTGACAAAGACCCATCCTCTTGAGGCGCAGGCGTGTACGAGCCAGTATGGCAAGAATGTATAGCGGTCTCCAACGATCTGCATAAAATTCAGCCTCGTTATCCGCGCCCGGGGCGGTTAGGCTTCATGCGGTAGAGTAGAGCAGGAATGGACAGATACTCACGAGGAAGCCGCCATGATAGTGCAACAGGACGACGGCGGGAGACCCATCCGACTTCTCAGGATACACGACGTCGGCATTGATGGTTGCGTGGGACGTGACGCTGAAGGCCACCGTCTGCGACGTGTACCCGGTGAAGGCCTCTAGTGGGAAAGATGATGACATGTTGCTAGACTGGCTGGGATGGTGGCTACTTAAGTAGAGGGTGAAGGCGAAGACCTAGGAGAAATGACGTTCAGAGAGCGTGGTCATAGACGGGCTGACGGATGAGTGCCCAAAACGTTTGGCTGCACAGAGCCTGCCTCCTCTTTTATGCTCGGTTAAACATGGGTTCCTAGGCGGAATTTGCATGAAGTGGCTTGCTTGATCAGTGTAACCACAATATAATAGACTAGCTGCCAGTGGATGTGACCGAACCCTTGCGTTCGGAGGGAATGCGGGGGTTTGCATCCGGCGTTTCGTATGTGAGCGGCCACCTAGACAGTGAACGTCGCCCCAACGACTCCATTTCAGTATAAAGGATACTGACAATGGATTCCGATCTGCGCCTGGTTGGATTCTGTTCTACCTCAATCATTTCTTGGTGCTGCAACTCCTGCTGCTTGTGCTGGTGATGGGCGCTTGGTTGGATTCGGCGGCTGGTCCCAAATGCCAGCTGTCCGATGAGGTGACCACGTCCTACCGAGACTACCTGAGTACTTAAGTACCTAGGTAGACTTCCAAGCATACCAGAAGATCGATTCATTACGTGAGGTAGTAATTCACGTCTTCTTTACCACGCCCAGTACTTGCGACCTCAGTGAGCTTAATGAAGCATTTCAATAATGTTTCAAACCATGGCCTTGAATGATAATCACCTCTGTACTGAGTAGTACACGATCAGCCCCTGCAGCGGTCAACACACTGAGAATAGGCTACCCTAGGGTAGGGTGAGTGACACACCACTGAGCACCACAACAGCTCATTGCTACGATTACTATTTGCGCGAACAACCCCAACACTGAGACGCAGTCGCTCGACGCCTTTGAAGTCGACCGAATGCCCCCTTCCCGACGCTCATAAAAGTTCTTGTACGACAGCCTGGCCTGGTTGGAACCAAACCCGTGTTTTTTGGTTCCTCAGGGCGGATTGATGTCATGACAGAACTATCCCGGGGAACTTGAGGAAGTTGCAGAGTAAATTGAGTAGCAGGTGAGAGACCCGTGCAAGTGGATGTGCTCCTCCTTGAGGCACTACCAGTGTTGAACCCCTTTTTGTCTACCCCGTGGCTCAAGGAATAACATGGTTCACAATCTCTATGTGCCGACAGTTAACTAATCAATGCTACACGTGGAATCAACTGGGTGGTTCTCAGAAAATCTTCCACCCAGCCGGGACGATTACTCGGGCGTTCAAGACGATGATGAGCCACCGTGAATGTAAAATGCACTTTCCTCTTGCCATAGTATCGCAACCAGTAATAGATGCGTGAGCAGGCCGTACCTGCCGTGAATGCAGCGATACGCGTCCTGTGTCCCGGAGTAAACAAAACTTCTCGTCCGGCACTGGCTGGTGAACTTCGTATCTCTCTTCCTCTCTCTTCTCTCCAGGCCGACGAGAGTTGTTTTTCTCCGTCGTTTTTGGCAGTCTTCAGTTTTTTAAATTATTTTTTTCAATAATTACGTAATCCGACCCTCGCCGTCTGCCGAGATGAATCTAACGGCAGACATCATCATCGTCACGTTGTTCGCCATCGCGATCCTCGCGGTCGTGGCAGCCTGGGGCAGCTGCCTTACCGGCTGCTGGAACGCTTGTGATGTCGGCGGCGAAGACACCGACGACGACGAGAACCACGATGATGAACAAGAGAAACACCCGCGAAATCGTCTCGTCTTGCCAAGATGCGGCTGACGGCGAACGCCATCATCGTGGAGGCTTTTGCCCTCCTCATCCTCACCGTCGTGGCCGCTTGGGGCTCTTGCCTCAGCAGCATCTGGACGGCTCGGGAATCCGGCGGCGACGACGCTGACGACAACGAGAACTACGAAGAGGAACAGAAGGAGTTCCCCGAAACTCACCTTGTCCTGCCGAGATGTATATCTCGGCAGATACCATCATCATCGGAGCGTTTACGCTCTCCATTCCCGCGGTGATCGCCTCTTGGGGCATTTGCCTCACCGGATGCTTGAACTTTCGGGATATTCGGCGTAAGTGAGGGCCTTTTGTTTACTTTTTCTTCAGGACGAACTGACGTGAATCTCCCCAGTCGCCAACCGACAACAATCCACGGTGGGAAGACCAGAAAAACCCCCAGTACGATTTTCGATGAACTCGCTCGATTTCTCCGCGGCGACGAGACGACGACGACGACGACAAGCACCACAGGGGGCACCTCGACACTCACGTTGCCCTGCCGAAATGTATTTCACGACGCACACCATGATTGTCGGCTGCTATTCTCTTTTTCGCCGGCCTTGTTCTGGCCACGACGTGCTTACAGTTTCTTCCCATTTACTTTCGAGCCACCCAATCTCCCCTCCCCCTGTTTGAACTAATTCGACACCAAAACAGTATCACCCAAAATTCAACCCATCTCTCTCTCTCAATGGATCCTCCATCCAAGCTATCTCGAGACGATCGCGTCAAGTGCGATGAGCAGGCAATCAGCCGTGCACAACCTGCATACAAGCTGCGCTCCAAGATCCACTGCCCAAATGCCGGCTCCTCTTTTGAGCGTGTCGTCCTCGCCACCATCAAAATCAGCGGCCCGGAGCTTGCATCTGCCGTGATCGTTTTGGCGAGTGTGCCACGGCACGACGTCCTTTGACTTTCCGTCCATGTCAGTTGTACCTACTTGCCGGCGTTGACCGGGACGTGGTCGAGCTGATGGGAGAAAAGGCCTAAGCCTGTGATGATGTCGGCAACGATGACAAGGACTGCATAGATAGTCTTCAAAAATAAACAAGGAAGAGATAAATTTACCAGAAATCTGGTCATATCTCAAGATTTCCACGGCTTTCGAGAAGGCAATTGCCGAACTTAGAACTCGAAGGGGCGGCTTCGCTGGTAGCATGCATCCAGCAGTATCAAGACTCTAATTCAGAGCTTGAATACAGCAAGCTTGTGAGATAATGCAATACTAAGATATTTTCAAGATCTCGACCTGCTGTCTCCTATAGAATCATAATCGTCGTCCACCAAGGCCTGCCCAACATTGAGAAAGCATGCATCCAGTATATCATTACTAAGAGATCGGGGATTCATACCCATAGAAATAGAGAGTACATCCAAGCCCTAGGGAACAACATCTTATAAGATAGCCTCTTATAGGATAACCTCATATGGGAAAACCTCCTATAGGATAATTAGTTTGGGTGTGCCCTCTGCTTTTGCGGGTGTGGATCCCCGATCTTATCCCTAATGCGATGTTGTTTTGACACTGGTTTCAGACCCCTGACTTCCTTCCATCAGAGCCACCCCTGAACACATTCTGTCTTATGAATTTAAGCCAGAAAGCTGAGAAAGACGAGCAATATTTCCAACTCCCTTCTTCGTCATCTTCGCGAGCTTCTGCGCTGATTGGTTGCGCCATGCCCAGAAGCTCACAGCCATTAGCATAATGAATCCCAGAAGAGTGACGAGTGATAGACGACTTTTTTGGGTGATACGCTTCTTCTGGAACCGCACTTATCTACTAGGCCAGAAATTGTACTTTGATGGCGGAGTTCGCGCTATCTAGTATTGGACACTGGAGTTCACGTCGTCACGCTGATCCTGGGATTCCAGTGATCAGTGCAAACGCTCATGAATTATATTTGGCACCTCAGAGTTTGTGTCTTAAGCGATGCCCACAGCTTTTGCGTCGCAGCTGCTTCAAACTTTCGCCAAGACAAATCTGATCGGCTGGCAACAGATGTGAATCCGTTTCAATCATCGCTGGGTCGTGCACTGCTTGTATGGACAGTCAGAAACAGATTGAAGTGGCCGTAGGCTTCAATCCAAGGTGATTTGATCATTCCTGGGTGGATGGCTGCCGACTCGACGGTCTCTGCGCTGCCAGTGGTGCTGGGCGTAGAGGAGCCTCATTAGTAGCAATTTGTATTTTCATCAGAGCAGAACATTCCCCTTCAATTTGGTGATTCATTACTGAAATTTCTGTCAGATATTTCACCCATGTAATCCTCATGATCTCCCTAGCTGAGCAACTAGCTTTATACTGTCCAGACCACCTACCGCGCTGTTCACACACCAGCTTTACAGTGTGGGCTAATTGGCAGCGCTGTGATTTGACCTCATGTCGTAAAATTGTGAGAGAATGTTTTGGTGTGCCAGAAATCAATCTTAACAGCAAAGCTAAGCAGACGGTGCATGCACTAGTAGGCGATTGGCCATTGTTCAGTTGAACCTTTTTCCCCTTCGCCTTGCGAGCCTGTTCTACTGGAGGGACACGTATCATGTTCCCAAAAGTATGGCCTTGTTTTATACTGATTATGTTTCGTCCCCAAATTCTTATAAGTACTCTTCTGAGCGGAACTGGTAGGGTAGTTCTCCGTCTTGAATTGTGAATGCTTCCGTTGAGTACGAGATTATTACCAAGGAGGCCGTAAAGGTCTGCCAATGTTGAAAAGTGGCCATACGGCTTCCTCTTTAAATGCTTATCTATATTAAATCGATTGGAATGCGCACGTGAATTATATTACACGCGTTCTCGTAACTAAAAGCGGCCATTTGAGCCGTCCCGGCCTTAATACCTACTTAGCGGCGGTGCGTAGTCGCGTGTTTGGAGCGTCCCCAAGTTGAATTGCACGCCTTCTACAGTATTAGCATTGAGGCAGTTCCTTGGAAATTTGAGCTAGTTGCTGTCCGAGAGAGACTAGGAGTATCATGGCCGACTCAGAAATTGTTTAAATGCTCCCGCAAACTCTCCCTTGCCATCTCCGGTGTGCTCATCTTCTATCCTTTGCAACTTCTACCTCGAACTCAAGTTCCTCATTCTCCACACACCGGAAAAACCTGTCTCCCAAGAAAATTCAACGACCTTGTTTACAAGATGAGACCAGCAATCATCCTTTTTGTTGCGGCAGCGGCTGCTGCTGTGATCAAGAAGCCAGCCCCCTCCATGCCAGACAACGACTCGGACCTCCTGTCGACAGAGCACGATGATCTCTCAAAGCGGGGCGATGAGAAATGTGGATGCGACAAGAAGAGGCAGTGGGATTCTATGTGTCTGTGTGATCAGACAAACCCTTTTGGCTTCATCTGGTGCATCAAGATGCCAAGCTGCAAGGACTGTGGCATTCACTGTGAGGGCATGTTTTGTCCGTAAATAGGGTGTCAGAGGCAGGTCCGAAGTCAGGTATTTATTTTTACAAGATATCTGAAATTAGTTAAAGAATCCATACTTACACATTTGACTATAGGAGAGACATTGATGGCGCAAATAGATTCCACTCTCACTAGGCGTTGCTTACTCATGGCGGCTATATGACAGGTAAATGGACACTAGAGCTTAGAGCACCAGCTGACAGAGTTGGTCACTGGACCCAAGCCCCAACACACTTTGGATATTACTGTTGTCCCTTGCCGTTATTTCGTGTGTATCACAATGCTCCTGTTCGAGAGTTTCGGAGTTGGCGGTGATTAGTTCCAAGAAATGAAGTCCTCCGCAATTGCATTTAGACGTAGATATTGATGGTTGAGAATTGCGAAAACGTCATTGTAGAGTCTCACTTTTTGCTGCCTCCGTAAGCTCATGAGGGACAAAACTTCGTCCTTTTTGCTGTCCATTTTTCCGTTGTGCCCCCTGCGAAGTGTGTCGCAGCTCATATCCACTGCTCCTATTCCCATCTAATAGGTCCAAATCTAACGACGACGATTTACTGTGGCAAGGTGAAATCTGCTGACGTTTCTAAGACGCGGCCCATATCTGTAGAAAAGCCACGGTAGGGGGGCCATGGCCATTGCTAAAAATCCTAGGAGGCTCGTGGCCCAGGGCGTACCCATCTTCCCGTACATGTCCTGGGCGAAGATTGCGAACACTGCGCCGAAGAGCGATCTTAGCAGGGTATTTGCAGCTAGGGCACTCGTGCTGTACTCAGCATAGCAGTCGGTCAAGTATCCCGTGATGCCAAGGAACAGCATGACCAACCCAAAGCCGAAAGGGACACCCGCTGCAATGCTCCATGCCCACGGAGTCGGAGGCAGCGCGGTCCAACCGAACCACAGTAACCCGAGTGGAAGGAACCATGAAATTATGACAAGATGCGGGAGACGCGCTTCCGGCTGTGGAGACGCGGGGCCACCGAGCTTGAGGACGTAACGAGCATGTATCCGGTCTACCAAAGGCGATAGCAAGGCCGCAATAGCCATACCCAGGCCGATGCCAAGGAACGATAAGCCGGAGATGCCGAGAGACCAGCCACGGGCCCTCTGAAAGACAATTGGATAGGCTGTGAAGTCCAGGAAGAGGACGCCATAAATGAAGGCCATGTAGAGTGACAATGAGATGAGAATTGGCTCAGTGAAGAGCATGATCCATGGTCTCGTGAGGCTGACAGAGAACCTCTGCTTCAGGGGTTCGCGGGCTTGAGCTTCAACTCCGAGCCGAGGTTGGTGACCTCGCCTTGTTTTGTGATCGAGCAGCTTTGGTGGGTAGGTTTCAGGCAAGAGGAAGACAGTGAGGAGGTAGATTGCGGAGGACACGATCAACACCAGCCAGAAGTTCCATCTCCACGATACATACTGTGTCAGGAACCCACCAACAATGGGTGCTAGTACGGGACCGCAATAACTGGCGACTGTAAAGAATGCGAAAGGCACTGAGCGATGTGAATCTGGCCAGAGATCCACAATCGAGCCTCCAGAGTTCGCAACACTAGGTGACCCGAAGAAACCAGCGATGAAGCGGAAGACGAGCAGAGCTGCTATGTTTGGCGATAGTGCACATCCTAGATTTGCCAAGCAGAATACAAGAAACGTCGATCGGTAAATAGGATTTCGGCCACTGGAAGAGATTGCGTAAGTTAGATGCTAGTTACGACAGCCTCACAACTCAGGTAACATACAGGAGCTCGGCTAGAGGAGCGAAGAAAAATGGCCCGAAGCCGAATCCCACAAGATAAGTTGTACCACCAAGTGTTGAGACTAGCATTGACGTATTCAAGTCCTTGCTAATGGCGCGAATGGCAGGCGTATGGACACTCGAGCTAAAGCTGACAATGCCGGCAATCCCGACAACAATGCTTGTGTACAAAACTAGGACGAGGTTTGAGGTCTGTCAGCCCCGATGAGAGAGGATACTTGACAAATTTTCTCTCCATCTGGTCACATACCTTTGCAGAAGCGGGACCAATTTATCGGATCTTCTTCCCCTTCCAGCTTTGAGAGTAGGCTGTCGGGCTCAGAGCTGTATTCATTCTGAGTGCTCGGGGGAACCGGGGCCTCCGCGAAGTCTGACTTTTCCATTGGACTAATGAGAAATATCAGGAGCTTCGCTACGAATTTACGGTCAGTAAAAATCATATGTAGTACGAGTAAAGCGGCGGTTTTATTGTTTCGTGACGGGGAATCATTGGCGAGGCTAAGGCTGTGATGTCATCATGTCAAACCAACAAATTGCAAGGAAAAGTTGGCCAACAATTTACCCGGGCCAAAAATGTCTATAGCCTCATTTGAAGCAGTCAGCATGCCCAAGCCGCAAGTTGCATGTTACACAACGGGGTAGCTGCCCGGTTTTTCTACGCTCTAGACCACCGAAAATATGGTTGGGAATGTGGCGTGATGAATCCTGCGGATTGTGCGAAAACTTTAAAATTGCCGCCCATGCTAGATGTGTATATAACTATCGCGCAACGGTCAGCACGCTCAGCGCTTATTACCAAATACTATGCACTGTGCCACAGGCTAATCAAGTTTAAGCATAGTTCGCGAGTAAACACAGAGATGTGAGAATGCATTCAGATGTAGCTCAACATTTCGTTTGGTTTGTTTAGTTGCGATGATTTGTTGATCTTCTACTGCTTCCGTGAGAAAAGGAAGGTAGCTCGATCGCGGCGGATTCACATAATTTGTGAATATACGAAGGATTCCATTGCTAAAGACAACTCATGACGTCTTGATTCTGGCAGCACGGAGTTGTCCATCGTGGCGTCGTCTTGGAGTCTTCGGTGATCCAGGCGGATTCTGCAGCCAGGGTGGACTGCAGTCTGTTCTCGATGTGAGAGAATGCAAGGCTCTGGGTATCCCGTCATCGCCTTCGAGCTCCCTTCCAAAATTCTGGCTGCATATGCATTGCCCTTTTGAGACTGAATGGTGTCATTCTGCGACTAAGATCGGGCTAATGATCAGTCAGTACGTGAACTGGCGCAGGAAGAATTTCACGACAGCTTCCGAGGCCAATTCAGGCTCGGTCACGTCATGGCGAGAGCAAAGATGTATAAATGGATGGAGGTGGACATATAATGCTCCCTGGATAATCATGCCAAAGACATCATTATCACATCTTCTATTACCCAAAAGTATCACAGCATATTCCTACAAACTTTACCATGCGCACTCTAGAAGTTGGCATCGTTGGCGGTGGCATTGCTGGTCTTTACACTGCACTCCTTCTTCAACAACAAGGTCATTCGGTTACCGTGTTCGAGGCCAAAAGCAGGCTCGGAGGTAGAATCTACACACATCATTTCAAGACGGAAGATGTTGGCCACCTCGCCTTCTTCGAAGCTGGGGCGATGCGCATTCCCCTTTCCCCCCTTCACGCCTGCGTCTTCGAATTCGTTCGATACCTCAACGAACAGAACGCCGTGCAAGACAAGGTCGAGTTCATCCCGTACGTTCTGCAGCACATAAATAACAAGGTTCACCTACAAGGGCGCGTGTGGGACGCTACCGACAGATCGCTGGCTGCGTGGATGGAATTGCCAGAGAAGTTTCATAACAAGACAGCAGGGGAGATGCTGCGAGTTGTCATGAGCCCTTGGATCGCGCTTCTAAATGACGACTTCGAGCGCGGCATGGTCGAGGTTCTTCGGTATGACGAACTCACGTTTAGACAATACCTCCGAGAAGAGGCAAAATGGCCGCACCAGGTCATTGACTTCGTCGAGCTCATCATGAGTCAGACAAACCAGTACGACCAGAGTTTCACAGACTTGGTCCTACAGACGATGCACTTCTCCAACCCTGGTGAGTATTGCCCTCCAAGCTCATCATTCTATTTCCTGGCATACGTCTAATACCTGCTTGTAGAATGGGTTACGGTGCAGGGGGGACTATCCCGCATCATAGATGCTGCAGCGAAGGCACTCGGGCCGTCTTGCATCTTCCGAAACGCCCCCGTGAGCGAGATTCATGAGCTCCCTGATGGCAAGCTGGAGCTTGGAATTGGAGGTATCGCTCCAACTAAGCGTGTCTTCGACAAGGTAGTTCTAGCTGTGCCACCAGCAGCTATACAGCAGGGCATCCGGACGCGACCTAAGTGGTCATATATGAAGGAACGTGCCATCCAGGCCATCCACGAAGGCCCTTTGTACAAAATGGGCCTGCATTTCCAAACTCGATTCTGGGAACACACGGCGGATCCCTGCTTTGGAGGACAGACACAGACTGATCTCCGGATTCGATGGATCGTCTACCCATCCAACGACATTGGGTCTTCCAAGAGCGGGTGTCTTATGGTGTACGCCGGCATGACTGATGCCCTCCGCTGGAGCTGGACCACGCACCAGGAGAGAGTGCAGCTGGTCATGGAGGACTTGAACACTTTCTTCCGTCCTCAAGGCGTGGACGTTTATGGTCAGTTTATCGAAGCTTTCGACATGCACTGGCCGAGTGAAGCCGGGGGAGGCAACACAATGTATCTTCCCGGTCAGTACTCGAGGTTCCACGAGGTCATGAAGAAGCCTGAGGGGAACATATACTTTGCAGGAGAGCATATTTCTAGGCATCACACCTGGGTCGCTGGTGGCATTGAGTCCGCTCATCAAGCCACTGAGCAGCTATTGGGAGGGCAGTCAATGCCGGGCTTGGGGTCCCAAGGAAAGGTACGGAGTGGTCCGACTGAACTGGATTCTCAGCTGCCACACATGGAGACCGGCATAGCATTGGGGAGTAGAGTCAAGATGGGCACAAGCCTCATGGCGAAGGCATAACTTTGTGGAAATGCGGTTCACTTTGAAACTACAGGTAGATCCAGCTGACAAGAAGAGGCGGGCTGATTAACACGAACATACTAAAGGATAGGTCCACACGGAGTACTTCCAATAGAAACCCACATGAACGAGTAACTATGGTGATAGCAGCATGAGCCTATCGTGATGGTGGTGCTAGCAGCGCCGAGGAGGTAGAGAAATTTCGTGTTAGCGTACATTATCGATGATAGGAACCAGGAATATCTTGTCCTAATAATGAAGTCGGTCCGACTATCGATAGCGGCTACTCAGTCAAGGACGAGATGGAGGGTCAGACTGAGAACATTTGAACACTGCATTCTGTGTGGGCCACGCCTTTGGGGCATAATGAATGCTTCGCTAGCTATGATTCTGAAGCGGCCGTGACATATCAGCTGTTGGGCGGCTTGGGTCGATGATGTTGGTCGACAGCGCCTTCAGAAGCCATTCTTGCTTGTCTCGCTGTCTGCCCCAGGGTGTGCAGCTGTAACGAGGCTGGGATCATGTGCTACCATTCGTGGTGTTCTATCCCTGCGTTCATCGGCATCGAGTTCCTATAAGGATAACTATACCTGAGTTTTGCAACAGGAGGCGCGACTGCTAGCCACACGCTCTCTCGTCCGGCCAAAAGACCATAATAATCAATCTGGTAGATTGGCTATTCCTAGTAGTATATAAGTACCGTGCCGACACTAGTTTGGACATATGCAAATAAAAAACGAAACCATGGGTGGTTTCGTTCTTAATCCCCATACATATAAAATGTATAACGAGACCATTAATATAATTGGATTACACTATATCTCCATTTAAAGAGCCTCGTTGCGCACTTTGGTAGGAAGTAGGTATCCTAACAAGCACCTTCCTAGCTGATTAGGGTTACTCGACATCCGACATTTCATAGGCTAGCTGTGTGGCAAGGACCTTCACGATTTAGTAGACTTACTACTACAGCACTCCTATAAGGACTTCTCTATACTATCTATAATATAATATAACCTTATAATACTGATAACTACTAATAGTTTTTTTTCTATTTTAATATACTTATTATTATTATACTTATTATTAATATATAATTATTAATATAAAAATAGTAATATAATAATTAATATCTTTTAAATAAATATTTAAAAAATATTTTATATTTTTAAAAAGTTAAATAAAGTTTATTTATTATATATAAATAGTAAATAAATATTCTTTAATTAATATAAAAGGTAAACTTTTAAATAATAAGTTTTGTTTATAAGAAATTTAATTTTACTTTTATTTTATATATATTTAAAGATATATATAGCGCCTTTATATAGTGGTAAGCATTCTTTTAAGAAATAATTTATTTATTATAAAGTTTTTTATTTTTAAATACTAATTAGAAAAATAAATTAAAATAAAAGAACTTATAAAGAAATTTAATAGTTTTTTATATAAATAAGTTTAAAAGTATATATTAAGTAATTATTAAGTTTATACTTAAAAGATTAATAAATAACTAGTTTAAAAGCTAAGAAAGTACTATAAAATAAATATATTATAACGCCTATAACTAGCTACTGCTCATACTATTGGCCGTGAACATTAGAAAAAGCTCTTCAGCCCTTCAATGGTTTGCCTAAAACCAACTACTTCGTTGGTGTCTATATCAAGCTCTGCGGGGCTTATGAACTCCTCAGTCTCTTGCCAAGGGTCACACATCTCGCCGAACTTGAACTGCAAACCCAACTCATGACCAGGTGGGCCCCAAAGGCGGCTGTAGGCCTCCTGTGTGCACTTCATAAGCACACCTGTCTTGCCCGTAACTTCCGCCCAAACATCCATAATATTCTGGAAGGTCCATTTCTCAAGCGCGACGTTGGCATACTTTCCGAACGCCTTGGGGCCAGTCGCTAAGACTTGACGGACCCAGATACCGGGATTGACAGCCATGTCACCCGCTATCAATATTTTTGCATCTGGATTAGTAGGCACAATCTGAATCCAAGCTCTGGTGGAGGGCTGTATAGACGTCAACCAGCATTCTCGACTGAGTTGAAGACAGACGTGACTCACGTGCTGTATTGGCTTGAGGAGAGGGAAGAACGCTAAGTTCTGGGGGTAAAAGCCGAAGTAGAGATATGTTGTCTTCTCCGCCAAGTCGGGCAACTCTGACTTGATACGGGCGTCGACGTTTGCCTTGTAATCCATGTGTGGAGTTGAATGTTGACCATTGAGAATACGCTTGGCACTTGGAGTGGTCGACCAGATATAATGCTCCAGAGTGGAGGTCTGAGCTGCAGCTCGAGCAATCTTCATGCCCTGTTCCTCTTCAAGCAGGCCAGACTCATCCTGAGATTTGCCCGAGAACAGGTGTTCCCACCAGTTGGTCATGGCAAACACGGCATTCACACCCTAGTTACCATGCATGAGCAAACAATCAAGACAAATGCTGCAAATCCAAGACGATTTGGTTTGCACTGCCGAAAGACTAAGCTGACCTGGAAAGCATTGACTAGTGAGGCCTCATTGTCGAAGCTGGCTTGCACGACTTCGACTCCCGCTGCAGCAAGCTTCTTGGCAGCCTCGCTGGTCGGATTCCTGGTGACGGCTCGGACGGACCACCCTGGACTCTTCCTCATTATGTTGACAACTCCGCCTCCTTGGGACCCTGTGGCCCCAGTCACAGCAATGGTTTTAGACATCACGAGCTTGTTGGATCAGATAGATCGCAAAGGCAGTCTTAGATCAGCTCAGGGAAAGAGTTAGTTAGTGTTGTGCACCGGAGTATTTAGTGTATCGGGCTTGATGAAGCGATCATGTGACAAGCAAGAGGTCGTCATAGTTACAGGCAAATTTCCAAGGCAATGTGCAGGAAGAGGTTGCCGATTTGTATTTGAAAGCCCTTGACTACCAGCTACATCGGGCTTATACGTCCCCGCACCGAGATGCGTCTTCAGCCAGTGTCAGCCCACCCAGCTCTTCATGTCTGCCCACCCAGTACATGATCTCCTTGGCACCTTACTAAGGGCTAAAGTACTTCCTTAATAAGGAGTACCTGCCCTACATTTTAAAAGCTGTCTTGATAGCCCATTCTAGTTTCAGGATGGGGTTTTTACCTATAGCAGAATCGTGATGAAATCAACACCCTGCAAGACAGACTTGTCAGAGCCTTAAGGACTAGGGTTCAGGCCGACTCCGAGCATTAAGACCTTCTTAACAATTAGTCACATTATAAGTAGGGCTTAGAAGGACACTCTATAAAGGCACATTATATATTATATACTTAGGCCCATGAATTCCTCCTGCAATTCACACTTACTTTATTATTAGTTATTATAGTAGTTATAACAGTCCTTTATTAGGCTTAGTTAGTAGGGAAGGTATTCACCTATATAAACCCTTTAGGTAACCCTTTAATAGTTAGTTACTAATAATTAACTACTTTTAATACTACTTTTTCTACCCTTATATATATAAATTTAATTAATATTAATTAATAATTATAAAAATAACTATAAATAATTAGATTAATAAAATAGTTTATTATTTTATAGTTTAATTATTTAAAAAGTAATTATATTAAGGCTATTAAATTCTATTTAATTTATATAATTTATTTAATATAATTATTTTTAACTAATAGAATAGAGTTATATAACCTATTTAAAAAATTAACTTTTTATAGATATTTTAATAATTATTAAATATAAAATTTAAATAATCTTTTAAATATTTAATATTTAGTTTAATATTATTATTTAAAATTATTTTTATAAATATTTATTATATTTTATATAGATAAGAACTTTATTAAGACTTTAAATTTTTATTTATTTTATTATTAAACTTTTTTATATTTTAATAATACTTTAAACTTTATAAATTAACTTTATTAAATATTAAACTTTTATTTATTTTTAATTAATAAGTTTTTAATATACTTATATATATCTTTAAATTAATATTATAGTAAATATTTTTATATTTTATTAGTAAGAATTATTAATTCCTTAAATTAATTATATTTAACCTTTAAAATAATATAATTTTATTAATATATTTATTTTTATAATTAATTTTCTTATTATTTTAATAATTATTTATAATAGCTCCTTTTAAGAATTTATTAGATTTATTATTATAATTAATATTATTATTTATTAAAATATAGGATAAAATATATTTTAAAGTAGTTTATATATATAATATTAATTTTAAGTTATAAAGTATAAATTTATTAGAAAATAAAAATTTAATATAATATAAATTAATATATATATTATATAGTATTTATAGGTATATAAATATTTTAATATTAAAAGTTATATAAAATATTTATAAAGGATTTTAATAAATAGATTAAAAGATATTTATAGTTATTAATAAAACTTTTTAAGAATTAAAAATAATTTTATATATTAAAGGTATATAAATTAATTTAAAGATTTATTAGAATTTATTTATATTTAATTTTTTATTAAATTAAAAATATTAAAATAGTTTAATAATTAATTTAAAAGATTTATAAATTAAATAAGATTTTATTTTATTATAAGTTAATTTAGAAAAAAATAACTTTTAAATTTAAGGATAAAATTATTATTATTAAGAATTTAAAGAGGAAGAATAAAAATAAGAATAAGAATAGAAAGATATTTATAAAAAGTAAGAAAGATAGAAATAGGATATATAATAAATATAAAAGAAATTATTATAATATAAAATAATAATTTAAATAATAATTTAGAATTTAATAATAATAAATAAAAGAAAAAGGATAGAAAGGATAATAAAAGAAGAAAGATAGATATAATAATAAGTTATATAATAAGTTTAATAAAGAAAATAAAAGTTTAAAAGGATTTATTTAATAGATTTTTATTTTTATTTTTATTATTTCTTAATTTTAAATCTTTTAAAATAACTATTTTAAGGATACTTTTAAAATATAGAATTTAATAATATACTATATTTTATTATTAGTAGAATATTTTAATAAACTATTTAAACTAAATATAATAGTTAATATTAGTAAATATTATTATAATAATAAAATATATTTTAATTAAGTTTATAATATATTTAATAATAAAGTTTTTATTTTTTCAATATATATAAGAATTTAAATATTTAATTAATATAATTTTATATAGCTTTTATATATATTAAAGGGTATTATTAAGATATTTTATTTATATAATATTAAGTAAATTAATCTATTTTAAATAATTTATTTTAAAATAAAATTATATTTTAATAATAATATTATTTATTAAAATTATTTTATTAATTAAAATATATTAATTTTTATTAATTTATATTAAAAGAATTTTAATAAGTTAAGAGTTAAAGTATTATAATTATTAATTAATAAGTTAAATATATATTATTAAGTTTTTAGTTATTATAATAATTAATTTATTAAAGATAATATTTTATATATAATTAAGGATATATTAGAATTTATTATAATATTTTATAAATTTTAATATTAGTTAAGGTTTTATATTTAAATTTATATATTTTATTATAAGTTTATTAATTATAATAATTTATAAATTATATATTTATTATAAATAAAATTAAGTTTAATAAGAAAGATTAGTATTTTATAAATTAAAAGTATAATAATAATAATTTTTATAGTAAATATTATAGTGGATTTTATAATAAAGTAACTTTTATAATAATTTTTAATAGAACTTTTATAGTAGTTAAAATATTAAGTTTAATAATTATAATAGTTATAATAATTATAAAGGTATATTTTATAGAATAATTTTTAATAAAAATATACTTTATATATAATAAAGAAGGATATTAATTTATATAATATTCTTTTAATAAATAATAATATTTTTAATTAATATACTTTATAATATAGAAGAATAAAATAAAGACTTTATAAATATAAATTATATAATATTTTTATTAATTTTAAAATTAAATATAAAAATATTTAATTTAATTTAAAATTTAATAATAATTTTAATTAAATTTATATTTTATATTTAATAAATTAAATATTCTTTTATTTAATTAATTTTTATTATAATAATAATTTATAATAAAAGTACTTTAACTTTAATATTTATATTAAAAATAATATTTTATATAAAGTATTTTAAGATATTTTTTAATATTAATATTATAATTTATTTTATTATTAAATATAATTAATACTTTACTTTATATTATAATAATACTTTATTTATATTAAATATATTATATATTAATAAAATAAATATTTATTTTAAATTAAATAATATAATATATTCCTTTAAATTACTATTTATATTAATTTTTATTAAAATTATAATATTTTATATAATTAATATATTAATATTTTTATTTTATATTTAAGATATAATTAAATTAATAATTCTTTTAGAATATAATAGATAAAGTAGTATAATAGAATAATAATAATATAAAAACTTTTATTATATAAAATAGGAATATTTATAGTTTTTTTAATTAGATTAATAATTAATATATTAATTAATTTATTTTTATTAAAATTAAACTTTAATTTATATTAATACTTTAAATATTTTTATTAAATATTTTTAATATTTTCTTATAAATATAGAATATATAATAAATATAACTATATTAAAAGTAATTTTTACTTTTATTATTAATATTAAATATATATATTTATATTAAAATATTTTAAATTTAATTTAATAAATAATTATAACTTTAATTATAAACTTATAGTAGATATTTTTATTTAATTAGATTATTTATATTATATATTATAGATATTATTATATTATTTTAAGTAAAATACTTTCTATTATTATTATTAATAAAAATATATAAAAGTTTTATATAATTAAATTAATATATATTTAAAGTTATTAAATTATATTTAATATAATATAAATATAAATTTTATATTTTTAAATTTTATATTATAACTTAAATATTAAATATTACTTATAAATAAATTTTAATTAAAGTATATTAATTAATTAATAAGGTTAAATATTATTATATAATATTATATTATACTTTTAATATTTTTTATAAAATTATTTAAAACTTATTTTTAAAAGTTATTTTTAAATAAATTTTAAAGTTATAAATAATATTATTAACTTTAATAGTTTAATTTTAATTTTACTTATTTTTACAGTATATTTTAAATTAATGTTAACTTTTTTATATTATTTATATTTAAATAAGTAAAACTATTTAAAAGGTTATAAATATTATTTATATTATTAATATTAAATAAAAGTTAATAATACTTTAAATATATATAATAAATTTAATATAATTACCATTTTTTTATTATTATAAAGTAATATTTAATATAATATAAAAAGAAGGTTAATAAGGACTTTATAAACTACTTATTATTAATAGCTATAATATAACTTTTAACTTCCTAATAAACCTATTATATTTTATTTTACTTAAATTTAAAAATATTATTATAATTTTAATTTTAATTCTAATAATACTTTTAATAATAACTTAATTATATTTAAACCTTTTATTTAAATTACTATTTAACTTTAACCTTATAAATATAAATATTTCTTTAATTTTAAAATAAATTAAAATTTAACTTATTAATATATTCTTTATAAAAAAGATAATTATAAATTAACTTTAAAGTTATAAACTAATAAAGTTATTTTTACTTTTAATAAATTATTTAAAGTATTTAATAAAAGAAGATTATAAATTTAATTAATTATAATATATTTATATTTAAATTATATAATTCTAAAAATATAATAATATTTATATTTTTAAAGTATAATTTATATATAAAATTAAAATAAAAGTAAAAAGTTATATAAAAGTTTTATATAATTTTTAAAAATATAAAAATATTAATAAAAGTTTATCTTAATATAATTTTTAATTATTTAAAACGCTAATTAATATTTATTATTTATAATTATATTTATATTAATATTACTTTATATTATATAAATTAAACTTTAAAATATTATTTAAATATATTTATAGTTTAAATTAACCTTTAAATATATTATTTTAATTAAATTACTAAAAAGAAATTATTATAAATACTTTAAAATATAATTATAAAAGTTATACTACCTTTATATAATATACTTAAATTTAAACTTTATTAATATATAATATATTATAAATATTATATTAATATACTTAATATAAAAATCTTTATATTTAATTTTTATCTTTTAATTATTAAACTTTAATATAATAAAACTACTTTAAAATTATTACCCTTTAAATTAATAATACTTTAACTTTAATTATTAAAACTTTCTTTTAAATATTTACTAAAAGATTAAGGAATAAAGATTTTATTATAAATCTAAAAATATTTAACTTTAAATAACTCCTTTTCTTTTAATAATACTCTACTTTTAATTAATAAAATAATATTTATATAAAATAAAAATAAAATAATAAGCTTAAAACTATAAATATTAAAATAAAAATAAAATATAAAAGTATATTAAATAATATATATAAACTACTTATTTAGCTTTTATTTATTAATTTAAAGCTATATTTAATCTTTTAATTACTATTTAAGCTTATAATTTAAGTAAAGTAAACTATTAAAAATTTAATAAATATTTTAATTAATAAATTAATAACTTTAAATATAAACTATATTTTATTCTTATTAACTTAAAACTATTAAATTAATAATTTTTATTAATAAATTATTTATTAATAATAATAATTTTAATTTATAAATTAATTTTATAATTATATTTATTAATAAAATTAAAATTAAAAATATAAAATAATAATTTAAATAAAATATTATTTATTAATTCTCTATTAAATATAAGTATATTACTAAAAGTATTTTTACTTTAAAGATTTATAAAATAATAAATAAATTTAATATAAATAATATAATTTTAAATATTTTAAATAAAATTATTAATTATTTAAAACTATTAATTATTTTATTAATTATTTATATTAACTCTTTTTATATAAATATTTTATTAAATTTAATATAATTAAAAGAATATTTAATAATTAATATAATAATACTCTATTAATTATATAAATAATAAAAATTTATAAAGTTTATTAAATTTATAATAATAATAATCTTATTAATATATTTATTAAAATAAACCTTAATAAATTACTTAAAAGCTTATATTTTATAATAAATTAACTTTTAAATTAAAAGATATATAAATTATAAGGAATTTATTTTAATTTAAATTTAATAAATTAAAATAATTAACTTATATTAAAAATTAAAGTTTATTAAAAGCTAATATAATTATAAAATTATAACCTTTAATTAATTTTTTATAATATAATATATAATATTATTAAAAATAAAAGTTAGATTAATAAAGATAATTTTTAAATATTAAGTTAAGATAAAACCTTTTAAACTATTTTATTTAACCTTAAACCTTCTTAAACTTAATTTATATTATTAATTTTATAATAAAAATTAATATTAAAGGTTATATTATAAAAGTTATTTTATTTTTAAATAATTTAAAAACTATATTTTTTTAATATTTTAAATTTTTTTAAATTAATTTTAAAATTATTTTCTTAATTATAATATTTATATTTTTCTTTAATAATAAAAATTATAACCTATTTTAAAATAAAGCTTATTCTTTATAATTCTTTTAATATATATTAATTTTATTAATTTTTAAATTAAATTAAGTCTATTAATATATTATAAAACATTTAATCTAATCTAATTTTAAGTTTATTAAAGTAATAATAGTAAAATATAAACCTATATATATATTTTAAATAAGTTATTTAAATACTTAAATTAATAATTTTAAAGTATTTATTTTATAATAATTAAAACCTTTTATAATAAATTAATATATTTATTTTAATTTTATAAAATATAAAATTATAATAAATATATAAATTAAATACTTTTAATAATATTAATAAATTTTCTTTATACCTTTATTTAATAATAATATAATAAAATAATTTCTTTCTTTATATTTATTTTAATAACTTAAAATTTTAAATTTAATTTATATTTAAAATATTTTATTTTATAATAAAAAAGTTATTAATATAATAATTATAATAATCTTTTATTAAACTTAATTAATAGGAAGGTATTTACCTATATAAGCCCTTTAAGTAACCCTTTAATAGTTAGTTACTAATAATTAACTACTTTTAACACTACTTTTCTACCTTTATATATATAAGTCTAGCTAATAGTTATATTAAATATATAGCTTAATAGAATATATATTAAATAGCTTATAGTTTATAATTTTAATATTAAATTACTATATTTTATATATAATTATAAATATAAAATATGTATATAATTATAGGTTTAATTTATTTTAAATATTTAAATTTTAATATTCTTTAAAACTTTACTTATTATAATATTTTATTAAGTTTTAATATTTAAGTTTTAATATTTAAGTTTTAATATTTATATTTTATTTAAAATTTAATTTATATATAAGTTAATTAAAATAAGTAAATAATAAGAATTATATATAATAAAATAATAAATAAAATATAATTTAAAAGGAATAAAATACTATTATTAATTAAATATTATTAAATAAATTTAATTAAATCTTTATTTTAAAAATAATACTTATTATACTTTAATATTATAATAAATTTAAATTTTAAAAGTTTTATAAACTTTAAAAATACTTTTATATAATATAATTTTTAAAGTATATATAAAAGAAATATAAAATATAAATATTTAAAAATATACTTTTAACTCTAATTTTAATTATTTAAATACTTTTAAATAATTAATAACTATTTTATAATATATAAATATTTTAAAATATTATTAGTTTTATTTAATTAAAAATTATATTAATTATTTATTTTAACTTTAATTTAAAGTAATTTATATAAATTTTTATTTATTAAATTAAATATATAAAACTTTATTATAATAGAAATAATTAATTATTTTATTTTAATCTTAAATTTAAATATTACTTTTATACTAAAAGTTAGAATCCTTAAGCATATAAGAGTTTTAATTATATAGGGATTTTAGTACCCCTAATGGCTACCGGCACAGGGGGTAACCAAAGGTCTGACCCCCGGGTACCCGTTCCCTGCATTGCGAAATCCTGGCAAGGGCCTCATAGTGACACTACCCTAGGGTATGATCAAGGAGCTGTTTCCAAACTGAGTACCTAGGTAGCTTTCACCCATGCGGCACGTGCCGGCTGGGCAAGGACGTCATACCATTGTATTTTCTTGGGAACCTGCCATCCCAAGCACCTAGGTACCTAGGTACCTAAGTATGTAGGCGTGGGGGATGGGGTCTGGGCTTTGGCGGGTTTGCCGCAATTGACAAGTTGAGCAGATATTCTCTCATAAATGGCAATCACATATAAAAAGCTAACATCCATTCTCATTCCAATAACATTCAATGCTACTGCATCTTGTGAGCAACTCTCCCCTTTTCGGGAGTTTCCGCCCAAGTTTACAGACCTGGAGATAGAGTTCCACCACATGGACCAAGCAATTTATCAGAAAGCTTAACAGACTGACTGCTCTTAACACAAGCACATACCTCACAAGAGAAAGAATGCTAGCATCACAATGAGTATTTCAAAGTTAACCCCTCATCTAATAAAAATAGATATGCCCTTCCATGCAACACGCAGAACGTGTGGATCATAATGGGCAGCTCATGCTTGCCCCATTTTGGTCAATGTCGTTGAGGGGCAATTTCATATGCAGGGAGAGGGAGAGAGACTTCCAAGCTGTGACAACCCACAGCATCAGCTAGTACATGAGCAAATCCTCTCTCTGGTGTTGCAAATTTATGCTGTACGACAGCCTCTTTTAGCATAGTAATCAGACTGACAGCAGGTGCTGGCTGCCAGTGTCGTAGAAGAAATGAAAGGTACCACAGGTGGGATTCTGGTCAACAGCAAGACAGATTCTTGACCATTGTCATTGGTGAAGTTTGTGAGATGTTTACCACAGTACTCTCTCCTAGACACGCCATTGTCTGGTACCAGACAGCTGATCTACAGAGGTGCCTAGTCTGCATTGCAGGCCCCTTGCAGGGGTTCACAGACAACAGCTCCTGAGGTCAAAGTTTAAAAATTGCATGTTCAGCTTGCGCCACATGCAAACGACCTGGCCACGGGATGTTATTAGCATTTCTTCCAGCACAACAAGAGCAGACAACAAAGCCCCTACTGCTGTTCCTCTTCAGATCCAGCACTCGTCGATACCCTGTGTCATCCAAAATGTGCGTTCTTTTGCTCATTTTTCTTGTGGCAGCCTTGGCTGGCTTCTGTGACGCGCTGTCACCCCACAAACCAGCTCATGTGGGGCGTCTTGTGGCCGATGACCTACCGCGTTTCTCTCACCACGGCCTGTTCTCGCGCAACGACACCAACTCTAGCAAGACTTCTGGCACATACAAGCTCTCCGACCTGTACGACTACACCAATTTCTTTGACAAGTTCAATTTCGTCGAGGTAAGCATGCCCAAATGGCTCTTTTATGGACCCAAGTGAGAGGTGGTGATGGTTCTAACTCAAACTCAGAGTCGCACTGGTACAGACCAGTACAGCGATGTTGACCCGACACATGGCTTTGTCCTCTACCAGAATCGGTCTGAGGCCGAGCGCATGGGCTTGGCGCAGGTGGTCGATGGTTCTGTGGCTATCATGGCTGACTACAAGACCGTGATTGACGACCCACGTGGCTACGGTCGGAAGAGTGTCAGGATCGAGAGCACCGCGAGGTACAACCATAGTCTGGTTATTGCGGATTTCTGGCACCTCCCAAAGGCCCAGTGTGGAACCTGGCCCGCCTAGTAAGCCACTGCTTACCTGTATCTCCTCCGTTTCTGGAGTTTTGAGACTGACAGCCTCGACCAAGCTGGACGTATGGACCTCACTGGCCAGAGAGCGGGGAGAGTAAGTTGCTTGACTACCCGGCAGTAAATACCTGCGCGAGCACGAGACTGACCTCAGAAACCTCCAGTGGACATCTACGAGCAGTGGAACGACTACCAGTTCAACCGCCAGACCCTGCACACGGACCACAACGTGTCGACAGGCAACTGCACCTTCGACATGGGGAGCACCCTCGGCTTCCACGCCTTCGACATGGCCAACTCCAAGATAACCGAGACCTGCGACGTCTACGCGAGCGACAACAGCGGCTGCACCAGCTGGGACTACGAGGGGCCCTACGGCTCACGGGAGGGCGGCGTCTACGCCATGGAGTGGACGAGCGACTACATCCGGATGTGGACGTGGCACCCGGACGATGTCCCGCTGGACGTCCAGGAGGGCGCCCCGGACCCGGAGGGCTGGGGCCTGCCTGGGCTCTCGGTGGGTGGCTCGCTTTGCGATGTTGACCGGGCGTTTAAGAACCAGGCCATCGTGCTGAACATTGACTTTTGCGGCGACACTGCGGGATCTGCAAACGAGTGGACCCAGTCATGTGCTGAGAAGACGGGCTACAACATCTGTGCGAGATATGTGGCGGCGGAACCTGGGGATTTCGAGGAGTCGTGGTTTGGGGTGAGGACGATCAAGGTCTACACTCTTCACTGAGCTTTGCATAAATGGCACACCTTTGGCACCGATCCTAGAAATACGTTCCTAGGTACATAAGCAGTGATCCCCTTGGGACTGTTTTCCCCAGGCATCCTCCTTCAATGACACGGAACTCGCGCTCTTCGTGCGCACCGAGTCCGCGAGCCAGCACACTGTCATTATATTCCTGGGCACGTGTAGTTAAACAACGATTCGCTATCGGCTGATTTGACACCCGAATCGGATTCGGCGAATCCGATGATCCCGGTTGTTGATATCTTTATGGATCTCCGGTAGGGGTGTGCGCAAACACGGTAGATTTGACGATCGAATCATTTGAACATGCTAATGCAAAGAAAGTGAACCTTCGGCCTCGCTTTCCCAATGTTGTGGCGACAAGTCTCCCATGTACTTACTGCTCAGTGTAACCTCGCTAATATCACGGTGGCATTAATGCCGACCCAACCTCTGCCTAGGTATTTCCCCTCACCGTGCTGACGTGTGACAGCTAGCTACGTTAGAAAAAAGTGTATGGGATGTCATTATGAGATGTTATTAAAAAGATGCTCGCTGAGGATGTTATCATGTCCAGAGTCTGAGGGGGCATAACCTGTTTGAAAGCCTGAATTCACCTCGAATTTCTTGCCTTGTGCTCGCAACCAGCTCTTACACTTACGACCTCCCTAAATGTCTCAGCATCCAGGGAGTGGTAGACTCAGCGTCTCCATTATAGGCGGGGGGATCGCAGGTCTTTCAGCAGCAGCGTTCCTCCGCAAGCATGCGCAGCTCAGCATCACGATCTACGAACGGCGAGAAGCGGGTTTTTCGGAGACCTCGGCTGGAATTGGAGTCATGAAAAATGGAATCGCCATTCTGAAACAGCTCGGAATTGACAGAGAGGAGGTACGCGGCGTGATCGCGGCTGGGTGGCGGACGTACAACCTCCAGGAGGAGGAGGTGAGTACGTCGCTAGCAGGGGACGGCCCAGATGGTGAAGGCAATGTGTGGGCCATATTCAGACAAGATCTGAGAGATGCACTTCTCAGAATAGTTGAAGATGTAAAAGGCGATGAGCAGCCTGTCAAGGTGGTGTATCAAAGCCGAGTCGTGGGGCTTGATCCTGAGGCGGGGCTTGTTCAGTTTGCCGATGGAACATCGGTCAAATCAGACCTCATCATCGGTGAGTTTCGACTGATGAGATATAGCTGCTTGTGGATAACTGACGATTGATACGTTTGTTTCAATATAGGTGCTGACGGAATACATTCCATCGTTCGCGACGCGGTGATTCCTTCGACACACCCAGTACCGGCTCCCAGCGGCCTGAGTCTGTATCGCTTCGTTCTCCCCATGAACACCGTCAAGAATGCTATTGGCCAAGACCATGAGCAGCCAGCCATGTTCGATTACAGCAGAGGTACATTTGTCATCTTCATTGCTGCCGGTGACGAAGGCAATCGCAATGTCGTTATGTATCCAATCCGCGGGTACGAATTGATGAACATTGCCTTTGCTGTGCCGGACGGGATACTGAGAGACCCGGACCAGCTTCATTACTCTTGGAACGCATCTGGTAGCAAAGAAGAGATGATAGAGGCTCTTCGCGGATTTCCCGATTGGCTTCAGCGGGTATTTAGGTGAGTGACGCTTTCAACCCAGGCGTCTCTCGTTCTAACAAGACCGTCAACCAGATGTGCCCCTCGTGTCCATCTATTTCAGATGCGCGACCAGGAACCTCTACCAACTTACATAAAGGGACGGACTGTCTTGATTGGCGACGCTGCTCACGCCATGGTTCCATACCAAGGGCAGGGTGCGAATCAGGCCTTTGAAGATGCCGAAGGCCTGAATGTACTTTTTTCTGATGTTACCGAACGGGACGACGTACCTGGTCTTCTCTCTTTCTGGGACAGCGTCCGTCGACCACAAGCTTCCGAGGTACAGAAAAGTTCTCGATCCTCTCTGGCAAATATCGCATCCAAGGACGCCTCAAAGGGTATCTCAACGGTGCGACCGTACACGAGCATGAGTGAAGCTCTAGCGACACTACAGGCAGGAAAATTGGTCGTGTGAAGGTTCAAGTGAGCTAGCCATGAGCATGGCCCTTAGGAGCCGTTCGGGGGCGAATTATTCCTGGGACCGAATCATTATGTGACCGGTTGGTGGGCAAATATTCTGTGACCAGTTGGGGGCGAATCATTCTCTGGCGATTTGAGCCAACTGCATGAGTGAATCTCCACTCGCATCGTGGATCAACATTGCTGTTGGTTTGCAACGGGGCTATTCTGTGACAAGTTGTCAAATCTCTGATCCTTTTCAGCTTTTCCCTCAGCTTTTCGAATCTTCTCGAACCCCCTTTGGCCCCCTGCAGCAGGCGTAACGTCTTATTTTTCCTGAAATCTGTCCATGTGAACGAGGCAGCGTAGGACAGCAACCAAGTCGTTCAAATATCTTGGGTCTTCATCAGCCGGAGTCGAGCTTACTCTAACGGTCTGGCATGCTCCCTGACCATAGACAACTCATAAAGATGGCCAAGAATACCAGTACTTCCGATTATGTCATGGCGGATGTGAAAACCCAGGTGTGTGAGGGCCGATTTATCGTGGTCTAATACCTCAGTCCGGGAGCTAATTGATACATTTCAGAACGAACAAGACCGTCTCGGTATGGTGTCAACCTCGAAGTACGTTGACATCAAATCACTGCAGTCTTGACTAATAAAAGAACCTTGTAGATATCCAGAATCAACTGTGGTACCTCAGTCTCAAAGGAAATCTGCACAAGACCGTCCTCCCGGGTGACCAAAAGGATATTCAGATTCTTGATGTCGGCACTGGCACCGGCGTCTGGGCAGTTGCCATGGCCAAGAAGTGGCCTGACGCGAAGGTCGTTGCAACTGACCTGACGCTCCCGCCTCAAACCGACGACGCGCCGCCAAACCTCAGCTTCATCCGACACAACGCCAATGACCCCGAGTGGCCATTTGAGAAGTTCCATTTCATCCACGGGCGCATGCTTGACGCCGGGATCCGTGACTGGCCAGCATTTCGAGCGACATGCTTTCGTCACCTACTCCCAGGTGGCCATCTCGAACTGGCCCACGTCACGCACCCCATGCATTCCGAGCTTCCGGAGTTTGACAGTCCAGGTGCTTCTCCGTTCCTGCGTCTGATGCATCAGGTCACCCTTGCCTCAAAGAAAGGTGGCATTGATTATGATGTGTCAAGCAAACACCTGCGAGGGCTTGCAGACGTTGGCTTCGAGGACATTGAGGAGACCGCCATCGTGTGGCCGATTGGGACCTGGCCGCAGCAAGAAAACGAACGGGAGATCGGTATGCTTGGCTTGAAGAACACGTTGGGTATTGTCGACTTGGCGGCAAAGTCTATCCTGACACACCAGAATTTCATGGGCAAAGAGGAAGCAGACGACCTGGTGCAAGCCGGTCGGGATGACCTGCTGCAGACCGACAAGAAACACTTCTATCTCACCATGTATGTATCCGAACGTTCCTGTTCCGTATTATTGCTTCATCTCCAATCACCGAAAATTTTCCCGTTCAAACACTATCTGACAGTCTTGACCTTAGGAAACTCTTCACCGCCAAGAAGCCTTGCACGCCTGCATGAGCATGAGCTTTCTACACAGGGGTAAATTGTCAGGAACGAACTCGGTTGCCCTCACGTGTCACAATCGTGAAGTTTTAGTCACATCACCTGTTTTCTTTTCGACGTACTGTTCCATTGAAACACATCGTTGTAGCGATGTTGGTTGGAGGATAAGTTAGAACAGCCCACAATGAGCTAGTATCTATGGAACATTGCTCGGGTGTCCGCTATGTGGCCACAGTATCTCCTTGGCCCCCAACAGCCAATCTTCTGTAGGACACCCTCCTACGGGACAACCTCTTATATGGTCTACTTCCAGACACAACTCCCCATAGGATAAACATTTACAGAAAAGACTCTTATATGCAGGGGCAGGCCAGAGATATGACATTATACCTCTTTTAAAGATGTGGTTGTGTCATAATAATGGTGTATCTGATATAAATGTACATGAAAGAATTCAACCTTGTGTACCAAGACTGGGCAAGACCTCAAAGCGACCCGAGAAGAGCTGGACGCACATGCCTGCCAAGTTATATTATGGAGGTTCACCTGAATCCCGATGAGTGCTTTGACTGCGGATTGCTCGGAGGCTGAGACACAACAAAGAAGTTGCGAGACTCAAAAGGGGCCGTCGTCGCCGCGGGCCAGGCCCAGGTGGGCCGTCGTCTTGGTTATATACCTAGGCAGTGCCGCGGGCCCTGGTTGTACGACATCCCCACAGGTGGTCGGCAGGTTTGCGTGGAGGAAGGGGTGGCGAATTTGGGGGCTGGTCTGGTTGTGAGGGCTGTGAAGTGGTTTCTGCGGTACTTGAGCGAAAGTGGTTGAGTATGTATCTGCGGAGACGCCGCGTGATGTTTTTTGGACAGTGGGCGGGCTTGGGGACATTATGTTGAAGGAGGTTGTGGAGGGGCTGAAGAAGGATGGAGTTGCTGTTGTCGGATTTCTGAAGGGGGTCAAGCGAGCTAACGTCCACTCACCCAGCAATTGTGTCCACTCACCCAGTTCCCGCCGACCGCTCACCCAGTACCAATTTTTCTAAGCAACTCCCTCACGTTTATAAGTACCTTCTGAGTCAGTACCGAGAGACCCTATGGCACGATTTCCTTCTCTAATTTTCAATACTTTCGGTACAAGCCCCTTCTGGTACCCCTTCTGGCACCCCTTCTGGCACCCCTTCTGGCGCCCCTTTGCCTTCGCCTTCGCCTTCGCCTTCGCCTTTGCCTTCGCCATTTGGTCTGCACGCATTCAGGTACCAACTGAGCATTTAGATGCTAACTGAACGTTAGAAGGCTAGAAGCCAAGAAGGCGAAGGTGAAGACTATACTCTTTCTGGCCTTTTGGTACCCCTTCTAGCCCTTTAGCACTCTAGACTTCTGGCCTTTTAGCGTTTAGTTGGTATCTGAACGCTTAGTTGGTACCTGAATGCGTGCAGGCTAGAAGGCCTAGAAGGCGTGCCAGAAGGCGTGCCAGAAGGCGTGCCAGAAGGCGTGCCAGAAGGCGTGCTAGAAGGGGCTTGTACCGAAAATATCGAAAATTTGGAGAATTCTGGTTAGGTATATAGTTTTATATGGGCCCTGTACGTGAATTCTTGTACTGGGTGAGTGGTTGAAAAAAACTGGGTGAGTGGATATAATTGCTGGGTGAGTGGACGTTAGCTCGGGTCAAGCTCAATGACCTCGGGCATGACCTGCTGGTTGCGATGAAGGCGCTCTTGGTCAAGCTCACAGGAGTGGTGTTGAATTCCGTTGTTCAGTTACCAGCTGCATTTAAGAAGGCGGAGAGCGACTGGGTTAAGTGTCTCCTCTCAATTTTCTTCGCTTTTGTCTTCATGCTCCACGAGCACTGTGGAAGATGCTGGAAAGTCTGTGGGCGTGTCTTGGGCGGGGGTTGGAGGAAATGCTTTCTTTGCTCCAGCCAAAAATGGCATTATCCAGGAAATGCCCATCTTGAACAGTGTATATCAAGCATGATTCAACCTCTTGAACATGACGATCGGATATAATAACTAACGTCCTTTAGACACTCTTCATAGTTACATTCAAGCCCGTGTCCGCCGCGTCTCCACCGTGGTCAAGCAGGGCAAAGGTGTACTCTCCTTTCTCCAGCTCCCACTCATCCCACCTGTTGATGATGGTCAGGTAGCGATCAACATCCAGCTCCAAGTCCACGGTGGCCTCTTCTCCGGCGCCCAGGTAGACTCTCTGGAACGCGACCAGCTGCTTTACTGGCTGCACAATGCTTGACGTTCGCCCCAGGAGGTAGACTTGCGCCACATAGCTGCCATCGACCGTTCCATTATTCTTTATTCTCACCGAGAAGTTGATAATGTCCCCGGGTGTGAACGTGTCTGAGTTCGGTAGCTTCTTGTCGCCCGCCTGCGCTGGGGCACTGCCGGCTTCAAAACCCAGGACCTGGAACTCCGCATAGGAGAGGCCATAGCCAAACGGATAAGCTGGCTGGGAGTCCAGGTCGAGGTACTTGATCTTGCGCCCGAGACTCTTGTAGTTGTAGTTGATCGGAACCTGGCCTACGTGCTTCGGCACGCTTACCGGCAGCCTCCCGCCTGGGTTGGCCTTCCCAAACAGAATATCGGCGATGGCCTGCCCGCCGCTCTGGCCGGGGAACCAAGCGTTCAAGACCGCGGCACTCTGGTTGTAATAGTCAGGGATGGCGAATGGTCTGCCACCCTGCAGGACCAGCACAACAGGTTTCCCCAGGGCGTAGACGGCCTTCGCCAGCTTGTCCTGGCTCGGGGCGAGCCCGAGGGTGGCTCGATCGCCGCTCTCGCCATCGCTGTTCCAAGCTGCGCCTACTGCGAGGACTATGACATCTGCAGCTTCGGCCGCTGAGACGGCCTGAGAGATGGCATCTTTGCCAGGGTCCCTGCTAACCAGGTTCCAGAAAAGAAGGATCTGCGAGTTCAGGGACGAGACGTTCTCGATCTTTTTGTAGAGGTTGAAGGCCTTGAACTCGAGGCGGATGCTATACGTCTCTCCCTTCCGGAAGGTGAAGCGGACCGAGCCCGCGGGAGGCCGAGTGCTGTTTGCTTGAGTGTAAGCAAACTGCTGGATATTTCCCATTATATTGCTCTCGGCGGTCGGTATGATACCCCACGATTTGATAAGTTTGTCATCGATAAAGAGCTGGTACGTGCTGTTCGGGCCGACAGCAACGCCGATCCATCCATCCACGTCCATGTCGACTGGTGAGGTTAGAATCCCTTCCCATACTACGCTGAAGTTGTTGGATGGCAGACCGGGCGGAGGGTAGATTCCCCAATCAAGCGCAGGGGTCTCCAGCTTGGTGATCAGTGGGTGGATGAAGTTGGTGTCCGCGAAATATGTCGCTTGCAGGCCACCCTTTGTGCCGTTCGGGGATGAAAGAAGGTATGGCGGAATAACATGTTGTGCGTTATACTCCCATGTGTTTGAACCCCAACTGGAGACCAAAGTAAAAGGGGCCTCTGCATCTTTGCTGTATGACAGCATTGCCTCACGAATTGTTTGAGCGCTGTTGGCTGGATATTCTCCCCATTGACCGGAATAGTCGCCATAATTCAGGATATCAGTGAACGGCCCGATGAGGGCAATACTTTTGATGTTTTGCTCCTTTGGTCGCAGGGGCAATGTTGAATCTCGATTTTCCAGCAGAACGATACTTTTCTGGGCAGCCTCCAAAGTCAAGCCTCTATGACTGTTCGCAATATGAACAGGGTTGGTTGCCGGTGATATAAAAGGCTCGTCGAAAAGCCCCAGGTCCCATTTGACACCCAACACAGACTGGGCCCGCGATTGCAGAGTTGAAAGCTCCAGTGAGCCGTTGGCGATGAGTTCTTTAGTTGCGTTTAAGAGAAGCTCCAACGGCCAGTCATAGAACTGTACCATTCCGCCGGCTTTGTACCATTGTCTGATGGCATCAGCTGGCGAGTCAGCGACCGCATGTTGAGTGTAAATATCGTTCATGCCGGTGTCATCGGCAATCACAAAGCCATCGAAGCCCATGTCATCGAGTGCTTGGTACAGCTTCGGGTTCACGTGAGATGGTATATCATCGAACTCGTTGTACGCCATCATCACGCCCCGGGCACCTCCAAGCTGAACAGCGGCCCTGAAAGGTGTCAGGAGATCTTGGAAGACCTGGCGGTTGCCGTGTCCCATGAAAGGACCCGCATTGTGGCCAGCCTGAGGGGATCCATGGGCGGCAAAGTGTTTCATCACGGGCACCACCGCGTCCGGATCTGACCAGGAGCTGTTCTTTGAGAGCCCGGACGAGTAGGCGACGCCCATGTGAGAGGTGAGAATCTTGTCCTCCCCCCACGCCTCTTGCATACGCCCCCATCGCGGATCCAGGCCGATGTCGAGAACAGGAGAAAGGCAGGCGTGGATGCCGATGGATCGTGCTTCGGTGCCGATGGCACGCCCCACGCGGTGGACCAAGCCGGCATCCCAGCTCGCTGAGAGCCCCAGGCTTTGTGGGAACATTGACTGCTTAAAAGAGCCGACCCCATGTAGACATTCGCCAGTTTGCATCAGGGGCACCTTGAGGCGAGCTTTTTGGAGATTGAGCTGCTGAACTTGGTTGTAATATGAAGTGTTGAGTGGATACCTTGTAGGAGGTTAGCGTCACCTCCAATCTGTCCTCGCCATGACAGCACAAGATTCCATACCAATCATGAACGAGGCCGACTGGTGAGTCGGGGCTGAAGCGCATGGTGTGGTCTGGCATTTACCGTTGTACGTCAGCCATAAAATGTCCCGAGTGTCTGTCAGCTCAACAAGAAGGCGGAAGGACCCACCATAAAGCTCATTATCCGAGTTCACTCCAACTATGTCCCCGCCAAAGGTCAAATGCAGCTGTAAAACTGCTGTTGGTAAGCCAAATGCCCTGTGCCCGGCGACCGCATGTCGAAATCTGGTTCATGACGTCTCACCGAGATCTTCAATGGTCATGTTGGAGACGAGGGCACTGATGAAAGCCTCTTTGCCTAGGCTGGTGCCATGGGCGCCACTGCCGTCGATCCATTGTGTGGCCGGGTATGGATATGCGATGACTTGTTGATGATCCTGTGCTAGGGAGGCCGGGAGGAGCTGGGCGGCGAGCAGCAGCAGCTTGGCAGCTCGTGAAGAGCCCATGTTGACAGCTGTGGCGGATCACGAGTGCTGCCTGAGGTGGAGGACAGTCCAGTCGTCCAAGGCTGGCACGTCAACATGCTCCACCACTCCAGTGCCCGTGCTTTTGTTCCAAGGTTGTCGACGGTCAGGTCAGATCATGATGAAGTCGATCGAGCAGCGATAGCGAGCAACGTTACAACTCCAGCCACAGCAGTGGTTATTTTCCGACGGGTGTTCTGAGGATGCATCGCAAGTGGAGGAGATGGGAACTATCGCCGGAAATGATGGTGCGGGGAGATGCAGTGCCAGGATGCATGCATGTAGGCGTGATGTCTGCTTTGGGGAGAGGGTCAGGGCTGGCAGGCTGGTCAGGCACGGTGGAGGGGGGGTGGGGAAGGGGGGTCGGGGAAGGCAAGGGTTAGCTGCGTGCAGGCAGGTTGGGGGTCGTGCAACCCCAGTCGAGGAGACCAAGTTGTGCGGGAGCATCGGATGATTTGGGAGCCCGGCTGGGAGCCCGAACTCAACTCAGGGTCAACGCTGCCTGCACCTGGGCGGCTCTGCTCAAGGTTTGACACCAACCCAAAAGCCACTGTCGATCATCTGGAACCAGCGTCATCCACCACGAGAAGAAGAAGAAGAAGAGGAAGAAGAAGAAAAAATAGACCATGGCCGGAGTTCAGCAGGGGCTGGAGGTTGCCTTCTACCTCTACCCTTGCGGGCTGTTCGCGACTCTGCTGGGGTCGCAGTCCGTCCAGTACTACCGGGAGCGCCATGGTAAGCCGAGCCGCGACGCGACGGCCGACCAGAAACAGGCCGAGGCCACCCGACGCCTCTACGCCCGCCTGATCTGGGGCGTCCAGCTGCTGCTGTCCCTCTTAGTGGTGAGTCTGCCCAGCTGATGCTCGGCTGTGGGGTCATCATGTCCTCCCAAGCTGACCTGGTGCTTGTCTCTCTCGCATACAGCTGGCCAGCATCGTCGTGGTCCTGCGAGATGCAGTCGCCGGGCACGCTGGCGGGCCCGACGCTGCCTTCCCCGACAGTGCATATCTGGCATCCTACGTCGGCGTGCTGCTGTACTTCCTGGCTGGTCTGCTGCCCGACCCAGAGGGCCCATGGTCCCCCGTCGCTGCCAATGGCCATGCCTGGGTCGCCGGCGTGCTGTTGGAGGCCGTCATCACTGCCGTTCTCAAGACCCAGCAGCCTGCCATTGGCCTCTCACGAGACGTCACCGATACTCTGCTCAGCCTAGGCTTGGCGAGGATCGTCTTGCTCGTCGTCATGATCAGCCTCATGGCCCTCAGGCAGTACAAGCTGAGGCCGTCTGAGCCCCAGTCAGCCCCGGAGGAGCAGCAGTCTCTTCTCGGGAACGGCCAGGGACCTGTGGCTGACTACGGCGGTGCCCACGGACATGGACACGGCCATGGGCATATGCCCGCCATAAAGCCTGCTTCTGGGAAGCCTCCAGGTGTTCAAGGGACAGGCTGGCTTGACTACTTCGCCGGCTTTCGTGTCCTCTTCCCCTACCTGTGGTATGTGATGCCGCAGCCTGCACCTGTTGCCCCCTCTCGTCACTAATGCTCAACAGGCCCAAGGACTCGCCGCTCTACCAGGCCATTGTGGTCCTCTGTATAATACTCCTGATCTGCCAACGCATCATCAATGTCTACGTTCCGGTTCAGCTTGGAGTTCTGGTCGATACTCTGGGGTACGGCCATATACCCTACAAGGAGATCGTCCTGTACATCGTCTTCAGGGGCCTGCAGGGTAACCAGGGAGCCATTGGTGCCGCTCGGTCTGTGCTTTGGATACCCGTGTCGCAGTCCCTCTACCGGCGGCTGTCCTGTGCTGCTTTTGAACACGTGCTCGGCCTGTCCCTGGAATTCCACCTGAGCAAGAAGATTGGCGAGGTGACAAGCGCCCTGAGCCGTGGCGCGGCCATGAACACGTTCCTCGAGAACTTCCTCTTCCAGGTCTTCCCGATGGTCTTCGATATCTTTGTCGCTGGTGTGTACTTCTTTGTCAAGTACGATGCTTTTTACACCATCATTGTATTCTTCATCATGTGGTCGTACATTTTCCTCACCATCTACATGGCCAAGTATCGCTCCAAGCAGAGGAGAGACATGGCTACCAAGAGCAGGGAGATGGATGCTGTCAAGACGGATGCCATCATGGCTTTCGAGACAGTGCAGCACAACTGCGCCGTTGTTCAGGAGACTGGGCGATTCAGGACCCATGTTATCATCTACCAGAAGGCAGAGCGTCTGGTGCAGTGGTCTCTGAACGGGCTGAACCTCACCCAGAGCTCGATATTCTCCCTTGGGACGGCCTTGCTTGTTGGCGTTTCGGCCTACAAAATCTCCATCGGCGAGCAAAAGGTCTCAGAATTCGTCACCCTGATTCTATATTTTACACAGCTGCAGGGGCCTCTGAATTTCTTCGGCACATACTACACCATGCTCCAAAACAACTTGATCGAGGCAGAGAGGATGCTTGATCTGGTGAGTCACCACCTGTTTCATTAACCTCTACCCATCCCTAACCTTTCACAGTTCAAGGAAACTTCGGGTGTCGTGGAGAAGCCGGATGCAATCAACCTCCCCCCGCCTCGAGGCGAAGTATCTTTCAACAACGTCCGCTTCTCCTACCAGGGCAAGGCCAAGGACCCGGCTCTCGACGGTGTCAGCTTCACGGTTGCCCCGGGCACAAAAACCGCCATCGTCGGGGAGTCCGGCAGCGGCAAGTCGACCTCGCTCAAGCTGCTCTTCCGCTTCTACGACGTCGAGGACGGCTCGATCACCGTGGACGGGCACGACCTCCGGGACCTGAAGATCGACAGCCTGCGGAGGAACATTGGCGTTGTGCCGCAGGACACGGTCCTCTTCAACGCCTCCATCATGTACAACCTGCAATATGCCAGCCCCAACGCCACCCAGGAGGACGTGTATGAGGCGTGCAAGGCTGCCAATATCCATGACCGCATCCTTGCCTTCCCGGATCAATATGAGACCAAGGTCGGAGAGCGCGGCCTGAAACTCTCTGGCGGTGAACGCCAAAGAGTAGGTGTCGAGCTCCATACACATATATTGCCCCGGCTGCGGGTGTTCTTACTGCTATTCATAAACTGACACGTGGCTTGCTACAGATTGCTATTGCACGCGCCATCCTGAAAGACGCGCGTATCCTGCTCCTAGACGAGGCTACCGCTTCTCTAGACACTCACACCGAGAGGCTGATCCAGGATGCTCTGGAGCGGGTAACCGCCGGGCGAACGACAATCACGATTGCGTAAGTTGAAAGCAGAATTTGTCTTCTACTATAAGTGAATATACAGCTGATTCCACGTAGCCACCGTCTTTCCACCATCACCACGTCCGACCAGATCGTGGTCCTCCACAAGGGCAAGATCGTCGAGGTCGGCAGCCACCACGAGCTGCTCGACCTCGGCGGCCGCTACCATGCGATGTGGAAGAAGCAGACCACCATCGAAAAGAGAGACCAGGAGAAAGAAAAGCTGGGTGAAGCATCGGAGACAGAGCAACAGTCATAGGTTACCAAGGGTTGCTCTAGCACGTGTTGCTGGTTGCTTTTCGTGTTCGACAATGGCGGTAGATCATCGTGGGACTTGTAAAGATAGAGCATTTTTGTAGATATATGTGAAAAGGGTTGGTTCCAGTTTCCCTGATGCATAAATCGCAAGGGGGCTGCAAAACTTTGAATATCCCTGTCTTCCTTCCCACGAAACACGGCTAAACAAGCGTTACAAGGCTTTGCCGCGATCCCGTCTGGGGTCCCGTCTGGGGTCCTGTCTGGGGTACATCATGGATTCCCGACGGCACTAGCTCACTCTGCAGGCATCCTATGACTCCAGTCTTGGCCGCTGAAGTATGATAATTAGTGTAATAATAAATGTTAGGCCTTAAAAAGGCTCTTAGTAAATTAGAGGTTTAAATAATAATTAAATAAAACTTAAGTGTAATAAGACCTTAGAGTAGTTCTAGTAATAAGAGCTTAGTTAGTTAAGGGGAAAAGAAGTTTTAAAGAGATTCTAATAATTCTAATAGAATTTATATTTATACCTTACTTAAAGTAAGAAAAGTTAGCTTAATCTCTAACTATATTATTGCAAGACTTATAAGATATATATAGTATTTAGAAACTTATAGTCTGTAATAAATTCTTTCATGGTGTGGTACTAGGTTATATGTGGGCTCTATTGTCTTATAAGGGGTGTAGGCTGGACTTTTCATGGCCTGTGGAGTACCACATTGACTAGGACCATTGTATAACACAAGTATAATGACTCGTTTATGCCCCGCCTCATGCCCAGGCGAGCAGCTGGGCACCTTGGCACTCCCGGCTCGCTCGGACTGTTGTCTCTTTACCTAGGGGAGTACCGAGACTGGTATATATGCTCTACTTGTGTAGGTACTCACCGGGTCTTCACTAAAGTCCGACAGCACATGTATAAAACTGCTCACTGCCACTAGTTATCAGCCGGTATATATCTTGCCGCTCATTCTGTGCACTTAGTCCGATCCCAACTTATAAAATCGTTGTATCCACGCCTATAATATATCCCAGCTGATAGTGGGAAGAACCTCCCTCCTGAAATACGAAAGATGTCACCCAAACCCACCTTCGTCCTCGTCCCCGGCGCGTGGCACCGCCCATCCTGCTTCGACAAGCTCAGGGACTCCCTCTCAAAGCACGGCTACCCCTCCGTAGCGGTCACGACGCCGTCGGTGGGCTCCGAACCACCGGTAACCTCGATGGCCCCCGACGTCGACGCTGTCGAGGCGGCCGTGCGCAAGGTGCTGGACCGTGGTGACGATGTCTACTTGCTCATGCACTCATATGGAGGCGCGCCTGGGTCCGCTGCCTCGGGGAGGATCGCCGAGAGCGGTGGTAATTCGGGGGACGGCAAGGGGAGGATCAAGAGGCTGTTTTATGTTGCCGCGTGTGTGCCTATCGAGGGCATTCCATTGGGCTCGCCTGCTGAGGTGATCCCCGGGTTCGAGTTTGAATACATGGATGTCAACGAGGTGAGCTGAACCCGGTTATCCATGTCCGTTTGACTGTAACTTTCCTTGATATCAACTCAAATTGCTTTGTGTATTATGAGAACTTGATTTCTGACAGCGGCCACCCAGCACGGAAATGCCGTGCTCAACGAGAAAGCACTGGTGTGGATGTACGACGGCCTCCCGGAGGAGGAGCAGCGAAAGCATCTCGCGGCAGCCTCCACGCAGCCCATCGCGGCGATCACAGACAAAGTCGCCCACGTTGGCTGGAGGTATATCCCATCCACTTCCGTCTACGGCGACCAGGACTTGCCGATTCCGCTGCGTTTTGCGGAGTTCATGGTCAACAGGGCCCAGGCCGAGGAACCCAGGGAGGGGGGTGTCAAAGCATTCGCGGGTGAGCTGGGAGAGTTCCACATGGACTGTGGTCACTTTGGGATGTTCTTGCTAGACGATAAGGTGGAGGAATTGGTTCAGATTTTGGATGCTGCGGTAAAGAAGTCGTGATGTAAGCAAAGCTGCACGGCGCTGATTCCGAGTGGCTTCTCGTCACGACAAGGATCTGCGAAGGGCGGCTGCAGGCCCACAATGGGAAGTTGACTTACAATGACCAGCAAACTTTCTATGTACTCGTACAGTGAACAAGACTGTTGAAAGAAGCCAAAATATTTCAAGACTTTCCAGGACTTTGATCACGAATTAAATTGGGCACACATGTAGAAGTCATAAAAATCAACGGAAATCAAATAAAGGAAGAGATTGCTCTGCTAGCATGCCCTGAAGTTAACCATTACTGTGGTCCAATTTTTGCACTACACTTGGTGGTTTCGTTTTAAATCCCCATCTTAAATTCTGACCATTGAAACTTGCAGCTGGTCTCGAAAGACAAATATTAACCCAGATCTGGCCGTACATTTGTGTTCCATTCCCCACCGTAGAGCAGATTCATCTGAATAGGATCATTCACAACTGTCAGCAGTGGGTCATATGCCTGCGTTGCACGCTCCTCCCAGTGCTGTGCTGCCATTTTGTCCACCATGTCGTCCGGATCCCCCTCGGATGCGTCAGACAGCTCGTCCTCCATCGTTCTGCTACTCCTTGCCGCCCGAGCCTGGACGTCTTCGCTTTCATTATCGGCGGCAATGAGGCCCTGCTCCCAGTCGAAGAAGTTGTTCGGGTCCCACAGGCGCTTCACCAGCGCCAACCTGTCTCGGTTGTTGCCATAGTAAGCCTTGGGGACGTCGACCTTGGGGATGCTCGCGTCGGGGAAGTTGACGAACGAGGCCTTGCCCGCAATCGAGAACGGCCGCAGTCTGTTCTTGAACTTGTGCGCGAAGCCCCTCATGTCTCTCTCCATCCACTTGTCCCTCCACTGGACCTGTATGTACACGTGGTAGGCGGTATCGCGCCAGCGGAAGGCTGTCTCGTCCCGGGCCCGCGCGCTCATCTGGCCACCTGAATGGATCCATGTGCACTGGCATAGGCCGTATTCCTCGCCGGCGAAGACGTTTTTGAAAGCCTCAAGTTCTTCCTTGATGATGGCGGTGATCTTTGTGATATCCTCAAGCTTGTTTGTGAAACAGAACGAATGGAAAATGCGGAAGCTGCTGCTGGCTGGGGTCGACCTCTTGACTTCCTCATCCCACTGAGCGAAGAGGGTCTCATGCAGAAACCGGGAACTATTCTCGGCCAGGGATCGGCGCTGGAGCTGCTTCGATAGTTCCATGTTCAGAATATTCTTGTTGATGAGCTTGTCGAATTGCTTCTGGTCGCCGTCGAAGTAGGTGAGAAAACGGACCGCAATGTCGCCGTTCCGCACCGCAAGATCGGAATACCACGAGGAGTCAATTGTCATCTGCTTTGGCCAGGCAGTTGTGTAGAACTGGTTCATCGTGGCGAGCAGCCCCGTACCATCAGATGTATCTGCCCGCGGCGCCAAGGCCCCGAAGAAACCTGCCAGTCCGGAAATTCGATCAATGGTCGGAAACCATGTGTGTCTCCCCGCGACGATTTGGTTTAACTCGGGGTTTTCATTAGGATCACGATCTCCCAAACGGAAAACCTGAATCTTGATCTCGCACACCACGCCGAAGTTTGCACCACCAGCACCACATAAAGCCCAGAACAATTGGCCTGCGGATGTGTTAGTATAGGACATCGTCTCTGTGCTTCCAAGAAGAACCCCATTGTAGTTGTTTGAGCGTTAAGGGAGACGGTCCCAGGTACATACCTTCCTCTGAGTCCGGATCATCCGCCGGCGTGACGATGTAGATTTCGCCATCCGCGGCCGCAACGGTCATTTCGAGCACGTTGTCGCAACCCAGACCATATTGTCTGCTGAATGGCCCTATGCCCCCACCAAGTAGAAACCCGCTCACACCCACAGTGGGACAACGGCCGCCGTTGACCATGTATCCGTCTTCTGAATCGACCAGCACTCTGTATACGTTTCCCCACAGGGCACCCCCTTGTATAGTCATTGTTAAGGCCTCACTATTTCGTGTTAGGGCTATGCGCGGGTGTTACAAGTCCACGATTGCAAGGCAAATAATAAGGAAACCCATATTTGAACCGGGGCCGTCCCTTTTTATGTAGAGAAAACCCAGGGTGCAACAACATACCCAGACGGGCGAGAAATCGGGAGACTGACCTGTCGAAATGCACATGATTCATGTTCTTCATGTCCAGCATTATTCCTTCATTGGGAAACGAGGAACCAATGTATGAATGCCCGCCATTCTTGATCGTGAGAGGTATTTTCCGCGCGATTGCCTCGGTCACAATGGTCGAGACTTGAAAATGAGTGCTCGGCCGGACGACATAAGTTGGACGCGAGAACCGGTACAGCAGGTTCGAACAAGCCACGGACCGCTCGTACTCCAATTCGCCGGGGTCATACACCTCGATTCCTGATGCTTCGAGTTGGGCTTTCAGATCGGGGTCTGGGCGTTCTGGTCGCGGTGTCAACAGCGCCCGGCTTGCCGTTGCCTGCCTTCTCACTCCTCCGCCTCCACCAGTTGTTCTATTGCGCGGCGGGCGGGGAGGCCGGCTGGGGTCGGGTCCGAAGGGGTCGCGCCTGCTGCGGTCCGATTTAGGCGTGACACCCCAGGGGCTCCCAGGGGTGGCGATCTCGTCGGTACTCAGCAAACTACGTTGTGGGGTTCTTGGTTGCCTCCGCCTGTTACTTGGAGGTGGTGTCTGAGGGGCTCCTTCAGGTGGGGGGCTGGCCATCTTGATACAACTTCTCAGCACGCAAATCGGGGTAGGTTTATCTTCGCCTCGGCAATCTGGAGGGACTTAACAGGTCCCAGGGCTGGAGTATCTACCAGAAAGAGACAAAAGAGAACGAGAAAATCGACATACTATAAACTGATGGACTATAAAGGCAAGTTATAAGAGTTGCGGGGAGATCCAGGGAGGAAACTGGGTGCCTCTGCCAATTCCGGTCTTTGTTGCAAAACTCATGGGAGACGCCACCCCACTCACACGCCTCCTTCTCCTGATCAAAGGAGCCGGGGAAATGACGGGAACGGAATACTTGTGTCAATACTTGAGCTCATTTGCATTAGGACCTCGGCCCACCGTGAACGCTTTGGGGACAATGACTTAAGCTGCACACGCCCTCAATCCTCTCCTGGAATGGATCGAATGCTGCAGACGAATTTCGCAATGTGGTTAAAATAGGCTGTCCTGTGGTGTCTGTCATACTTCATTCCAATTTTTCCAGTTTTCAGGCAGTTCAAATCCAATTTTTCTTTTTGGAAAATCGAGCATGGCCTTGGGTTTCATGATGTTGTAGGCTGGAAGGCAACCCAGTGGGTATTAAAGGTGAGACTTGGTGCTCAATCCATAGCTGGAAAGGGGGTTCATGTAGTCCTGCAATCAACACCTTAAAATCAAGTTTGTACATGCTCAGATTGAATTCTGTGAGCGGAGTTTGGCGATCATTTTCACAATCCACGGTATCATTCAAGTCGCACCACCTGGGCTCGAATGGCCAAAACCAGCTTGGTCTTCCCAACCATGAACCCCCCCCCCCCCAAGCTCGGGTAGAACGCCAACTCGCAGTCAGTTTTCAGCTAAACAGTACCGTCAATTGGCCTCGCCCACTTCAATAAAATCACGCGTATTAGTCGTTATGTTTTGGTATACCTAATATGAAATCGATTCCGGGGAGCAGAGGGCTGAATGCGGCTGGTCAGCCGGCAACAAAGACCGGATTCGTGCCCATGCAGGCGGGAACGGAATAAGCCAAAGGGACGTGGCTTGCTTACCCGCGGTCGCCTCTCGACATACCTGTCGACACTTCCATCGCAGGTAGTATATCCAAAACGCTCTGATCATCAGGTATGTTTTCTAGCAGGCATGTGTTTTCCTTCATTGACGGTGTGCCTCCCGTACGGAATAGAGCTATACCGCAAGTATGGCAGAAGTGGTCATTGACTTCGTGCCTGAACATTACTCTGATGGAGGTGTGCGATCTCTTTGGAGGTGTGCATGATCGTAAGCTCCCTTGGTCCGACCTCCAAGTTCTTCACATACACCTTCGGCTCTCCCTGAGTTACAGCGAAACTCTGCTTCGGCACCTGGTAAACTGCGAATTTGTTGATCTTGCGATCCTCGTGGCAGTAGCAAATTGACCGTTCAAAACCAGACGGATCAGCAATCTACAATACCACATAATAGCTTTTGCAGTGTTTTCTTCTCGGCCACATTTGTCTGAGCCGGGCTCCCAGTGAATACGACTCTTATCTCACCACATAGACAGCTCCCCATGTGCATTATGGAGCTAAGTTTGGGTAGGTGATGTTAATATCTCCAGGGAAGGCTTTCGATGAGACGAGTTTCCATTGGTGGTCATGAGCCCCTTGCCTTTCTCTCCGGAAGGAAGAGGGAGTATGGTCAGGACTGGTTTATACAGTGTGATGATGATGTGTCGCGATGGTGCCTGTGTTGGTGAGAAGAGAGAGGGAGGGGAAAATAGAATAGAACTATAGTTTCTACCGTGCTCTTGGTGCTCCCGGTGCTCCTGGCCCAGGGGGCAGCTACGGGGCCATCAACACCAAGTCTGCTAGATGAGATTTATCGCTCGCCAATACGCCAGTGAACCAGCCTGCGACTTTTCCGTCCCTTCATGTTTGGGGAAATTAAGCATGGTCATCTCACAATAAACAGTAACGAGAGGCCCCTCCATAACAGGCATGGCGGACGCCGCGGCAGTCACAATAGTCCTAAGTGTTCGAATCGCTAACACTGGTGCGGTCTGCAATATCAGAGATTGGTGGCCGCCAGCTATTTGCACGCGGTCTGGCCAGATGTTGCCACCAATCGAAGCCGCATGTTGGCCTCCATGGACTGGCATGAATATACTAATGGCGTTTTGGAGGTTCAGTGAGAGTTGACAGCCACAACGCGCTGCAGAATTTCATTGGATTGGTCAAAAGACAAGACCCGGAGAGTGTCGCTCGCTGCAGACACTCTCTGCAGCCTCCAAATGTAGCGACCTGCAGTAATGTGACGTCGTTGGGGGCTAGGCTAACAAGCCATGAGGACGAGGCGATCCTTCTCACCGGTATCCTTATTGACAGGCTGCAGTACTTGATTATATTTAGATTTAAGCGGGGAACCTCTGACCATCAGTACTCGGGTTCATTCAGCCACCTTCAGCTCGTCTAGGCATGCATCCACCAGACACCGCCATACAATATGATCCAGTTAGGCACGCTGTGGCTAAGCAGGCAGTGACGTGTCACCGTCCACGGGTGCGGCACAAATCTTCAAGAGTCTACCATTTGCCTTGATTCAAACTTCAAGGCTTTCCGCAATCTTATTGCCACGGCAGCTTCGGTTGATCTGACAAATTTCATCACGAAATCAAGCTCGAAGCAAAGGGCAACACCGTGTATAATGCGGCTTTGGAGCATACTGGTGACAATCGCTTAACAAAGTCATTACGGGGGATTTGATCTACGCCATACAAGATGACATTGGGCCTTCTCAATGACCCTCAGCACGCCGCTTATTTCTTCATCACCATTTTCCTCATGCCCTTCGCAGTCTTGGCCGTCTTGCTTCGATTCCTCGCAGTTAGGCGTTCGTCTATGCATCATCAATCCGAAGACTGGCTCGCACTCGCTTCGCTTTTTCTTTATCTTGTTTTTGATGGCGTCACTTTGGCCGGTATGCCAATTCACGAAATAGTTTTCTCTCGGGTTGAGCTAACTCCCCATTCTTCATCAAAGTGGACATAATTGGGGAAGGTCGAGATATATCAGGTCTCATCAAGGACCCAGAAGATCTTATGCCAGTGAGAAAGGTATTTTCGCTCGTCACTAAATTTCCTGAACTACGAATTAACAAGTCATAATCTCCAGCTCATGTATTCGGCACTTTGGGCCTACGTTTGGCAGCAGCTGTTTGCCAAATTAAGTATCATGTGCTTATACTATCGTCTCTTTCATGTCAACCATAGGTTTCGTCTTTGCATTTACGCGCTCGTGATCTACCATATCGCGTGGGTCATTATAGTGTCTGTTATGCTAAGTTTGTTCTGCCAGCCACTGGGAAAATTCTTCGACCCACTCGTCCCCGGACAATGTAACGGGGAAATCACATTCGTTGCCGTGACGGAAACCATCAACTCGTTTGGCGACTTCTTGCTTGTCGCCTTGGCCATGTATATGGTCCGCATTCTTCATCTGTCCAAAGTCAACAAGTGGCGGCTAAGAATTCTCTTCGGATCCGGAGCTCTTGCTGGAATAATAGGATTTTTGAAAATTGGCCTGTCCTTCAATAGGTCATGGTCTTTCAACGAGGCTTCCCTCTGTGAGTTTTAATTTAGGAGCCGCTCCTGTTCCGTTTTACTCCCGTGTATCTGCAGGAGAATTGACCACCATTTTAGATGTATTTACGATGGTGGCCATCTGGTCCAATGTTCAGGCAGCAGTATGCATTGTTTGCTGCTGCGCACCTGTCTACAAGCCAGTACTTCCTGGGTCAAGTTTTTGGAGCCGCTTCACATCCAAAGCGAGCTTTGGCTATCTCAAGAGGGGCCAATACCACCCACATGGCTCAAATACTTCACCAAGCACCTCGAGCACTAAGCCAAGGGAGCCAAGCTGTGAGCACGAGGAGCAGGGGTGGCTAGCCCGCAATGAAGGCAGCTCTCAGGGTCTTGTTTGGGCTGAGCCGAAGGGGTGTCAATGCAATGGTATCAGCGCGCCCGGGGTCGTGTATCCTCTGGAGGTAATAAAGGTGCAGAGAGACATCGAGGTGCTGCGTTGAACTTGGTACTTTGACTCGTTGTCTATCATGGAGTGTGACAAAAGTTTGGTCAGGCAGCAGGGTTCCGGCACCACTTTGGGATTTGGAAGTAGTAGTTGGCGAAATCCCAAGTACGGTTGTAACCAACACCACATATTCAAGATCCTGTCTTGAGTGGTTCAGTTCCCTCCTCTCATAGCTACCGCCTCTTAACTCCTCCTTCTAAGATTTTTACCCTTTCAACCTCCTACACTCCAACCTGCCTAACTACCCCCGCGCCTCCGAACTTCTTACATACTCCAGGGTACTGAATCTTCCATCCTCTCTGTCTCACATCCTATTAATCTTCCATCCTCTCAGTCTCTGACCCTCCCTACCTAGATACCTGGATATGCATATGTAGGCTCCTTTGCCTCATATCTAACCCTAATACTCTTCAACCTTGGGTTCCTCAGCGACCAGCTGTCTAAAAACCATGAAGTGGTGCACCCCAGGGCTTCGCTAAGCGCTAAGTGGGCAACACACTTGCACTCCCCGGGCCGAGGCCCGCTTCATGTCCTTCGAATAACGCTACCACTTACATGTAGACGTTATCCTTTGAAGAGTGGAACCATGTTTGACATCCCAGGATCCACTCGTTGCGAGATCCCAGCCCTGCAATGCTTATATCAACCCGATTCCTAGCTGCGCAGACGGTCCTCCGGCCGCATCCTCTTCCCACGATCCTGTGCTCTCTCCTTACTAACCCTTTCAGCCTCCTTAATAAACCATGCATGGTCAGGGTCTTCTCTCGCGTTGATCTCCTGTGCGTCCATGGCACATCTCTCGTGTCGCTCTCTCGACGCCTCTCGGCGTCTTCTTCTCTCGGCATCCTCCCGCCTGTCCTCCTCGCGACGCAGCCGGGTTTCGGCGTTCTCCCCGGTAGGTTGAGAAGCATTATACAGGCCCTTGCCGCCATTGATGGAACTGGCTGTAGTGTACGCCGAAGTGCCACTGCTCCCAGTTCGGACCGAGGCCATCGAGGGCTTCTCTCGTAGCGGGAAAGGTGGTTGTTGGTCGTCCCGTCCAGAAGAAGAGGGCCTTGATACTGGTGACAGGTTACCGGGGGATTGATCTGCTCTGGCACCGCCAAAAGTATTCCGCCATTGCTGCGGGGGTCCCTGACGTGATTCGGAACTACCAGGTCGGCTCCTCGGTGGGGTACTACCTTGGGCTGATACTGAAATAGTAGAGCTCCTGCTAGACTTTGCTGAATGAAAGCTGTGTGTTCTTGGAGTACTAGATCGCATCATACTTTCTCGTGTCTCGCGTGATCCCAGCGGAGGCGCTTGTGGCGTGCGCGAATGGGTCAAGCTCATCTTCATCAGCGACGATTCAGATTGAACGGTGTGAATATCGCAGTATGACCTGATGAATTGTAGTGAATATTTCAAATCGGATGTAATGAAATCGAGTATGATTTGGCAAGCAAATGGTTTAGCAATTGCTATTCTCAATAATAATCCCCAGAGCTGTTCCTTCAACTGGAACAGTAAAGTTCAATATCGCGAACTGATACTTTTTTATCTGTCTAGATTGGATGTTGTACGGCCTCCAAGTGATATTTTCTCGGCTCACAACCAAGTGCTCTTCCTGCTTCCAGCTGAAAGTTTGATCAGGTCAACACCATGGCTTGAAACATGGGTCGCGAGCCACGCCAGTTGAACAGCGACCCATTGTTGGCTACACACATCAGTAATGTACGTAGGGTTTGAGGGTCAGTAGACGGGCTTCGTTGAGAGTTCCGTTCGGAACTGGTCTGGTAATGTATCCAGAGTTAGGCGAGTGGTCTCTGGAGAACGCGATCTTGTCACAGGGTCTTGTAAACCGGTCTGCGCCCCTGGGCCAGGACCAACAACCGTGTGATGAAGGACAGTTTCAATGGCCCAGTTGTTGGCCAAGAAGCGGAACATGATATTGATTGGAAAAAGCCATCTGTACATGCACTTGTTTGCTCCGCTGGCTTCTAACAAAGTCATCATTGCTCGCTTGACGACAATCAGCCAAGCCGCTGGGGGCGGATGTTTGTAGACTGTTTGACATCACAAATAATGGTCAGTTTCTCCTTGAAGCAGGCCTCGGTCGCATAACCAGAGTTTCGTCCCCATCAGCTACCAAATTTAGAAACTTCGTCGCAGAGAGACCACTGGGCGGTGTTGGAGGCCAAATCTGACGCGGGGCGCAGTGAAACAGCAGTTAGGTACCTGCCTAGGTACTAGCTGCATGCCAACTTTCACTCATGCACGTTGGCGGCTACCTGCTTGCTTGGGAACACTCAATGCCACTCATCTGTGGGCTCACAACCAATGGAAATCGCCAGGAGAGATTTGTAAGCTGACCAAATCTTCTCAAGTGTTTTATGTTTCCATTTCTTTGTTATTTCTTGCCATTTATTTTAGGGCTCATCATTCCCTCCAATGCTTTCACTCACAGTGATACCTAGGTACCATCCGTTCTTGTTGATCATGTCTAAGATTAACGATTCTGGTGGCCACGAATATGACGGTGACTTTGACCTACCTTGGGCTATGCCTGACCGATTGCAATATAAGAAATCAAAAGCATCGATGGATGATAGCTTGAAGAATCTCAGTCGCAAGTCCTTTCGTGATCTCGTGCAAAGCCTTGCGAAAGAAAGGCTTGGTGACCCGAATCTTCGACTTGTGAGCAATAACCCGTTGAGATTCGACACCTGGAGAACTTGGGTTTGATCCTATGGCTGACCTGCGCTCAGGTACCCACAGGAATGTGTGGTGGATTTAATGCCCTTTACGGACTGGCTATCGGTGGCTCCCCTCCCAAGCACTTGTTGAGAGTGCCAAACGCGACTGTCGTTTTTCCCGACGAGAAAACTGCGGCTGAGGGTACAATCGCTCAGTTTCTACACGATAACAGCTCAATCCCAATCGCACAAGTACTTCACTATGGGTTGTCATGCGACAACCCCGCAGTTGGGCCATACATCATCATGGAACGCGTCGAGCATATCTGGTCCATGTCACAGAGATTGAACAAGAACTTCAGGGACAAAGAAGTTCGAGCCATCCTAGACACTGATATATCCACAACCAAACTCAAGGCACTGGACGTGCAAATGGTTCGATACCTCTTACAGATATTTTCACATCGTTTCCCTCGCATCGGAACACTCGCTCGCTCCGAGGCAGACAAATACGTTGTCCGAAGTCGGCCAATGTCAATGGACATGCAGCAGACAATTGAGCTTGCAAACATCCCCGAATCGGCATTACCAGCCAAGAACAAAACATACTCGACAGCTGATGAATGGTATATGGCGTGCTCGTGGATCAACGTTACTCCGATTCTCTTCCAACAAAACGACGTCTTCTTTTCGGCAGACGATTTCAGAAACAAGTATACAGCGAGGTTGATATTTCACCGGCTGGCTATTGAAGGAAAACTTTCAAAATTTGGTTTCGAAGAAGACTCCTGGTCTGAGCAGTCCCGGGAGTTCCGTGCCCAGTCGCGGCCAATCTGTCCGGCGCCAAGCAGCACCGGCGACTTTGTTCTCTGGTGCGACGACCTACGCCCTGAAAACATCCTATTGGATGAATCTGATGACATAACTGGTATTATCGACTGGGAGTTTTCTTATGTTGCACCGACGCAATTTTCGCTGGATCCGCCATGGTGGTTGTGCCTGCAACCTCCTCATGATTATGACGATGGGGGGCTCGCGGGCTTTATCAAGACATACGACGACCGCGTCAAGATATGGCTGGAGGCTGTTAAGGATGTGGAGAAGGAGCCTGATTTCGCCTCACTAGGCCTGCCTGACGGGATCGGGATGTCCAGATACATGCGCGAGAGCTGGGAGACGGGGCGTTTCTGGCTGAGCTATGCCACTAGGAAAGTCTGGGGCTTTGATGAGATCTACTGGAAGTGTCTGGATGAGAGGTTCTTTGGCAAGAGGCCGTGTGGCGTACCCAGGGAGAAACTTTGGACTACTCGGCTTCATTTATTAACCGACCGGGAGAGGGAACTCATGGAACCTTTCGTGCAGAGGAGGGGGGAAGAGACCAATGAGAGGAAGTTGATAGATCATTGGGAGCCAGAGGAAGTCCGGAGGCGATTCCAAGAGTTCCTCGGGGAGTTTTGAGAATCAATACATTCTTGTGCTTTCCATGGTGACTCGGTGCATTGAAGGGGACTCGGAGCGTGCCATTTCCTGGCTGTTATCATGCAGATGTCCGAATTTATAATGTACGCCTTAGTCACAATAGCCAACCTTGGAAAGTGGCACAATGCGTTTTGATGCAGGAACGAATCTAGAGAGGCTAAAAGCATGTCTCAAGACACCCTACCCGAAATCATCTCTGTCGTTGTCCGGCAGCTTCCGTCCCAGGGCTCGGTGGGGGCGGGCCGGTCGTCCAGTTCGACGGACTAGGACCCAACACAAAATCCATCGTCCCACCCTTCTCGAAAACATCCGACCACGTCACCCATGACTTGTTCCAGGCCTTTCCATTCACCTTCAAACTTTGGACATAGTAAGACGTCTCACTTCCTCCCGTGGTCGTGATATCCAGCTTCTTGCCATCACCAAGACTTATCGTCAGGTCTGAGAACCAGGGACTGCCAATCAGAAACGTGGTCTGGCCAGTCATCGGATACAAGCCCAGCATGATCCACAGCACCCAGCTCTCCATCGCGCCGGCATCCGAGTTGCCGGGTAGACCACCGGGTGTTGGAGTATAGTAAGCCTTGGCGAACTTCCGTGTGTAGTAGACTGTGAGGTCTTGGCGGTTGACAAAGTTGAAGAGGTACGGAGTGGTGAACGAGGGCTCGTTGCCAGGGTTGAATATCATCTGGTCAAAGGAGCCGGATGGGTAGGCTCCTGGGGTGAACATCATCTCGAGGCGCTTCACAAAGTTTGCTTCTCCGCCAGTGTAGGAGATGATTGTGTCAATGTCGTGGTGGGCGTTCCAGGAGTACTCCCATGGTAGGGCTTCGTAGTCTACGCAAATACGGTCAGTAAAAGCCAGACTCGCATTGCGATGGAGTCCAAATCAGTGTACTCACAGTAATCTGCCCAGTAGCACCCCCCGCAGCTGAGAGGATCCTGCTCGATGAACCCGGAGAGGTCTCTCGGGACAACGAACCCGGAGAAGCCCAGCGACTCGGCATCAGGATTCCAATGATTTCTCCAGTTGCGGCTCCGATTCAAATAAGTCGATGCGTTCTTCTCGCCCAGCCCCTCACCAACTGTGTACACGGCAAAGTCATTAACCGAGTACTCCACCGCCCGGGTGACAGACCGGCCGAAAGACGGAGTAATAAAGCCATGCTCGAGCCAGTCAGGCAGCGCCCCTCGTCCCTCCTTGGTCGAGCCGGTGGGATCGCGGGGGTCGTTGTTATTCGGCGGGGTCACCTCCGCGTCCGTGAGCATGGCGGAGTATCCGTCCTCCCAGTTGACACCGTCCCGCACGCCCTTGACGTACGCATCCGCGAGGACGTTGTCGGCATTCGAGCCGGCCTGGGTTGCGCCGTTCCAGAAGGACGAGCGCGCATCTGGCATGTAGCCTTCGTTTCTCCAAATATCGATGAGAGACCGGATGTACTCTGTGTATGCCTTTGGATGGATGACATGGAACAGAGCCGTGCCACATCGGAACTATAGAGGTTAGCATTCCGTTTTCAGATGGCCGTTTTGCACCTGACATACCAGGTCCCATAGTGTGAATATGTCGTCGTAATACGGCTCTGAAGACGCCCACAAAGGATTCTCACCCGTCTTGTTCGTCGGGATTATATTCAGGTGGTACAGTGATGAGTATAGGAGCTGCAGGTCAGCCAGGTTTCTTGTGTCGGTAGTTGTGACCTTTGACAGCACTTCGCTGTTCCACGCATCTTTGGTCCGAGCTGTCAGCTGCTTGCGGGTGGTGCCGGGAGGGATCTGGGAGTCGACATTCGAGCAGGCTTGTTCCGCAGAAATGAAGGATACCCCGACTCTCGAAGTAACATTCGTGGTACCGTCGAATGTATACACGACGCCAAGGCGCGACGTCGAAGTGACATTGTCGCCGGCCGGGTACTCAACAAGCGAGCTGTCGGTGTTCCCAGCACCGAGGAAGGTCTTGTATGTCGATGGAGGCGGATCGAAGTGCCCGCAGAAGTAGACTGTCCACTTCGGTGCTCGGTTCCAGCCGTTGTCATACGAACCGTAGCCTTTGTAATACCCTGCATTGGTATCACCCCCAATCACCTCAATGTTGCCTCCCAGGTAGGACTGCTCAAGGCCCATGCCGCGATAGCTCGAAAGCACATGACTCACGTCGACAATCACGTTTCTGGCCTCGCTGTTGTCCGGGAAGCTGTATTGGTAGAACCCTGCCCTCTCGGTGCCCGCCAGCTCAACAGTAATGCCGGAGCCCAAGAACGACCTGTAGTATCCCACCTCGCTTATATCAGGGGAGAGCCTTGTGTCGCTGTGATCCTCCAGCGGGTTGGGGATGTCCCCCAGGACTGGCATCTGTGAGACCACGCCATATTTCGGTGCGCCGCCTGTGCCACTCTCATGTAGCATGGAGAACCCAGTGAAGTTTCCGTCGGGCCTATAGCCGGAGTATGCATCACTTCCGTCGTACAGATCTGGCCCAAGTTTCACTATGCCCAACGGCCAGCTCACTCCCGGGAATGTGTTCCCCCCATTTTCCTGACCTGTCTTTGTCGCCCATCAGCCCATGGTCAGAAATTTGAAGCGTCGAGTGAGTGACAAACGTTGGGCAGGACGTAGCCTGTCAGATCCGCAGCCGCAGACACAACAGCGGATGAGAACAAGCGAGCGGGAACGGTAGATGAGAAGAAGCCAGCCGCCACGGTGGAAGAGAACAAGACAGCCGCAGCGGTGAACGAGAACAAGATAGCCATTATTATGGCACAGTTAAGCGTCATAGTCATTGTGTGAGGATAGAGAAAGAGAACTGAGATGAACGAAAGACTAGAAGTAGCAGAGGCTGGAAAGTCTTTGGGTGAGAAACGACTGAGCTGTGGAAACTGACCCACAAGCAGAACTCCACCAGGGCGCCTATGTGAATGAAGAGAGCTGGCACACTGCTCGGCTCCGGCAGGGATCGCGAACTACAACGTGGTTGCTTGCATGTCTCTGAATGGGCAGCTGATTGTATCGTGCACGTACACAGGCTATGCTAATAACTAGGAGCCCACGGGGTTGCAATGGTGGGTTTGAAAAATGGCAAGGTCAAGACGACAGCATAGGTCGACTAGGAAGGCTGATGTTCAAATAGACTGGCAAATTAGATATCCGGACCCCACGCAGCTGCTGGAACTATCATCTGAGCAATGCAACGTGGGCGGCAACCCTGCCTGGCGAGTGTACTTCGTGACCATGGTGTGCCATCTGACCCACCTCTGAGATGTAGTGTGCGAGATGCGGCAGTGATCACTTGTCAGAAAAGCAACGCCAAGGGAGAATGGACAGGGAGCATCAGGATGTGGGTTCGTTGCCCCCATGCGCACGGCATTAGGAACTGACTTCCAGGATTATTAGGTGCTGAAAGTCAGGCTCATCGCATCCTGTGGGAGTGACGCTGATCTTGGCCCCCGGATATCGGCAGAGCGGTCGGTTTAAGCGGCAAGTGGAGAGACAGCAATGGTACAGGTCAGAAGATGGACAGTTCGAACCACCTTGGCATTCTCGTGTCTCGCTCAGTTCTTAATACTGGAATTGGGCGCTGGTCGGTCTGCTCAAGGCTTCCACGCTTAAAATCCATACATTAAGGATGGATGCATCGCTGGCTGTATTGATGGCGGATGATCGTCAGGCACGTGGTGACAGCTCTCGGCATGATTTGCGTGAGGACGAGACCAGCCTTATTCCCGGGTTCAGCTTGCAGACGGCCGAACTGTCGTTCGTCCTGCCTCAGAAAGAAGCCCCCAGAGGACCCCACATTCCGGGATACCCCAGGCCGTCAGTCAACACCACGAGCTGCTTCCGCAACAGGGCGGGCTTGGGCACTTGGCCATTTCTCTCGCTCTGAGTGGCAGACTTGTAAAACCGGTTGCGGCCCTCTGGACCAACAGGTCTTTCTCACTTATGCCACAAAAATACCAGAGACGGCAGATTGGGGGCTTCCTAACATGGCAAGACGTGAGTAAGCACAACTTGTTCCGGGACCCACCTCGCCTTCTTCTGCCCCCAGGCGAGCCCTGCGCAGCGTCTATCTCGCATTCCTCACGCCTCCACGGGGGCTGGGATGCTTCCTCGGCGCCAGCCGTGCTGTTCGCCCCGGCGGTGGTGCATGGGCTGTTTCGGTTTGGACCCTGCGTCTGACCTCCAGCCCATGCTCATCAACTTATCGGCGTGGCTGTGTATACTGCTAGGATACCGGAGAGTGGGTGGTTGTCCTAGGACGTTTGACCTCCTCAGGCAGAGCCACAATTGGATGGCCACGCCCTGGTGCTCGCGCGGGTCACTGGTGAGGCTCAGCCAGAGGGCTTTACGAAACCATGGGGGTGTGGGCAGGTAGGTGTCCTCGTAAAAGAATGGGCTGTGCGGAAACTTCGTGTGGATTAGATACCAGGGGATATTTGGGCAGGGCAGCACAGTACAGCACAATAAGTTTGCTGAAATTTTCCAGGCAGGATGGTCCAGTCCTGCATGTGTTTCCTCATGTCCTCCAACAGTGAAACCGACACCAAACACCCTTTGCAGGAACCAATAATCGCATTCGTCGACATCCTCCACTACCCTCTTCCGGACGTCCACGGCAAGTAAAGCAGCCTGAAGGTTCATAGATCAGAACAACTCCTCCATGACCTGCCCCCACCCCTTCGGCGGACCACTCGCCTGTCCCGAGGTCGCGGGACCCCTAGGCCTGCCTGCCTGCCTCACCCTTCAATTATCCAACGACCGTCAATGTCCCACAACAAGCAGAGACCCTCCCGACAGCCACTGCCGCTCGACAAGCACCACCACCCTCCAATCAAAAACTTCACAAAAAAAATATTGCAATGGCCGGGAATCTCTCTCCATATCTCTCTCAATCATTACTCCCCAACGCTACAGAATTACCAGACAATAACCTCCCCCGGGGGAGAGAGACAAGGGGCGGGGTTCGCCAGCACCGAGACCATGGAAGAAGAAGAAGAAGAAAAATAAAAGGGGGAGAACCACATGTGCAAGGCACCAGCGGCCCAGGGCCCGGCTTTTCCAAACCGAGTCCAAGATCCCCCCTCCCCTTTCGTCTTTGCTCCCCCCCCCCCCTCCATAAAGCGCGACCCCTCGCAGACATCGTCACTGCTGGCGCACTCCCCTCTACGTCTCATCGCGTGTTTCTTCCCCCTTCCTTTCGCGCCCTTTTCGTCGCTTGCATTCCTTCCTTCCTTCCTTACTTGCCTTCTGCTTTCCTGACGAGCCAAGTAAGTTGTGTACTGAACCTAAGGGATAAAAAACCCCTCTTTCCCTCTTCCTTCCCTCATTCCTTTTCCCAAGTTTACCGCTGCGGGTATCCCTATTGTCTCGTATGGCTCGGTTCAATCCTGACCCGTAGACCACCCGTAAGTATGTTTTGGTGATGTTTGTACATATAAGAAACAACATGTTTCTTCTTGCGCGGAATGCAAGAGCCAGGCGGTGCCCACGGCATCCGCGCATGACTGACGAGCTGTCGAGCCTCGCGTGGGGGCTCCTCGACTTCCATGCCTGCATCCAAGACTAAGGTAAGTCAAAAGATACTTTTCGTTCAATACTAGTACGGCACGCCGGCAGCGGCAATAGGCCGCATGGAGTCTGTGATTCGCTGCGTCAGGCTCGTCATGCTGGAGATGTTCCTCAGGGCTGGGTCGCTGGGCATCGTGCTGCTGAGGCGCAGGAATACATGCTCGAGGCGACCCTTCAGCAGCGACATGACCTTGGGGGTGATTTCGCGGACTTGTCCCTCCTGCAATTTGGAGTTAGTTCACTCCCGCCTCACCTGTTGTAGCGATGTGATTGGAAAGGGTGGCCCTGTTGCGCAGGTACTTACAATTCTGGGGAGAGCCTCGAAGAATGTGACCAGAACAACCTCAGTCCAGCCGAGCTTAGTGTGCAGAAGCTGGGGGTTTTCCAGATTCGCCGTGACAGTCGCTGCAACAGTCAAGAGCAGCAGTGGGTTCAGGTTCTGAATGAACGTGGCATCGTACTTGGCCAGGACCTGGGAGAAGACCTCTTCCTCGTTACGGGTGTCTTGAATCCAGGTCATTACTGCGTCGTCGAACTTGCCTTGTGTCATGTAAGTGCGCACACGCTCGCATGCCTGCTCAATGTCCAGACGCTCACGGTTGTCCTTGGTAGTCGGCTGGAACACGACCTGAGAAGAGGACAGCTGCGATCCACTGATTTGTGATGTTTGCGGTGGCGCCTGTTGTTGAACTTGTTGCTGACCGGGGAATTGGCCGGGCTGCTGGCTTGACGGGCTTCCAAACTGCTGGGATTGTTGCAGTGATAGGATGCTAGGATTCACAGGCTGGTTGGGGTACTGCTGGTGCGGTTGCGAGATCATGGAAGCTGAAGGTGCCCATTGCTGGGAGTGCTGTGGGGAATTAACGCCGCCTGCAGCCGCGTTTGGGTATTGCTGTGACCCAGCCTGGGGGCTGCCGTACTGCTGCTGAGGGACGATGGCTTGTGCCACATGCTGCAAAGCCTGAGACTGGCTGTGAGATGGGCTGTGGTATGAGCCGTTGCCCGGTGCGTGACCTTCCTGCCCGAGCTGTCGAGAGCGAGACGAGTGGTGCGCTGGCGATACCTTCCGCGACTGCTGTTTGACAAGTTCAGTCTGGAGCTTCAGGATTTCCTCCTGGAAGCTTGCCTGGGCAGTGACCATAGTGTTCAGAGTCTCTGACATGTTGGTGTTGAGGGCAACGAGCTGCTCAAACTTTTGCATGTCCTTCAGACGTACTTGCTCGATCGCATTAAACTGGTTGTTGACATTAACCAGGATCTCCTTGCCACACGCAGTCACTGCCTCGGTAGCCAGCTTAGTGAACCGAGGGATGATTCTATCGTCAAGGACTGCGTAGAGCTGCTCGTCGATCTTGGCAGAGAGTGTGTGGACCATCTTGTCGGTCATCGACTTGACGAGCTCAGGCTTCCGCAGAGCCTGGTCCATAGCATGAGGCAGGGTGCGCTGTATCTCCCTCTGCACTGCCTGCGGGACAGAACTGCCGAGCCTGCTTCCAAGCTCGGCGGTCACCGTGCGCGTGACAACCTCACCAACCTTTGGTGCGATGGACTTCTCCATCTCCTCCTCGATGATCTTGGCGAGTACACCTTGGCAGTTCTCGTTGAGGACCTCCGAGACCATGCCCAGGAGCTTCACCTGGTTCCCTTCGAACTGGCTGTCGCGAGTCTTTGCATCCTTGTCAAGACTCTGGCGGAGACCAGAGAGACTGGACTGGAAGGAGCTTGCAATGTTCTCGATAAGACGCTTCTCCATCGTGTTGATGCGCGTGTCGACTTCCTGCGAGAAGCTTGGGAAAGGTGTGGATTTAGAGGCCTTGGCCGGCTCGTGTGTCGTGGTAGCGACGACCTTGGGGGCGTGGCCGTTGGTCTGCGCAGCTTCCCGCTCACGTTCAGCCAGCGCAGCAGCCTGTGCAGCAGCCTTTTCAGCAGCAGCCTTCTTCTTCCTTCCCTTCTTGTCAGGCTTCTCCGAGGCAGGAACTGGCACGGCAGACTCTTCCTCCTTCGCCTCCTTGTGCTTGGGTGGAGTGACGACTTTTCGGGTGGACGGCTCTGGTGCAGGCTCGGGAGCCGGTTCCTTTGGCCGCACAGCCAGGCGAATTGAGGGCTGCGCTGCTGGTTCCTCAGGCAGCTGATTCGAGGGTTGGGTAGGTGGTGGCCTCAGCTTCGTAATGGAGACAACGCCCGCTTGTGTGGCGTCGACAGGGTTAATAACCTTGTTGTCGTCGTCCCAACCCAGCTCAGACGCTTTGATGGAGATACATGCTACTCCCTTTGAGTGCATGGCATAGAGCTCAAAGAGTGTGGCCTCAGCGCCTTCTCCAGAGGAAGCTGGGTTCTGGAGGAGGTAAAGGCTTCGCAGAACACCCTTGTTGGCGAACGAGTACTCCCTCATGCCGCTGATGACTGCGGTAGAGTCAGGAGTGGGGATCGAGGAGTCTTGCGCCACCAACTTCTGGATGTAATCGACCTGCGACGGGTTGTTCTTCAACGCGTACTTAGGCGCCGAGAGGTGAAGGAAGTAGACCGAGTTCCGCGTCGGGTGACCAACAACAATGATACCAGAGGGAGGGTGGTACATGACACTGCAGACAGCGTCGGATTCCTTGCTGTGAGGAAGGTTGAATTCTTGAACAGGCTTGCCCAGGGCCAAGTCCCAGAGCTGCAACGTGTGGTTTTGTTTCATACCCACGATCAGGTAGCGCAGCGCCGTGCGCTTCTGATACGGCCGGAGCTTGTCCAACAAAAGCACAGAAGTAGGCCAGGCCTTTTCTCCTTCTGGGGTTGTTGTCAGAGTCATCAGCGGCTCCTTCACCTCGGCCGAGGTGTGTGCTGGCATTGGGTTGCGAGGGTCAGATTCCTCGTCGGAGGCGGTCAGGTCACGGACATCCCAGAACTTAACACGGCCCGACTTGTCAAGCGAGACAACGACTGAGTCATCCTGACTGAAAGTGAAGTCCTTACCAGCCTTTCCAGTGTTGATCTTCAGCGAGCACTCCTTGGCAAGTCGGTCGGTGTCGACGACACGGTCGTGGCCAGGCTTGATGAGATTTCTCTGCAAGACAAACGACGGCCAGATGATGTTGATGGATTTGCCGCGGCCGACAGCAAAGTACTCCGGGTGGTTGGTGGAGGTGCGAGCGCGGGTCTTCAGAACACCGCCGGGGGCATCTCCGCCCTCCTGGGCACTGCTAGGAGGCAGAGCAAACCCGTACTGCTCGAGATGAGCATCGTCGAGGTGGTCCTTCTCGCCGTCCTTGACCTGCACCCAATAGACCGTGCCACTGATACCGGTACCAACGATAGCCTCCTTTTGGGTGACTTCCTGGTCTGCGGGTGTGGCGGACATGGCGAGGTTGAAAATGCGGTCCTTAGTATCGGCAAACAACTTGGCATCACGACCGTCGTCCTGCCTAATGACGCGGAGACCGCCAGCCTTAGACATGCCGTATGCCAGGTACGCCTCTGACGAGGCCACGAGGTTGCGGTCGATTTGGTCAAACTCTTTCTTGAGCCGCGCAATGTCGAGGATGGCGTCATCGCGGAAGACAGGACGGGTGTCGTTGGCACCGTCTTGGACCGTGATGGAGATCCACGGTTTCATGGGGAAGTTGAAGACCTTGACAGGACTAGTCGTCTCCTCGATGACAACAATCTCGTCTTCGGCTTCGGCACTCTCCCAGCTATCGGCGACGGGACCCTGGGCGGCATCATCCACAATCTCTCGGACGGCCTTTGCCAATTCGGGACGGAATGCTGTCTCCAAGGCAGTCTTGTTCTCGTCCTTCTCGAGCTCCTCCTTGATGTCTGAAGCAGCGTGGGCGGCCGCCTCGTTGAACTCCTTGTCCGTCTGAGCAGCCATCAGCTCCTTAAGGTCCTGGGTGATCCTGGCCTGGGCTTGCTCATCTTCAGCACGGGTAATTGCCTCCCGAGCCTGCAAATCAGCCTGGTTGGCGATGTCGCTAACAGCCTCAGACACAGTCTCCTTGTGCTTAGGCTCGGGCTCATGCTCGGCGTGCGAACTGGGGCCATCCACCTTTCGGCGGGTTGACTCGCGACCTTCCAAGTGGCTGCTAGTGCTTGACAGACGCTTGTGCTCTGGACCAGCGGACGATCCAGGCTTCTTCAAGATCTGGACCAGTCCTGGAGCTTGGGCCTGGATACTGGGAGAGCCGGACACCCCGGGTGTTGTAGATTTTCCACCAGCCCGGTTCTGAGGAGAGACTGAAGCAGTCAGCTCATCGAAGGGGTTGGTATAGTTGAATATCCCGGACTTTGTAGCAGGAGTGCCATCTCGGCTCGACACTGCAGGGGCCGGGGAGGGTTTGAACTGAGTGTCCTGAGAGACAAATTCGAACGAGCTCGCAGTAGGAACAACAGGGTTGGCTCGATTAGTGGTGTCGGACAGGGCCCGCTCGAGGGTAGAAAAGTCCTGCTTGTTGTGCTGCTCGGTTGGTGGGGAGGCAATCTTGCTGTCGGGTTCGCTTTGCGCATGAGGCTCGGGACGGGTGTCGCCCTGACTAGGCTTTGGCCTGTTCAACAAATTGAGCAGGTACTGCTGAGTGTTCTCGGGCGGAGGTGCATTGTTCCAGCTGCTGTCGGCCACAGGCTCCTGAGGCTGAGGCTTTGGCGAATGCTCCGACTTGGTCTCGTCGTCCTGGAACTTGCCTCGCATAAGCGCAGCGAGCAGGCCGGTGGGGTCAGCGGAAGACGGCGCAGGAGCATGGATGGTGCTCGGCTGTTGGTTTGAGGCGTGGCGAATGAGCGAATCGCGGTGAAGCTGGTCGGATGGCTGCGGCGGCTGCTGCTGCTGTTGCGGCGACATGCCCTGCTGCCCACCTGCGCCGCTGTTCAGCTTGAGGAGACTCAACAAGCTTGAGGTGCGATCGTCGCCGCCGTCAATTGGCCTGGTGGCAAACCCAGGAGGGTGCTGGGACTGGTACATGGCAGATGGCGGGGTCGGCGCGGCAGGAGGGTTATAGTCGGTGCTGTCCTGAGAGGGGTACGACTCATTGACGTGCTGCTGCTGGTGCTGGTGGTAGTGGGGAGCTTGCTGGGTGTTGCTGGTGTATGGGTTGAATTGGGAGCGCAGGTCGTAGCCAGAGGGTGGCGGCTGCTGCTGGTGTTGCGGCTGCTGGTGCTGCGGCTGCTGGTGCTGGTACTGCGATGCAGATTGATCGTAGCTCTCATGGCCGCTGGACTGCTGCGAATGATGCGAGTGCTGGCGCTGCAGCTGGGCGAGGAGTGAGTTGAGCGAGCCGTCGCCTCCGGCACCTCCGCCGTAGCTAGCCATGATTGCACTTGAAGCTTGACCGGCAGCTGGGACGGCAGCTAGGAGGTGTGGCTAACACCAGGGCGAGGGAGAGGGTGATGACTGGGTCAGCCCCGAATTGATGATTGCAGCTCTCCCCAGGCCGAGTAGGGTTGCGATGCAGAAGGAGAAGGAGAAGGGGGGTGGACGTTTGATTGTTGACGGGCGCGAGTGGATGACGCTGTCAGGTTTTCCGTTTGCTGGAAAGGATTGGGTTGCGGCTCAAAGGTCGCTCGCGGCTGGGCGAAAAAGAAAAAAGTGGAAAGTTGGTCGATGATGCTGGGGTATGCAGGCGCATTACTAGACGTACGCCCTGGTCAGCTCTATTGCCTCTGTGCTCCCTGCTCAAGCGAGGCCATCGCAACGAACCTCGGTCGGACTAGTACACTCTTCCTTGGGCACCACTCAGCAAAATTCAAACCGTAAATCGGCTTTGCTTGCTAACGGCGAGCTGGAAGAGGAGGGGAGGAGATGCAGTCGAGTTGGCGCACAAAGATAATAGAGGCAAAGTAGTAAGGTGGGCAGGAAGAAACCGAGGGGGAGAGAGAGGCCGACGGGAGGAGGTGCTCTCTTTTTTCCCCGTTTGTCGGCCCAAGCGTCCACACCCCCAGTCTCGACCAAGCCAGGCTCAGGCCCAGACGGGAGCTTGGCCCAGGTGGTTTTGGGCTGAGCTATCTATCTAGGTACCTGGGTACTGTGCTGCTGTGGTACTCTGATATGGCCCTCTACCTTGGCAGCTGGGGATCTGAAAACTCCGTACGGGACGAGATACGTGGCTGGCACATGCCGGCAGCCCTGAAGTTGGTTGACAGCTCGCCTGTCGCCTGCAGTAGTTGCAGCTGCAGTTGCGTCAGAAAAAGCAGAGGCGATGCGGGAGGGTGACAGCTATATTGACAAGGCTGCGTCGGTTGGTTGAGTGGTTGGGCACCAGCCTCCAATCCTGAAGCCCTGTGTCTGCTGTCTGCTGTCTGCTGTCTGCTCTAGTGCTTGCCTGGGAACGGAACGTTGAGAGGCCGTTACTGTTGTGCTGCCTGTCTCCGGAGTGTCGGGTCCGTTTCGGCTACAAGCTGTTGCTACTACCATGTAAGCTTCCCAAGTAAGCGCCCAAGTACCCGGTCTGCTAAACGGCAAACCTAGCGATCGGCTGCTGTTGCTGCAGTGGCAGTGGGCGGGCGCATGGGCCAGCCAGATCCCGCTCGACTCCCTCCCAGTCCCAGGAAGGCGCCGAAACCGAATGCATCCATCCATCCTCCGCGACGTCAGACTCCCTCCGTCTTTTTCACCAACGTCTTTTCTTCCCTCGTCGACCCTAGGAATAGGCCCCAGAGCCTCCCACGTAACCAGCAGCATACAAAAGCACACGTTTAATAGAAACAACTACAGCCCCGCGGCGACCACGTCACCCGTCTCAACAAAAATTATTTAATCCTCCACCTGTATTTGTAACGCCGTGCCTGCGCCCTGACCCCTCTGCCCGACCCCGACGATCCGCCACGAGCCGTGTCCCGAACTGTCTATTCCCGAGTCCACCACGCACTACCCCTTGCGCTCGAGTCCAGCGCTACTTTGACAACCTATACGTCCTGCTCTGCCTACCTACCTATTGCCATGATCCGGGGCTCGAGTCTGCCAACACGGTGAACCGAGGACACATTCATTACATCCACCACCCACGAGGGCACGTGGGGACCGCAACATATTCCCATCCGCACTCCCCTTTCGTACGACCCAAACCTCAGCCAGCCGACACCATGTTTTGTTTACGAAGGTACGCCCCCCCTAATCCGCCGACCTCATGATCCCCTCTCGAACCTCCCATGCTGACGCGCACACGACAACAACAACAGCTGGCTCCCGCTCCTCTTCATCCCGACCAACGCCTCCCCGGCCTTCATCTTCCTCTTCTTCGTCTGCACCTACTTCCTCAACCGGCCCTGCATCTACTGCTCCTTCCTGCTGCTCATCCTCTTCATGACCTCGTGCAACTGGTCCGACCGCTGCTTCTTCGACTTCGGCTCGAACTGGTTCCAGCCCCGCCCGGGCGTCTCCTACTTCACCGACGGCACGGCCTCCTTCACGTGCGGCGAGGCGGGGGGCTGTGCTGACCCGGGCCACGGCACCGCCGCGGCTGCCCTCTCCTCGGCCGTCGAGAACATGACCGCCACCGCCAACGCCACCTACCTCGTGGCCAAGGACACACTCAACGCGACGGCCAGCGCCGCCGCCGACCATGTCGCCCAGGCGAGGAGCGAGTGGACTGGCATAGGGATCGAGTGGCTCAGGAACCTGCTGGGCAAGAGGGAGTGGCGGATCGACTGCCTGGACGTCTACATCAGGTTGTAACGATGGCTGCTACATCTTGCGCCGAGTTATTTGTTGGTCTTGGGAAAAAAGGGAAATGCATAGCCTGTGTCCTGCGCTTCTTCTATATTTTTGATGATGTCTGGCTCCTCCTGCCTGCGAGGGGGCCACGGAGCTCCAAGTTCGGACTCACTGGCAGTGCCGGTCTTTGGAAGAATCCAGGCCAGAGAGGTCACGATATCATAATACCCCTCTGTTCATACATACTACTATCGTACGGGAACCCACCATTGCTACGGTAGACAAGCGATAAACAAGCGGCTTCAAAGAATCCAGCCCGTATTGTGACCATGTCTATGTAGCATTTTGCTCTCCACGCAAGCAAGGCCTGAAGCAAACAAGCCTATCCGGACGCCCTTTGACAATGACCACGGCACTGATGGGCCTACGCCCAGAACCCGCCAACAGACAACACGTCTAATTTCATAGTTTCGACGTCGTCGTCTTCTTCTCCTTGCCCTCCTCGTCCCACTGCTCGTCCCACGGTATCTTCAACTTCATGTGTTCAGCCGGTGTGGGCACATGGATCTTATGATGGTCGCAGACAGCGTAGATGGTCTTGCCGTCCTCACTCGTCATCCAGCCCTTGATGTACGCCGTCTGCCTGCCGACCTGGTAGACGTACGCGTGTACTATGACCGTGGTGCCTGCTGCGAGTTAGAACCCAAGGGGCCCCTCGATTCGACCCGGGTGCGCCGATGCGACGACGCCCAGGGCATCCGGAACAACGTTTCATGCACGACTTGTCGGAAGTGGAACGTGTCGGTTCCCGAGGCGGTGCTCGCTGAACACGGGTCCTCGTCGAAGAAGAGGGGGGGGGCGAGATCAGGGGTGGTCAGTCACTCACCAATAGGCACGGCCTTCAGGTAGCTGATATTCAGCGTGCGCGTCACGCCTCCCAGGAACCTGTACGCGCAGATAGATAGATCATCAGCACCGAAGAGGAAAGAGTGGCAAAGGAATTTGGACTCCCATCCCTCAAGACACCTCGCGCCCTGATGGCCTCATACGTGACATGTCCCCAAGTCCACAGCAATGAATATCCGGGGTACACAAAACGACATAAAGGGGCAGTGGCCTCTATACACTCCGAACAGCAAAGAGAAAGCAAGAAAAAGGAGATCCGCAAGATGGACAAAACCTACGACCAGAACCCAGGCCTCGCAACCGGCCCCAGCGCGATGGTGGTGAGCATGTCAAAGATGACCCCCGCGGCGCCGCCGTGCATCACGCCGTTGTAGTTGCCCAGCTCGGCGCCGATGAGCAGCCGCGTGGTGCACGACGCCCTGACGCCCGCGTCCGGGGTAGGCCTGGCGCTGCTGCTGCTCCCGTCTCCCACCACCAGCCGCGACGGGGGGCCGACCGATGCGTCCAGCACCTCGCAGTTCTCCATGGTCGCGTTGTCAAAGGCCGTGCCCACGCGGGCCCTGACGAGGTTGTACCTGGTGGCATGGTCTGTCAGCTATGGTGGGTGGATAAAGTTGTGATGAGCGGTTGTGCTTGTGAAGATGATAGAAGGCACCCGCTGTGATCAGGAGTGAGTGAGAGCCATGCAATGTGATGTGCCACGAATACAACAAGAAAGCCGACAGTCCACCCATACCGGTCAAAAATAGCCTGCACGCCGGCCAGCGCCCTGCGCCTGTCCTCCTCCCCCGGCGGTCCGGAGGCAGGCATGGCGGCGGGACGGCGGGACGGCGGTGCACACCGGGCTGTCTGTGTGTGTGGCTCAGACGCGCAGGTAATCGAAATCGAGAGAGATCCAGATGCAACACTTTCTCGTCGGCGCCTTCTATTCCTTCGGGCACGTCGCCGTCGCCGTCGCCACAGGCGCCTCGTGGTCGTGATGACGACGGAAGGGGGCAGGCTCCACACCCAAGAACTAATAGGGAGAGAGATGCCGAGGTCCCCGGGCCACGGAGTCGGCCCGGCGGTCTTGGGAGGAGGAGGCGGAACCGCAGCAGGTAGGTACTGTTAGGTGGGTGGGTGCGTGCCTGCCTGCCAGGGGGGGTAGGCCTCAGTGGTCACGCGGCCTGGCCTGGCTGCAGCTCACTCGCTCGACTCGCTGAATGATGGGCGGGACTCCCCTAGACCCCGGAGCTGTCAGCAGCTCAGGTCCCCCCGTTCCCGCCGTCGTCCCGCTGCCACCACCTTGCCTTGCCCCTGTGTCAGCGAACAAAAACTTGGTACCGACCGGATCGTGCCTGGCTTTGCTGGTGGTCTGCCACCAGCCCGGCAGCCCGGCTACGCGGCAGCAGGAACAATAACAACAACAACAAAAACAAGGCCGCACGGATCCTAGTCCTCCCCTTGCTTGCTCGCTTGCTGGGGATTGTTATTTACGTCCGCCGCGGCCCCGAGGACAAGTGATAGATGACAGAAGCGAGTCATTCAGGTCGGCGCCTCAGAGGGCAACGTAAGAAAATGAGGCGGCAGAAACGAACGTCTGTGGTATTTCCGTCCGCCAATGTTTCAATGACCCCTAGATATGGCCTGATGTTTTTTTTTTCTCCTGCGAGAAAAGCGCTTGTTTATATGCCGCTCGCTGTCTGACAGAGTTCCAAATCCGTTGGGATGAGAGCAGTAGCACGGTTACTAAGGCCTCTTTGCTCGGCCTGGCCGCCGCCATCTGAATAATTGCCATGATTTCCCAAAACAAACCTAGGCCTCCACTGGAAACCAGCGAGCGCCAGATCGGACCGCGGTGTATGAAGGGAAGGGGGAGGGGGCACGAGGGGCACAAATATCACAAACCCCAATGCTATATGAGAGCATCCAGAGCAAAGGGGACAAGGTTGGAATCAAGATTCGAAAACCAAACTTGAATGAGCAATGTGCAATTTCACGGGAACCCAAACTCGGCCAGAACACAGATCCCGCGCGGGATGGGATCGGGCGGAGGGGGCGCTTGTTTGGCTGCGTGCCATTCACCTTACTTAGTGATTGCCCTGCCAGCCTGCATGAACCATCAACCATCCCCCACGTGCAGACAAAACTGGTTCACGTGCCAATGTTCCTCAGGAAATGGGATGGGTGGATGGACACCAACATCCTGTTTTCCTCGGAATCAATTATCACGCGCATGGCGCCTAACGTGCCCAAGTCAAAGACGGGTCCAGGACCAGGTCCGGTCAATACCACAGTATACCTGCTTGCTCACTTGCTCACTTGCATTTTGCGATCAGGGCTGTCAGTGCGCGCCTGTGGGGTCACGAGTCTGTACACAATGTTGTCAGGCCATGTTTTTTTTGTCCCGTGTTGATCAGATACCAGGCCCCTCCCGTCCCCCATCCGTCTATTATTAGGGCCGTTCAAACAAGGGCGAGGAAACAGGCCTGTGACAATAGTCTCGGGACTTGGGAGTAACGAAACGAACTGGTTGATTGACTGGGCTGGAGAATATCCTCCGTACAATTCCACCATGCCGGGCCCCGCGCACATGGGGAAAGGCGGCCATCAGATAGATTCTCGCAGACCCTTCCTTTCCTTTCTGAGGGAGAACTCTTGCCCAGGCGACAGCTGCCTGCCGTCCACATTTTCACTGCTGTCCCTCTTTCGACTCGCTCCGGAAAACTTGGCCGGACCCCCCTCCTTGCCACGGGGCGGTGTAAGGAAGAAGGAGCGGAAACTCGCAGGAGCCACGGAGGCGTGACGATGACGGGCGGTCATGGCGAGTGACGGACTATCGTGGAGCCAGGCAGGAGAATTCCGAGTCCACTCGCCTCTCATTCCTGTGCGCCAGCCGCTCAGTGTACTTGGTCGCGGAGTCGGGCTCACGCAGTCGTGTGTGCCGCAGGGGATGGATGGGCAAAAATTTCGCCAGTAGCACAATCCACCCACCCAACCACCTAACCACGGAGCCCGAGAGCCTGGTGGACAGGACAGCCGGGCGCTTCAGGATTGCCAAGACGGAACCAGCAGCGCAAGTGTCTCAACCGTCGCGGTCTAGATCCTCTCGTTTCTGTCATGACAGAACCCTGACTTGGCTGTCTCTTGTCGCGGGCGGGCATGTTGCGCTCGTTTCCCATCCCCCGTTCCCCTCCTCTCGCCGCACCGCGCCGCACCGCACTGCACTGCATTTGCACATGTTGGCCGGACTCAGTGTTCCGAGAAGGTTTGGGACTCAAGACCGTAGTCTGTGAACTTTATCTTCCGCAACCTGCTCTGCATTGCGTCCCGTGCCCGCGTGCGTGGGTCCTCTGGAGGTGAAGGGGGGAAAGTGATGAGATCAAGACTCGTGGCTAGCGAGGCGGACGGGGGCAAAACATGGGTTTCGCTGTGCCTCATTGGCCCCGCGCCGCCAGTCACGAGCCACGTCCATCCCGACGGGCGGAACTCTAGCTAAACCCTGACTATGGGAAATGCACAGAATGCCATGGTTTCGGAAGCGCGAGCCCCAGTGGTTTTTCCCAGTTCCCGAGTTGTGCCATTTCAAAATTCGCACCAAGCAAGCGCCTAGGTCTCGGAGCCCAGTCTTGTCAGACTTTAGAAACCCCACTGGCCAGCTGCCTGGCTGCAAGGACCAACAAGGCAATCCTGTCCTGGCACCATGGGCTTGGGAAGCGGTGTCCCGTGGTGGACAGGGTGTTCTAGGGGCACATCGCGTGTGTCCCTGACTACTGTGGTGCCCTGTTTGGGTGCGCACACACCATACAACATGGCGCTGCGTACCTTGGTAAGGTGCCAGGCAGCCCAGGCTGAGAGTGATTTGTGCAGACTTGGGTCAGCAACAGTCAGTCGCAGCGGCCACGATCGAATGAAACCTGAAGACGGGGGCAGTCTCGTAAGTTAAAAGAATAATAAGGGACTCTTTCAGATGAATGATGACCAACCGCCGGAGTTACCTTGTGCGACGGAATGAGCAGTGAGATGTCGTCACAGCCCCCTCTATTCGATTCTTCCAGAACGCTCGTGGTGGAGAGACGAGTAAGCGGGATGACGATTGCCAACACCACCGCGCCAGAACGGTCCGCAGCGCATTGCTGCGCACCGCACTGCTGTGCTGCGCCGTGCCGGCACCGGCTGCCAGGAATCCGCAAGCACAGCGCGCAGAGCATTCTTTTGTACACCACAGTGTCACCACTGGACTTAGTTAACTCTCGCGATTTGGGAAAGGGAAGAAAGGCTATCAGCCTGCATGGTGATGTAGCATCGCATCGGCATCTAGTGTGTTGTGCCGAGCTGTCGAGCTCTCCACAAGCCGAACCTTAAAAGCAAGATCGAGCTGTTTCGCCTTGTTGGTCTTTGCTGGCGTCGTGCCTCGCAAAGCAGAGCAGACACGGCGGGTTCGATCTCGACGGGTTCCCGACAAGCTCCGGGGGGCTGCAAATCTCTCGTCTGCCCTGCACCTGCTGTCCCGCTGTCTGGAGTCTGGAAAGGACGGGAGAGCAGCGGCCACGTGAAGTGCGGCGGTAAGATGACACCCCACGGTCAAGTTCCTGGTGCACTGGTGGGGCATGGCATCGAAGTTGGAAGCGAGTGGGACCTCCGACGCACATCACCCAGCCTGGGGGAAATCGATCTCCACCGCGTGGTAAAGCAGCTGAAGTGGCGGAACGAGGCGAGTTGCAGTGCATGGGTGGAGGACTGAGGACTGGACCTGCTCGTCATGGCGGGCCAGCGCGAAGCTGTACACATACACGACAGGAGCGACAAAGCTGACGAGATCTCGAGCACCCTGCCCGCATTGGAGACGCTATCTTGGCATCTCCGAGAGGCCGTGGAGTTCTCTTGCCCGTGGCTTTGGGAAGGGAGACAAACCTGAACAAAGTTTGCCAGGGGCTCGGGATGGCCATCTGTGTTGGAAACCGGTAGGCGGCAGACCCCCTCCACAAATGCTATTTCGGAGCAGAGAACCCAGAGAACGACGAGGCCCCATCATTGGTGACGCATCGTTGGTACGCACGACGATCAGATTGCTGCGGTACCTCGAAGCGACGCATCGTGACCTAGCAAAAGACCGCTCGAGACCGTCTCGAAACGGATCCGTAATGCGGTAAATGACTGAGTGGATGATTGACTCGACTCGCACAAATCTCGATGGCTTCGTCCTCGATAGTGGTCTTCTCTCTTTTTTTTTGTTGCATCACGCCAGAATGCTTGCTTCGCTTGTCGTGCTTGATTGCTCTGACAAACACTCGCTGCATTGCAGCCCGGTACGGTACGACGGGCGTGTGCAGCAGCATGTGCAGGTCACTCCCTCGTTGGGAAAGCTGAGGTGGTCTGAGTGAAACACGTCTGGCGAGGGCTGGGCTTATGGACTCGGTTCTAGAAGCCCCAAAGTCCCATCAATGACGATGATGAGGTTTGAGTGGCAGGTGGGGGTGGGTGATAAGGAAGGAACCGCGCCCGCGGGGGCAGGGTGCCCTGGGGAGCTTGTCCCTCCCCAGCAGCGCCGTTAACAGCGGGTTCTGGAAAATAGGGGTCCTGGGCTCTGCCGGGGCTGCTGATTGGGCAGACGCCCGAATTGAGATGTGACGCTGCTTTGGTTTTGAGTTTTGGCTTGCTCAAGGCAGGCCCGACCATAACGGGGCCGAAAGCTGCCGTATGTCGTCATCAGTACGCCACCGAGGAGCATGCCTGGGGTACGTACTATACATGGGCGACTGCCGCACAGCGTGGAACAGGTACACTGCCGTCCCAAACCTGGTATTGGCAATTCTCAATTCTGGATACGACCCCGTCTCGATCAGGGCAAACCCCCCCCTCCCCACCACCAGATTGCCTCTTGCGTGGCCCGCCGCTCCTCTGTCTGTTCGTCAGGCCTGTCTGCCCTGCGAATTGTATCTGCATTCCATGCTTCACGGATCCCACTGAGGTCTCGAAGCACGGGCCGTTGAAGATGCATCTGACTGTGATGAAACAGTCAGAGTGAATGGCCCTCTGTCAATCTTCACTCTCGAATCCCGTGTGAGCGTGGACGAAAAATGGGACGCTGGCGGCGGCATTGACCGCTCGTCTACAGCAGAGCGCCCGCTCTTTTCCGTCACTGTACTTGCATCATGACGACGGTGACGACAAGGAGTTGGGTGCTCAAGCGTGCCCAGGCATTCTGCAGCAATTTTGCGAGCGACGGTGTCGAATGCTTGGGGGGAGAGGCAGTGTATGGCTGCCAAGCATGGATGCCCGAGAATGAATTACACAGCCTGACAGCCAAACACAGACTCGCAGGCCGTCAACAGCCTGACAGCCTTCATTGCTGTGTGGCACGCAGGTCGTTTCAGTGGTTCAGGCTGTTCTGGCTGATTGATGGAGAAAGACAGAGAGTGCTGTGACAGTACTCCGTACGTCGACAACCCTCGACTTTGCGGAACGTTGTCGCTAAACTGGCTGACTGGTCGGATGCTTGGGCCGTCCGTCGTGTCACAGGGCTGCTCCGAGCTGGTGGGAGTGGGCGGGAGCCTGCAGGCGAAGATTGATAGGCGGTGATGGTCACGGGCTGAAGCAACGGCGTGATAAGATGCCAATGTAGCCCAGTCGCCCACTCGCCCAGCCCTCGTTCTCGTGCCTAGGTGGTTCTCGAGCACTATGGACTATAGTCTACTCCGTATGGTGTAGATCAGTTCCCCCCCCCCTCCAGGAACATGTGCTCCGTCTGCATTCCTGGCGATACCCCTCCCCTGTGCACTTGGCCCTGCACTCCGTCTTGCCGTGCCCGCGCGCCAGTGTCGCTCGTGTGTGCCTCTGCATCCATCCTTCTTGCCCCAATCCAGCTTGCCAGGCTCGGGCCGGTTTCTGCTCCTCTTTAGTCGGTCTGTCAGGCCAATGTCAGATGCTGTCGAGTAGAGTAATAATTGGAGGTGTATTATTCTTCTTCGGCAGTGCCAAACACTTGGCGATCGATAGTCACCTGGTCGTGCACGACTGAGCATGATGGTCTTCCCGACAAGATCATATTGTCTATTTGTCGTGTTATTGCAGTGGTCCAGATCACCGTGTAGATCTTCATCCTCATGTCTGCACTAGGATGTGCTTTGGCTCATCACTTGTACGGTCAGACAGGACCCCTCTTTCTCTAGCCCAGGCCAGTGGTCGAGGCGATGCCCAAAAGAGCTGGCCAAGCCCAGTAAAGGCTTATTCCGCACCTTTGGCCGCACCTTTGGCGCTACCAGAAGGGAGGGTGGTGGTCTCCCCCCATCTCCTGGACCCCTACTTTTCGGGCCTCCAGGGCCTCTCACCTAGTGTGGATGGACCCGTGGCCAGGTCGAGACCAAGAGTCGTTTCAACCATCAATCATTCAGTCCTCCTGCTCTACACGGCTCAACACGCGTGTGCTGCTCGTCTCCCAGGTCTTCGAGTGTGTGGGCTTACAAAGTACTGCCTCTTTTGGTCTGCCTGCATTGCAGCCGCAGGCAGGAAATCCACCTGTCAACCAAGAGTCTCCCAAGTCGGTCCCGCCTCTTGGGGGTCCAAGGTTCAGGGTCCATCTTGCCTGCTTCCTCGTTCCTTGCCTGACCTGAAATTAGTAGGCCCCGACCCCCACCCCTGCCTCAGGCCCCCAGACCCCTGTCGAGCCTCGCTGCAGGGAACCTGCTGATGACATCTATGTACTGTGGTACCGCCCCCAGCAGAGCAGCCTCGACTTGTTGGACAACCTTCCCCACAGGGCAGCAGCAAGGGTCTGGGACCACCAACTATTACTACTATCATAACCAATCCACCCTTGTCCCCCCCATGAATCCCATTCCGACATCAACTCCCATTTTCCGGTGACCTTTGGATTCCCACGTCTCTGCTCCAGTCATTTCTGTTGCTGCTCGACCTCCTCCAACCCTTTCCCAGCCGCACAAAAGCAGACAACGACACTCGACTGTCGATTACCCGAGACATCGGACCTACATTTTTCTGGTCACGCCCGCCCTACCACCCGAGGGATTTTGAGACTTCGAGAAGGACGTCAAGACACACAGAGACACTCCAAGAACACCACCGAGCCGAGTGAAAGTCAGCAGTGGCGCCACCCACACCCTCGTGAACTTGGCCCTCTCTCTTCACATCCACAAAAAATTCGAAATCTCCATATATGCAGCTGCCCTGCAAACATGACCTTATGAAAGTAACTCGCAGGCAAGACGGCCCTGAGACTGCAAGACGTGGACGAAAGCTTCGCTTGAGAACAAACCCACCCATGCATGTCAGCGGCAATAATTCGCAGAGCTCCCACTCGAGTCCAAGGAGCATGGCGCCTCCAGAATCGAGAAACAACTTTGAGCGCGCTGCGCCAACCGTCTACTACAACATGAAGACCTCGAGACCACCACCAGTCACCTCAAAATCCTACTCCGCCCAGCCATATCCCCCCAACAGCGTCTCGCACGCGAGATCGCAGTCAAACAACCATTCGAAAACCTCGACCAAGCCCTCGTCACCCATGGCGTCCCCTCGTGACTCTCTGTCCATCGCCGCCTCGCACCCACCCAAGCTTTCTCCCTCAGCCGCTCCCAAAACCCTTCTATCTACGCCCCTGGGACAGGCACATTGTCAGGATGGGCGGACTCCATCTCCCAACTATTTTGGTCAGCAGGTCGAATCCATCGATGCCCTGGAAACAGGCGGCGTCGCTCACGATAGATGGACTCCGTCGACGTCATCAATAAAGAGCTTCGGCGCTGCGCTGCCGAAGCAAGTACCTCTTGATGCAAACCCGGATTTCGAGGCCTTTAGGAGACAAGCAGATGTAAACAGGGGATCATCGTTCAGCCTGGGGTCCTCCCACTTCGGCAGCACCTCACCCCTCACACTTGCGTCAGGGCACCCAGCATCAAGGCCACGTCCTCCAAGATGGCATACCACGGGTACCGACGCCACCTCCACACCGGCCCTGACCCGCTCGCCCAGCCAGATTGTCGACATGCCAAGAGCCAAGGAAGCGGTTCCCGAGAAGATGGATGTCGATAATGCCAGTATCAACACGCACGACTCCGCATATGTTTCTGCCGATTCCAAGCGGAACTCAGAAGCAAGCGTCAATCCCCCCAGCTTTTTTAACTTGCCAAGGCACCAGTCACCCGCGCAGTACGAGAATCCATCCTTCGAGAGGAGAGGCGGGTTGTCAAAGGTGGAGGATTGCCACCCAAGGTTGTCACTGGCCCATGACAAGGTCGAGCCGCCGTCGCCGAGCCCTGCCTCGCATCTCAAGGCTCGTTCCGACACGGTACCTGTTAGCTTGGAGGCATCCGGGCCGGCGATGATTTCACCGACGCAACTGAGGGAAATGCTGGTTTCACCTTCGAAAACGGATGTCCTGCTCCTGGATCTTCGCGTGTCTCCACAGTACGCCCAGTCTCGCATCAAGGGCGCCTTGAATCTGTGCATACCAACGACACTGCTGAAGCGCGCCACGTTCAACCTTCAAAAGCTGCAACAAACCTTCCAAGGTAACTCGGATCAGGAGAAATTCGCGAAATGGCGAGACACGAAATACTTGGTGGTGTATGACGCCTTCTCGTCCGAAAAGAAGGATGCTGTCTCCGCCATGAACACGATCAAGAAGTTTACCAACGAAGGCTACACCGGCCAATGTTCAATCCTCAGAGGCGGTTTCAACGCTTTCGCGGCGTCCTACCCAGCCCTCATCGAGAAAGGCGGTGTCATAGAGCAGTCGCCCGGCCGGCCGACATTGTCACTACCTGGCGTCAGCGGCTCGAGCAATAAGGACGGGAGACCTAGTGTTGCCCCCGTCGTCGGCGGAGTCATGCTTCCTAACACGAGTAACGCGGCCAATCCCTTCTTCGCCAACATTCGACAAAACCAAGATCTTGTTGACGGAGTCGGGCAGATGGATGTCAAGGTCCCTCAAGGGGCAGAGATGGAAGCACTTCCGAAGTGGTTGCGTGCGGCTGCCACTCCATCGGACAAGGGCAAAAAGGTCAGCGACAAATTCCTGAATATCGAACTGGCAGAGCAATCGCGGATGAAGGGTGCGTATTCCTACCTTAACCCTGGCACAGCTGTTGGTGCTGGAGGAGAAGCCCAGGAGAAGGTCGTGTTGAGCGGTATTGAGAAGGGCGGCAAGAACCGCTACAAAGACATACTGCCATTCGAGCATGCTCGGGTCAAGCTGCAGGGCAAGCCCGAAGGTGCCTGCGACTATGTGAATGCCAGTTATATCAAGGCATCCAGAAGCCACAAGAGATATATCGCCAGCCAGGGTCCACTGCCGGCGACCTTCGAGGTAAGGCATCCCCGCCATGTCCGTCTCATATCATGCATTAGCTGACGGTATCGGTAGGACTTTTGGTCTGTGATCTGGGATCAAGATGTTCGCGTGATTGTGATGCTCACGGCGGAATCCGAGGGTGGTCAACTCAAGTGCCATTCATACTGGAAAGATCGTGAATTCGGAGCCATCAAGCTACGGGCCCTGTCTGAGAAGAAAGTGTCACTTGACATCGACAAGAACAGCTCTCAGCCCACCACGTCGAATGACTCCAGCGACTCGTCATCCGCCTCCGGTCAATCTCAGCCAGACGATGCCTTTGGCTTCGGAGCTGCGGCGGCTGAAATGGGCCGGAGAAGAGCGAACACTACCACGACTTTGGATGCCAGCCCACAACAGGGACAAGCCAAGTCGCCTGCCAACCCCGTCGGTGGCGAGACTCCGTATGTTATCATTCGGAAGTTCGCTCTGTCCCACTCTGCTCATCCCTTCGCCCCGATGCGCGAGATCACCCACCTGCACTATCCCTCCTGGCCCGACTTCGGTGCGCCAGCTCAACCGAGCCACCTTCTTGCACTGGTCGACCTTGCAAACGTCATGCAACGCGCGGCACTACCCGTCGACGTGAATACCACACTAGCAACCGCCAAGAGCCCACAGCAACCTGAATCTTCCACTCAAGGCAACTCTGCGCGCAGTCCGAAGAAACGAACGCGGGCTCAAAGTGGGATGCCACTCGCTTGGTGGGAAGAGCCCGAGGCCGACCAGAACGCGCGCCCCATGCTTGTCCACTGCTCGGCGGGCTGTGGCCGCACTGGTACCTTCTGTACTGTTGACAGCGTAATCGACATGCTCAAGCGTCAGAGGATGCGCAACATCAAGAGGGCCAACGCCAATATCGAGAAGAAGGTTCGTGCCCACAAGCTGCAGCCACCCCCGCAGATCTCACACGACCAAGAGGGGGATATCGCCATGGCTGGCTTGTCCTTCGACTCGCTTCAAACCGCGTTCAGCGACCGAACCGAAAGGAAAGACCCGTTCGACGATTGCATCAGCCCCGGCACCGCCGCGCCGCCCAAGTCACCTGCGTTCCCCGATGTGACCATGTCTTCGCCCTCTCCCGCTAGGTCCCACTCCTCGTCCGACAGCGAAGATGACTATGGCAGCATCGACACGTCTTGGATTGATGACGACACCATGGATCTAATCTCGTCCACTGTGACCGACTTCAGGTGCCAACGGCTGTCGATGGTGCAGACTCTTCGCCAATTTGTTCTCTGCTACGAGACCGTTGTCGAATGGGTATGGCGGCTACAAGAGCGCGGGGGTCCGGCGGGCTCGGTCGTGGGCGCACCCGGAACGGGAGCTGGTGGGACCGCCGCAATGCGGGCTAGGGGCCGCAGTGGGACCGTGGCCCACGTGGGACACTCGAAGTAGAATCCTCCTCTCCGCCAGTCATGAGGAGTATCGGAGTGGATGCTAAAGTCTGGGGTCCCCGCGGCGGGACTTTCCGTGGGCTCCGTGTGCTCATTTTGGAGGATCCCGAATAGCAAAACGAGCCGGAAGCAGCGGCCTTCTGGCAACCTTTTCTCCCTTTTATTACGAGTACTTGCTTCATCGAATACATTATGGACAGGGGCGGGACCGGGAGCACCAGACCACTTGTTTATAGGCGTTTATCAGGTACACATCGGGCGTCGGCGCTGGGGTATAAGCTTTGGACAAAGACCAAGATGGTGCATTATTTTCATGTCTTTTCTTCCACACATTGTTTGTCTTTCTCGCTTTGCAGTGTTTTGCATGTGTGGTCTTCCCCGGAACAAGAAACTGGGCAAAGGGTTTGGTTGGGTCGGGGGGGTTCGGTTTTGGGCTCAATGAGAGGTATTACTAAAGCATCTAACTGTACACAGACTTGCAGAGGTTTGGTTACGTGTTCCTCAAACAACCTTACTACTACTACTTCTACTCCCAATATTAACGCGGTTCTTGGATCTGAATCGACCTTTATTCCTCGTATTGATTTGTGACGAGCGTGACATACGGTTTTGAAGGATGAGGTCGATTTGTAGGGAGCTTGGGCTGGCGCTTGAGCACAGTAACAGGGGAAATGTGAGATTGTCCAACTTACCTTGAGGTACCTTATGAATAGATTTGGTTCAAGTCGTGCCTCTACCTTTCTTCGTCCTGGTCATTGTACAGCTCCAACTCCTCCAGGGCCATATGTAGCCAAGCCGGGACGCTTTGTTCCCCGGTTGTGTATCAGAGTACAGCCATCGCCAAGGCCGACGACTTATGAATTGTGCCCCGGGATTCTTGTCCCCCCTCCGTGTTCGCACTTATGCAAAACCGGACGCTGGACCTCCTGAAGCGCTAGCCCGGACTGCTGCCTTTGTCCGGCTTCTCATTTCATGATAGTCAAGACGGCCGCGTCTTGAGGATCTTGAGGATTTTCTATTCGATTGGCTCACGGACCGAATACGGAAGCGAAAACACTAGTTTATTAAGCAAGCCTGTTGATGCAAGTTGTGTGTGCCTGTGATTTAAAAGGCGGAGGGGGCTTTGAAAGTTTAAATGTCCGGCGCATACTTTCACCACGCCCCTCAGTACCGCCCACTGGTACGTTAGCAGAACGAAGCTATTCCGCCCGGCCCTTTGCCATCACACGCATAAGCGCCACGCCCTCGACAATGTGGCTCCTCTGGTCCCTGGCCCTCCTCTCCGCCTACCTCCTCCTCAGCACAATCATCTCCCTCGCGACCAACTACGCCGCGGCCTGCAGGACAGGCCTCCCCATAGTCATCAGCCCCGTGTCCAAGTTCAACCCGGCATGGCTCATCACCCAGCGCCGCCTCGCGCCCTGGATGCGGGCACGCCTGCCCCGCGCCCTGGGCGCCTGGACGCGCCACAACACGCTGAGCTGGTTCTTCGACGACAAGTACCGCCTGTCCCGGGACCTGGGCAGCCGGTCCTGGCTGCACGTGCACCCGGGGGGCGTCGAGTTCCACTGCGCCGACCCGGCCGTCAACGCGCAGGTGTTTGGGCGCCGGGGGGACTTCGACAAGCCCCCCGAGGTGCTGGACGTCGTGGACATCTACGGGCCCAACATCTCGTCCGTCGTGGGCGCCGAGTGGCGCCGGCACAGGCGCGTCACCGCGTCGCCGTTCAACGAGCGCAACAACCGCCTCGTGTGGGACGAGGCGCTGCGCCAGGCGGGCCAGCTGGGGCGGTGCTGGGGCGGGATGGGCGTTGGGGGGTTTAACTCGACGGCGGAGGATACCGTGGCTGTGTCGCTGAATATCCTCGCGACGGCCGCGCTGGGCGAGTCGTGGGATTTCGTCCCGCGGGCGGTGCGGGATGCGGAGGGAGAGGGGGCGGGTGGGCAGAGGCACGCGGCGAGCTACCGCGACAGCCTGCACGTCCTCCTCGGCAGCATCCGCACGCTCGTCCTGACGCCCAAGTGGGTGTACCGGCTGCCGGCGTGGTGCATCCCCTCGGCTTACATGCGGCGGTTCGTGGAGACGCGGCGGGTGTTTGGGCGGCACATGGAGGAGATGGTGAGGTCGCGCAAGGCGGATATCGCGTGTGGGAACCTGAGGACGGACGACTCTACCTTCCTGAGCGCGCTCGTGCTCAAGTCTGAGGAGGTGCGGCGGGAGGAGGAGAGTTGTAAGAAGCAAGGGGCTGCTGGCGGTGGTGGGAAGGGGGCGAGCCTCAGCAACGATGAGCTCTATGGCAACCTCTTCACTTATAACCTGGCCGGGCACGAGACCACGGCAAATACCCTTAGCTATGCTATTTACCTGCTTGCTGCGTTCCCCGAGTGGCAGGAGTGGGTGCGGGAGGAGGTCGATGCGGTCTGTGGACGGTCTGATGATGGGCAGGCCAAGACGGCATATGAGGATGTTTTTCCCAATCTGAAGCGCTTGCGTGCGTTTTTGGTAAGTCTTTAGTGTTTTCCCAATTGCATTTCTCTGTGCACAAACGCCCAAACCCCTTCCCTGCCATGAGGATGCTGGACTAACTGAGTATGCTCTGGTAGTTCGAGACACTCCGTCTGTACGCCCCAGTACTGAGCATAAACAAGGCCCCCGTCGGCCCTACCGGCCAAGAGCTGCTGATAGATGGCCGCTCCGTCCTCCTGCCGCCAGGAACGACAGTAGCTCCCAACGTGATGGCGTCCCATACGATGCCCGAGCACTGGGGGGAAGACCACATGGTCTTCAGACCCGGGCGCTGGATCGACCACCAGTCCAGTGCCGAGGATGGGGTCTCTGAGGAAGTGCTTCTCGACCTGCCCGCATCAGCCAGAGAAAAGACGATAGGCCCCGACGGCAGGGGCATCACGTATTTCCCCTGGTCCTCCGGGGGCCGCGTGTGCCCGGGCAAGAAGTTCTCGCAGGTCGAGGTGCTGGGCGTGCTCTCGAGCATCCTGCGGGACTACAGGATTGAGGTTGTCCCACAGGGTATGGAGACTGAGGAGCAGGCTCGGTGGCGGTGCGCAGAGGTTATTGAGGACAGTGAGACTCAGATCACTCTACAGATGAGGCGGTCTGATACTGTCTGGTTAAGGGTGGTGAAGAGGACACAGGATTAGAGGATATGGCATGGGAGGTATGACATAGGATTGTAAGATTTAAGAGCAGAAACGAGGGCAACCCAAGAATTACCCCTATGTCAAATTTGGTTACAGAAAATGATATTAATGCCCATTGACACCATTTACACCGTTCACACCATTAGTCTGTTGCCCTCCAGCTTGCCGTCCCCGCTGGCTCTCGACAGCAAACGCCCTCAGGGTCTCCAAGTCGACACTCCTCAGCGCGCTCTCCTCCGTGGCCTCAAGGTCGACCTTGGGCACCGCGCTCTGGGGGATACTGCCGCTCTCAAATGCCCGGAGGGCCTGCAGCCACCGCCCCGTGCACAGGCACCACTTGCAGCCCTCGCTGAGCCCCACGGGCCGCAGGTCGTTGCCCTGGCGCGCCGTGTAGTCGAGGAAGTCCTCGGACACGACGCCCGCCACGGCGTGGTTCCCGCTGTCCAGGGCGCTGGTGCGGCAGTAGCCGTCGCGATGGAAGCCTGTCATGGGCTGGGTGGAGAAGAGTTTGAGGGGTTGGCGGAATACTGTGTCGTGGTTTTAGTGCCGGCTTCTGGTGTAAGAGGGGGTGTATAGACCTGGGTGTGATACTCACCGTTGAGGCTGACATTAGACATGATGTAGAGGGGCCAGATATAGTGCATGAGACAATAATGGGCAGGTTTCTTGCTAATTCCACTCTTGTGAACGGGAGGGTAGGATGAGAAGAAAATGTCATCCAGACGGGAGACAAGATCGAACTTTACCTCCAATGTGATGTCATAGACTGCGGTACAGGTCCCTGCCGTGCCTCAACTTTCAACCTCATGATTTTCCGTTTTTAGTGCCACAACAGAAAAGGAAAGAAACACATCAAGAACCTCTCGTTGTGCCTGGATGTTTGTGTTTCAGGGGTGCTGGTGCGGGTGGACTTAATATCTCGAACATGTTCATACAATTCTACCGGGACAGGACACAGCACTCTCAAGCCCTGGCACAAAGCTGAAGTTGCAGGAAGTTGACGCACAGCCATAACAAGCTATGAATTGCAATTGATTCAAATTCTTAGATATCACGAAGATACAAGTACATCACCAGAAGCTTCCTCACACGCGCCGCGGCAAAGACACATGCGTCACCGTCCTCCCATCGACATCTTGTACCTAGGCAAGGGCAGACTCCCATCCCAAGCCTCCCCCCCGGGCCTCCGCCGCCGGCCCCCTGCTAACCTCCACGAACCGATCAAGCTGGACGCCCCTGCTGCCCTCCCGAGCGTGACCGTGACCGTGACCGTGGCCGTGGCCCCGGCCCTGCTCGGGACTGGCGCCATGCCAGCGCGCCTCGTGGGACGCGCCGTCCGAGAGCTGCGTCCTGGAGCACCCCAGGTCGTCCAGCTCGCCGCCGGAGCCATTCTGCCACTTGGACGGCACCGCCCCGGACCGGTCGCCCCTGTTCCTGCTGCCCAGTGAGGCCCGGCCGAGGGACTCGCGCAGGCTTTCGAGGGAGAGGGCGCTGCGCACCGTCCGCACCATGCTCTCGAGGGACATCTTGTTTATGAGGGGCCAGATTGTCGGGAGGCAGCCTGCTATCACCGCGATGCTCCTCTCAAGAATGGACTGGCACCACTTGGTTGCCAAGGAGGAGATGCACGACCATAATTTCACCAAGTCGTGCATTCGGTCGTTCTATATCCTGCACAACCCTGGCAAATAATAGCCGCCATAATTCAAGGTAAGGGGCACAGCCTGCAAGATAAATAACTCACTGGCCGGTTGGCACCTGATGCCATGCCCGGCTGCCTGAATGGTGCCTTGCTCGGCTGCTCAAGTGCCTAAATGATGCCATGCTTATCAGGCGACCGCAACCGGATCCTTGGAGGAGTCCGAAGGAGGTTAAGGAGGCACTAATTAGTGTGAGTAATCAGCAAATTTTACTAGCACCATGCACCTGCCGATGCACGTAGGATCAGTGCTTATTTGACATTTCTTGAGGAATTCAATCGGTCTCCCACCATTTTTCTGGCCATTGGCAGTAGGAAGCAAGGCTATCAAGTTCGTCGTCACATGTAATTAGTGCAATAAGCACATGGCCTGGGTTTTAGGATTAATATAGCTGTCAGAGGAGAAGGAAGGGATGTTCTCACCATAACGGTCTTTTCGATCCTGCCTCCATTGTTCAACTTGCTTGCATAACTCGGCCCTCGAAACAGATTGTACTCCGTTTCCATGTTCTTCATCGAGCCGCTCCGTAATGGACTCCACTTCCGCCAGCATCTCCGATGTAGAGGAGTACTGTCCGGTGAATGCCTTTGTAATCACGAGATCCAGACCGTTATGCCCAACCGAAATAGGCGGCAATGCTATTGAGCCATCTTGTAGGGCAGCAGAAAGGGCCGGTCTGACCCCAGTTTCCATCTCAAAGATAAGATAGGCCATAGCGAACCTATCTGTAGTATCCGAGACTACCTTTGCCAGGCCAGTGTGGCATCGAATTTGGCTCACCAAAAAGACTTGCCTTGCTGAAGTCACAGAGGAGGGCATGGGGGTGATCTCCTGGGTCAAGGAGGATATTATCTGGCCTCAAATCCGAGTGACAGACGCCGAGGCTGTGTAGGTGATTGAGACCACGGAGGATGTCCCGGTAGCACAGGATGCGGGCCCGCTGGGATTGTTCTAACTGGGATAATGGAACATATCTTCGTAAATAGACCCCTTCATCATCGTCGATCTTGATCACCTCGACGATATTCGGATGAGGCTGCTTCTCTAGGAGTCGGAGGACCTTTTTCTCCTGCTTGCCGAGATGAAGACTAAATAGTGTCGAGTCGGCATAGCGCGCCCAGTCTTGAGCGGGAGCGTTATGGCCAGGTTGCTGGTATATGTAGGGGGCTTTAAGGACAATGTTGTCATTCACCTCGTAGATGATGGCTGCGGCACCAGCACCTAGCACTTTCACACCGTCCTGAACCACCAGGTTCAGAATATATTCGTTTATTAAGCGTAGCGAGGAGGTTTTTTATGCGAAGCGTAAAAATACCGATAAGCGGAGCTTTCTCTATTATTGTGTAAATCGGTAAAATGTTTCTTAAATAGGGATTAATTAGAATCTAAATCTTATATATAGATTAGTTAAATAAAAAACAGAAGGTATTAAAATATATATAGAAAGCTATATAGTATAGGTAGTATAGGCTATATAAGGTCTAGGGGGTTCTAAGGGGTCCTAAGGGGTCTTAAAGGGGAACCCTTTAGTTATTTACTTAAATTTACTTAAATAAATATTTAAATTTACTTAAATAAATACTTAAATTTACTTAAATTTACTTAAATTTACTTAAATTTACTTAAATTTACTTAAATAAATAGTTAGAAGAGAAAGCTTTATATTAAAAAACCCTCCTCGCTACACTTACTTCTTACCCAAACAAGCCTTCAGGTACACGTATTTTTTCCTTATCCAAGGTGCCAGATGACATACTCATTCGAGATTTCGTATTTCTTGGGGCTGGTTGCCGAGGGCTGTTGGTAACACTGTCAAGAAAGGTACGTCTTAAGATAGAAAGTTGTGGTGAACTTGGAACTGTGAGGTTGAGCATTGAACTCAGCTGCTGATGTAATCACAAACAACTACTTAGCTACTACCAGACAAACATAAACAAATTTACACACTCACCTACCTACTATAATACTCCTATAAAAGTTTCTCTATACTACTTTTAATATAATATAATTTAATAATAATTAAAATTATAAATAATTCTTTCTTTTTAATATATTTTTAAATAAAAAAAGATTAATTTAAAAAATATTTAGAAGTTTAATCTTAAATATCTTTAAATATTAAACTTTTATTTTAAAATAAAAGTTTATTAAAATAAATTCCTCTTCTATTTTTCTAATAGAAATCTTTTAGAAATTAACCTTTAATTAACTTTTTACTTCCTTTATTTATCTTTAAAATCTCTTAGTTAACTTCTTTCTCTTTATAAAAAAAGTATTTTAAAACTTTTTAAAAAAAGTAAAATTTAAAGTATCTTTTATTATTAAAGAATTTTAATTTAATATATTATTATTATAAAGTATTAATAAAATAATAATTGTAAAGTATTAAGAATTACTTAAAATATTATTTTAAAATAAAAGAGATAGTTTAGAGATTATATTTATAAACCCCTTAGATTATAGTATAGTACTTAAGTACTTAGGTACGAAAAGCTATGCTAATCTTGTGTCTGACTTCGGAATGTTCGCCCTCCGACTATATCGACGCAGCCTGACAAGGTGTTCATTACCTTGTCTGCGAAAGGAAGTGCCTCATGCTCCTAATTCTTTTAAACCTTCTAGGTATTTTACAACATTACATACAACGACTTTAACGTCCCATGCCTGCGGCGTAGGAGCGGCCAGGGCTTGTAGCCCACCGCCTGTTTGCACAATATGATGCTGTCAGGAACACCATCTGATGTGTAATATAAGGATTTGGCTTGGCCTCTTGGGCCGGGAAAGCACCAACGATAAGCATAACTCGGAGTCTCACAGTCAAAACAAGTGACCCAACATGAGCCAGTCATCTATACCAACCTAGTCGCGAGTCACCGTGAGATAGAAATAGAAACGAAGAAGGACGGCGATTACAGGCAACATCGAGAAAACGGCTCCGGTCACGATGATGCTGCCCGTGATCTATCGGTTGTTCAAATGCTCTTGATATTTTTGCGGGTTTATTTGGTCTACAGTTTTGAGTTTCTTCCTTTCTCGCTCGTCGAGGCACCTTTACGGTCGCTCCCCGACTGTATTGTTGATTGACATCGTACGTATTTAAAGAATGGGAAGCACGATCTTCGTCTCTCCGGGATGGTATAGATTCTTATTATTTGCAATGATTACTTCGCGTCTGCCTGTAACGAGAAGGAAAAATAGGCAAAGACGAAGGCGCACAAAGGTTCACCGTCCCAAGTATGACTCAAAGCACAATATTGCTGTGATTGAATGCTCGTTCAGACGTTCGAAGAGCTCCTGGTTGAGGGTCGAGTATTCCGTTGCATTTCTCACCGGTTTTATGGACGGAATGCTTCGAGATGTACACAGCAAACAGCTTGAGGATTGGTAGGCTTTGATCGCAAGTGCCACACCTCCGGCGAAGCCGTGTTGAATTGCAACCGCCCGGGCGTTCCGAGAGAGAGTGGACAATCATTTGTAATAGAGGAACCGCAGCGCGACACTGCTGCCTCGTCTAGACGTCTGACTTTTGACTCTATCTATCGCAAGCACTCAAGTGGCACAGCATTAATAAGCAAGAGTACACAAGGTGGTGGGAAGCCACCAAGCATTGGTGGGATAAGCTCTGTGTTCTCAAGCTCACCATCCATCCATTACTCCGTACATACCTTCCCTTTTAGCTAATTCGCCTGCTTGCGCAGGTGCATAATCACATTCGTGTCGCTCAGCGGACTGACTTGATATCCCCCGCAGTAGTCCCGTCGTGCGACAGATGGTATTGTGGTTGTACCTCGAAACCTCAGCCGGGTTCGGCGAAACTTTCTGTGCTGTACTTCTGTCAATCTGTACGGCCGGGGCAGTCAGACAGAACATGCCAGTCTGCATAGTGGTGGACTCGTGCAGATTTCATGCAACGGTTCCAAGGCAGGATCTCAACAAGGGACAATCCCGACACCATTGGTGCCGGCGAAGCGCCATGAACGGGCCGAAATATGCCTGATTGACTGCTGATAAAGGCGACATGACAATCTCAGCGGTGCATTTTTCTGTCAACTGGTGGCCTGAGATTCAGCCCCCACGATAAGGATTGTGCAGCATGCGTTCTCGTGCCAACCAGTCCCTCCATCACCAGGATTTCGCCTTGCCGTCAGTCTTTGGGTCAGCACTACTGAAGCTTGTCAGACCAAGAATTCCCGGACATCCGAAACAAATCAATACGTGCTGATGTTGGTTATCAGATGCGGCTCATGTGCCAGATAAGTGCTACTCCGGCTGTTTTTCTCGTAGTCACACACAGCCTTGCGAGAATTGGTCGCGTCAGTAGTGTCGACTGGTCACTTCCCAATGGGTGAGATTGGGTATATATCGAGCATCGGTCGTCGCGACCAAGAAGACGCAGCATGTAATCAGTATTGAACTTAATCGTTCATCCTACTCTTTGCACCATCTTGATTCAAATCAAACCAGCAACAGCAATGAAGCAATTCGTCTTTATTTTGAGCTGCATGGTGGCCCTAGGCGCTGCAGTCCCCGTCATGCCCCGGACAATCGATGCTATTGCGAACCCAGAAAGTAGCAAAGGTGGGTAGTAGCCTAAGGTCAGAGGAATGCGAACCGTATGTGGTCTGACTATCCACAGAAACCACTAGCTCGAACATGGTGAACGGCATCGAAGTTGCTCCTGCTTGTAAGAATGCGGCAGTCCTTGATTAGACTTAGTCCTTTACTAAGACTTCATGTTAATCTTTTACTAGGCGTGGTCCTTTGTTAGGCTGAACTAGTAGGAAGGCATTCAACTATGAAGGCCCTTTAGGCAACCCTCTGATAGTCACAAGGAATCCAACTACATACAACGTCGATTTCCTTATACTCTTACGTATGTAAGCCCAGCCAACAGAGAATGTGTCATGGAAGAAGGTGTGAGCGGCTGTTTGTATGGACATATTTTCTCGCGATGCTGGGGCTCATTTACCTGTGATAGGAATGAGACATCTGGAGTGCTCGAGTGCCCCAAAGCCATCAGTTAATACATCAGGGTTTGTTTACGTTCCACCGCAGGATTTTCTGGTTACCAGTCTTTGGTCAATGAGATAGAACGATGTCGGAATTAGGCAGGTTGATGCTTCAAATGAAAGTTCTGGATAGAAAAGCTGTCGATCAGTGAGATGTGCATTGAAATGTCAGACTTGCAGCGGAGAATGTATACACTTTTAACTGCCTTGCCTTATCACATGTTGAAGTACTAAGGTGTGGTAATCTGGCCCCGATACCACTTATCTCCGTACATGGGGTACACGCGGTTGCACTTGCCTGCATCAGAATGCCCAGTGGTCAGCCGGACTAAAGTTGAGTGCCCCAGGGACCGCACAGCAATTGAGCTCAACCCCCCTCTTACCTGCCCGGTGGGCAGGTTTTCCCTCCTCTCAGTCAGAGGCGCTACGACGTCCAAGGATCCAAGGACTAAGCACCGTCCACGCAGTCCAATAACACCCAGACGAACATTCAAATTTAACACAGTGTCTCTCTTCTTGGCAGCAACCTGTCTCATGCGCAGGCTGCTCACGTGGCCACCGACATGCTTCACATCGATGCCCTGCGGCCCAGCGCCTTACTGTCTCTGTTGTTCTCACCGTGCGGCACCGCATGCATCAAGTCGGATCCCATCCGAACTGCAATGTTGTTTCTACTGGGGTTTCTTTGCGGCTTTTTTACTCGGCGCATTATTTACCGGGCATTCCTCTGTCCGATCGCCAAGGTACCTGGGCCCAAGCTTGCCGGCCTAACGTCTTGGTACGAGGTCTACTACGGTATGTGGCCTACTTTGTTGAATACTCTCATAAGCTGAATCGCCCAGTACTTCGGCGTCATTTTGGGGAACGCGCTGACCGGTGACTAGATATGGTTCAGAAGGGCCGTTATGTCTTCAAAATCAAGGAGATGCATCAAAAATACGGTAAAACAGATTTCTTTTTTTATATATAGAAGAAAAACAACGCTTCAAGGTGTTGTGAGGTATTGTGAGGTATGCTGACCAGTGACAGGCCCTATCGTCCGTATCGCCCCGAACGAGATATCCATTAGTGATCCTGATGGTGTCGATGCGATCTATGCTCCGGGGCCGGGCCACAAGCGAGACAAAGATTTCAAGAGGAACAAGTCTCTCGGCGTCAACACCTCCGTTGGCGGTTCAATCCCCCACGACTTGCATCGGAATCGGCGGGATGCACTCAATCCATTCTTCTCCCGCCGAAGCATCAGCCGGTTGAATCCGGAGTTGGCCGCCAAAGTCGCACAGCTTGAGGATACCTTCTCCCGGGCAGCGGAAACCCGTGAAGTGCTGAATCTGTCGGATGCATACTATGCATTTTCCAATGAGTGAGTCCTGAAACCGACCTCCACGATGGAAACTTTCTGCATGAATACTGACAATTTCCTGTCAAGCATCATCCACAAGTACTGTTTTGGTAACAGCGAAAACCTCCTCCAGGACATGCAACTCGCAAACAGTCGTCGTCAGAATGTTGTACAAGTTCTCGCACGCACTCATTTCAACTTACATTTTAGCTGGGCCCGCAACCTCATGCAGAAACTACCCCCAAGCATCGGCGCCAAGTTAATGCCACCGGGCGTTAAGGACATTATTGCGTTCCGCAGGGCCATGAGCAAACAGATCGGCAACATCCTATCAAGCAAGTCCTCTTCCGACGATACACCATCTATCTTTACGTACCTCCGCGATAGCCCCGAGCTCCCGGACTCCGAGAAGTCACCTGCACGTCTTCTCGATGAAGCCGTGCTCCTGATCATGTCCGGTACCTACTCGCCCATGCTCTCGCTGATCGTGGCCCAATACCACCTCATAACACGCCCAGGAATCATGGCCAAGCTGCGCTCCGAGCTGCGCGCACACCCGGAAAGCGCCAGCCCCGAGCAGCTCCAGCAGCTCCCGTACCTGTCCGCCGTCATCTAGGAGGCACACCGCCTCACGTTCGGCCTGACGGGTCGGAATGCCCGCGTATGTCCGGACGAGGCTCTCGTCTTCACCTCAGCAGCGGATAGCGGCAGCCAGCCGCAGAAGACCTACACGATACCAGCAGGCACGTCCATCAGCGCGTCCACGCTGCTCATACACACCAACGAGTCACTGTTCCCGGACCCGTGGCGGTTCGACCCGGAGCGCTGGATCATCACGGACGAGACGCAGCAAGAAATCGTCCGGCGCCGCCGCAGGGCCATGATGAGCTTCATGGCCGGCACGTCCCGTGGCTGCCCCGGCATGCACCTCGCCGACGCTGAGATGGCGGTCGTGGTGGCTGCCATGGCGCGCTGGGAGATGCGGCTGTACCAGACTACGGCGGAGGATGTGGAGTTTTTGCATGATTATCATGTTATGAGCCCTAAGCTGGACTCCAAGGGGGTGAGAGTCGAGATTGTGGGACGAGCTGAGGGGATGTGAAGTGAAGGTTGTCCAGGGGTTTGACCAGACATCGGATTGTAGGCAGACAGCACGCTGTCCTGCTTTGGGACTTAACCTCATCCAAATCATTAATATTTCATGGCCATCATAGATTCCAGAGGGTTAATCCAGGGAATCGCAAAGTCTTCGCTCTAGGCCAACCAATCTCCAACCCCATCTACCAAGCGGTGCTCCATGTAATCCCACGTATGGTTGGCCCCATCGACAACAACCTGACTCAATTTTCCACGCGAATTCTTGCCCCAAAGTATGCCACTCCACACTCCAAAGAACGGACCCCGATCATTCGAGCCGTTAATTACGAGGACGCCGTCAACCTTAGGCTCGGCGCCGTTGAACTCGGCCGGGAGTCCCTCCCAGCCGTGGCCCTGCAGCAGCCCCTCGACAGAACCGAAGTTCGAGCCTGTCTTGAAGACACCGATGACGAAGTTGGATTCCACGGGGTATGAGACGAGGATGTAGCGGATAGAGGTGAAATGGGACGCGAGGGACGCTGGCTGCGGCCGTGTGCAGCCTGCGGCTATGGCGCCGGCGGAGTAGCCGCATATGAACAACTCTGGGTTCCCGACGTCCGGGAAGTCGTTCTTGAAATTTTCCATTGCTTGGTGGAGGAAGTGCTGGCGGTTCGAACGTGTCAACTGACCGGAACAGCGATGCTCAGCTGCTCGTTGGTACCATCACAACACCAAGCGAGCGACGGGGCGAAGACCAGATCGATGAAAACCCACATTATAATGATGGTGTGCAACATCTCCGATCCAGATTGTCCAGTCGGCATGAAAGTCGCGGCCGTCCCACACGACCAGATCGTCCCAGGTGACCACCCTGAGCCGCCTCTCCTCGCGGAAATACTCGGCGAGCTTACGGACCACGAAGCCGTTCATATTGCCGAAGCGTCCATGGGCAATGAGCGCCAGCCCTCGTGGCGGTGTCTCCGGATCCTCGACGCGGGGCTCGGGGCGCTCTGAATCGAAGGAGGACGGTGCCTGGCCCATTCTCGCGATCAAGGTGTCCCGTGCTTGCGTTGGTGTGTGGCTCTAGGATCGCGGGTGTATGTTAACTAGCCATGGGTTGGAGACAGTCTTCCCCGTCGAAGCTACTGATTGCCAAAATGAGGATGAGCTGGCTTTGGTGGACAGAACCAGATATTCTAGGCATACTTCCAAGGTTATGTACTTTCGTTCAACCGTAGGGGTTGATGGGTATTAGCGCCGCGCTCATGCCAGTGCTGCAGGAGGCCTACCAAAGTCAACATTGAGCAAAAACAGTTCTCACACGATTAGAAACAGAAGTAATTCTATGGCATATGACAATCAATAAAAAGCGACAAGAAAGAATTTCCAGGCATCCTACCTAGTACGATATGGTTAGGGGGTTTCATTCTTGATGCGTGTGTTTAGTAGTCACGCCTTGGACTTTCGCGAAGCAGTAGATGTGTCAAGGTGGAGGCGGAAAAGGATATTTGACTGTGTGGAGTATGAAAGTAGGGATAGAATCATGGAAGAATAGGGTAAAAAGGGAGAGAGTAAACTCTCCAGCAGAGTCATCATGTAGGCCCAGCCCCTGGAACAAGTCCGCGATCATCTAGCATGGCCTCTTCATAATGCTGCGCAAAGTCCTCAGCTCAATTACAGGTAGTGACATTTTCTACCTAGATACTTATGTACACGTACGCTGCCCCATAGCCCCAAGAGTGGTGAGCCCCAATGCCTATCAGGGAGCAATAATGTCGACTCCTGCTTCATTCACACACCTCAATGCATTTTGATCAGGCCTTTTGGTCCTCATGATCAGCACAGTAGTTTAATTGTCTACTGGTTGGCAGCATCGTAACGCCGTCCACATGAGTCTTGATTAGGCCGGCTGCTGGCCAAATTGCCGCGGCAGACAAGAGCGATGGCACTGACACAGGGCTACCCAATGTGGGCCTACAGATGACTCCTCATCCTCGATTAGCTGGCCGCGGGAAATCTCACTCGAAGTTTGGTATGTCTATGAACACTTCAGTGAAATACATGCTTTGGTCCAACTGTTAGGGACGCCGTCAGCATCGCAACCAAGACTGAGTATTGAAAAGCCGATGCCACGTGAAGGATTTTAATCTCATAGGCACCAATTTCAGGCTCCAGTAACTTTTAATCTGAATTGAGGGCGTGAGGCTAACAACGAGTGCGTGTTATCATCCACAAAATGATTTTCTCGTAGAAAATAAACCTAAACCCTAGCGACGAACTCAACGCGAAATAAAGGTACACCCGGATTTCAATGTACCGCAGCTTTTTAACGCTCTTCTGTAATTATGGCACCGGATGCCAAGACATAAGATCCTTGTGGTATTTCACTTTGAGGGGGACGCTGCCAGTCTAGGAAGTCCAGGCCTTGCTCCCGCTTGTCTCTGCAATATGCTGACCACTCAACTTCGTAGCCATCCCCGTCGATATTGAGATCAGAGTATGCAGGATCATCGTGATGGGGAGGCTTCAATTGCGGCCAGTCGATGTACTCTGGAGCTTCCGTATAGTGATTGACCTGCTGCAGTTGTCGCCTAGAATTGATCCATGAGTTTAGGACTGACCGAAACTCAGCCACGGGATGGTCAAGTCGGACTTGTGGATGTTGTTGCCACCTTGATGAATAGTTGACTCAGTAAATTTGCAGTCTTAAGGAGGGGGGGTGGGGGTGTCACGTACTGTTCCATGTTGAGAATTTGGGTGGAGTCTTGCTCGTCGTGTGGCACGTCTCGGAAGTGCATGTCCCTCGTGATTATTTCATAAATTGTGAACACAGCCCCTTTGACGTCGCCTCGGTCCACATCGTACTGCGCATGGTCCTCTTCCTGGATCGGATATCCAATGCGAGCAGCGAAGTTGAAATCAAACACAAGCAGCTTGTCGGCCTCTTCGTCCACCAAAAGGTTCCGTGGGGCTATGTCCTGATGCTGAATGCCGTATTTGAGGTTGAGATCGTCAACGGCACACAGAAGCTGCTTCAACCACTCGAGCCTGAAAATCCGAGACACGTTTTCCTCAACTGTGCCTCCTGGTATGTAGACACTTGTAAATCCGACGATAACTTCTCTGCCCTCAAGACTATCCACAACTAGCCGGTCGAACGGAACGATAAAAGGATGCGGGGGCAAACGCATCCAGATGTCGAGCTCGTCCCATCGCCTGAACAGGAACCGATCTAGGAAGTAGTACTTGAAGACGACTTTCTTAGCCCCACCTGAATTTGGCGAAGCATAGCATGTGAGGTCCACATTGGGTCCAAATCGCTCAACCTCGCGGAGCTGCCTTCTAGATACCGTTTGCGTCCGTGCCGCATACTCGACATCGTTCAAAGCAGGATAGTGGGGAACCTGCGTCTCGTCATCCTCTGGATCTTTAGAAACGGCAAGTTCATTCTGTTCAGAGATTGTGATGGCGAAGACGTCCGGGTCAAGCTTATACGCGTGTTTCCTCAGGAGATCTGAAGAAGTAAATCAAGTTAGTTTGTGTCGATCAGATCATGGGCGGATTGCAACCCATCAGAGGCACGGAAGCCAGCTCTATGGGGTCATACTTATCGCGACATCACTATCATCCTCTTCCGTGGCAAGATTAACTGAAATGGTTCGGCGTTGATCCCAATCAAGTATGTCCCAACGACTCGGTCCGCCAGGCGTAATCGCGCCGGCGTAGGAGAAGTACTTCCAATCTTCGTCGATCATCTTGTATTCTGAGCGTGGACAGTCCAGCAAATCGTGTTGGCATTCGAAGCAAAGGTCTGTTCGAGTTTGCGGGGTGCATTTCAGAAGCGCACTCATCGACGGCTTGAACCAAGACTTGAAGAAGGTGGTCGGAGGTCAATCAGCCGTGCGAAATGGACTTGGAGTGATCGAGCGGCTATTTTTAGACCCACTTTCCAGGGTACACTTGTTTACTCCAAGGTGCTAAAACGGTGCCAACAGTGCGGAAAATGTCGCAATACTAGACTTATAATTAGATAAGACTAAGTCAGCGCACCGGTCTGCGCACATCCCCACCAACGCACACGCATTTCCCACTAAAAAGGTTGATTTTTACTAGACTTTATTTAATTCTATAAAAATACTATATAAATAAAATTAATATTATTAAAAACTAGATTTTTTATTTATAGTAAATATAAATTTAAATTATTAATAAATATTACTATAAGTTAGAAATAAATTATTAAAGTTTAATATTTTCCTTCTTAACTAAATAACTAATAATTAATATAGAAATTAGTTAAGATATTAAAATTTAATTTTAAATTTAATTTAATTAAATAATAATATAAGTTTTATTATAAAAATATATATTATTATAATATTTATATATATTTTAAAAGTTTCTATTTATAGAAATTTATTAGAATTAATTATTAAAGATTTAAGAAAAGTGGAGTAAAAGAGTGGGGGAATTTACTCCACTTTTCTAAAATCTTTAATAATTAATTCTATTAATTTTCTATAAATAGAAACTCTTTAATTTTAATTTTAATAATTTTAATAGATTTTTATATATAATAAATTATAAATATTATTAAAACTATATTTTTATAGTAACTTAAAGTTTTAAAAATATTTCTTATATTTAGTAAGGAAACTTTAAAAATAGAAATTTCTAACTTTAAATAATTCTTTTAAAAATACTTACCTATTCTTTTTTATTATAAAAAGTTATTATATATATAAATAAAAAATAAAAGTTTAAATAAAATAACTTACTTATTTCTAATATTTAAATAGATTTATTTATTAATAAAAATAAAAATTTTATATATTTTGATTTATTAAAATAAATAATATTATTTATATAATAAAAACTATATTATTATATAGATATTAACTATACTTATAATATATATTTAATTTAGAATTTTAAAAGTTATATAGAATTAATAATAATATATTATATAGTTAAGAAATAATGTGCGTTAGTGAGGATGTGCGCAGACCGGTGCGCTGACTTATTGAATAGGTTTTTTTTTTTTTTTTTTTAGAAAAAAAAGATATTTCTAATATTTTTAAACATTCTTTTTATACTATTATAAAATTTTAAATTATATTAGAATTTATACTTAAATTATTCTATTAATTTAAATATATATATAAATAAATAATATTATTTTATAAAAATAAACTTTAATTATATCTTAAGTGCTTACTATTATATAAAAGCGTTATAGATATCTTTAAATATATATAAAATAGAAGTGAAATTATATAAACTTTAATTATTAATAAAAACTTATTTCTTTATAACTTTAATATTAAAAATATAATTAAAAGTATATTTTAAATTAATTTATATTAATACTTTTAAATAATTTAATTTAAATTAAATTAAATTACTATAATATAATATTTATTAATAATATTTTAAAGATTTAAGTAATAAAAAATAAAAATAAATTTTAATAATTTAATAAGATATTTAAATAATAATAAAATAAATTTAATAAAAAAGCTACTTTCTTTATCTTTAAATAATAATATAAATCTAACTATTATTTATAAAAGAATTACTCAGTTAAAAGAGTAAAGTTTTAAATAATTATTTAAAAGAATAAATAATATATAAATACTTTATAATATACTATAATATTACCCTTTTAAAATTTTATAAAGCTTTTAAATATATTTAAAGTAAGTAAATATATTTATATATAGTTTAAAAATTAAAAAGAATAATAAATAAGCTTTAAATATTTACTTTTTAATTATTTATTAAATAAAGACTTTCTATATTTTAAATATTAAATAATTTATTTAAAAGCTAAAGGCTTAAATAATTTCTAAATATAGAGGCTTAAACCTACACTCTTTAACTCAAAATTCATATAAATCTAACTACTACTTATAAGAAGGACCGTTCGGCCAAAAGACTAGAATTTTAAGTCGACACTTGAAAGACTAACTAGTATATAAGTGCCCTACGGCATACCGTGACAGATAGGAAAGCTATCAAATCCATCCACCATACACGCACTCCCAAGTTTTCAGGCTCCTCATACTTGATTCATTGATTTCATTCCAGCGTGTTTTGATCTCCGCCAGCATTTCACATCATTCCAGGGTAGAGGCCTAATTAACCCTTAAAGGTTACAAAATACATATCGCTGAGGCATTGTCACATTCCCCATCCAAGAAAAAGGATCTGACTTGCATGTCCACTGGCAGCACTCAATCAAGGTCTGCGAGCAATCATAAGAAGTCCATCACCAACAATCACAAGACCTTATGCAACGTCTAGCTCATAGCACGCATCAATATGTCCCTGCAAGGAAGTTTGTCAGCCTCGTCATCAACCTACACACGTGTGGGGAATCTAGGGCCCAGGCTGACAACTTGACTTGCAGTGTCCTGAGTAGCGATGGGATAACGCGGTACGCGGCATGAGACACGTGAGGCATGGCTAGATGCACGTGCGGATGCATCCTGTTGCACAATCCAGGCTTTTCGAGAACGAGATTCTTCAAGACAGAAGTATGTAGGCGGAAGCTGGCGCTCGTTTTCGCATGACGGTGAAATACTGTGGCGTGGACCCGGCCGATCATTTTCGTGGTTCTTCCTGGATCGTGCCATTCTTAAATAAAGCCAGAACAGACCCGGGATGAGCGATACGAAGAGGCTCGAGAGAGCAATGTAGGGGATCATGTTTGCCTTCAACGCCATTTTTGGAATGTGGATTGATATGAAATTGCGAATTCGCCAGACAATGCAATTAAATGCGAAGGCCTATCAATTGATACGAGAAGAAGAAGTAATGCTCCCTGGATTTATATGTAAACGACCGGTTCTGTTCGCCATATTGTGTACTCAACGCTCACCTGCACCGAGCACTGACCACCTAAATGTGGTCGATTTTGATCGCAGGCTCACCTGACTTCGCCCCGAACTTGTGCGAGCACAGCCTGCTTTCCCAGCGAATCGACGCAGGTCAACTTTTTTCTTGCCCCTTTCTGTTGTTTGTGCGACCGAAAAGTGGTCGATTTCTCATATACACCCGGATCTTGGCAGCCCTTCCAAGGTTCATCATTGGTGTCGGGGCATTTTCGGGGGCTTGCGGGAGGGCAGCATGATGGCGCTCTGGTGAAACATGCATTCTTGACAGAAGTCTGGTCGATTGTGACGCTCAGCTGGGTTTGGAGGGGGCCATCTCGTCGTTCATAGGTGCACGAGGATATTGCTCGGCTGCCAAGCTCCCCCTCGTATAGCATGTCGTTGCCTGATGTAGGTTGACAACAATATGCATATCAGCATGCTCTGCTGTGTAACAGTATTCTGGTCGATGTTCGCCGTGGCTGTGGCTTGAGCAGATGCATCAAGCATACCTAGGTATTGTCCAGGTACGTCAGTACTTGGATATGTTAGACTACATACCTAAGTACCCAGCCTTCTCGAAAGTATAAATTCTGTGGTCCCCACGCTTCTGCTGGTACGCAACTAATTTTCAACCAGCCTTGAAACTCTCCACTCTCGTTGTGGTATTTCATGCCAGCCTTGAATTCGCCCTCACCCCCTTGACACATAATGGACATGTCTCTCTCTGAAAAGTCCATTGGAAACACTACGGACAATATCTGGCAACGCCATGAGTCTGAAATTCGGTCTTTGTACCAAACGAAACATCTCGAAGAGGTGAAGGACATCATGGAAAGAAAGCATGGCTTCCCGAAATTGGCGTAAGTCTCATCAATTAGATCATATCAATATGATGGTGGCTAGGGACACCTTGGTCCTAATTAAACCATTTACTTAAGTAGAGTACCGCGTACTAAAGTTTCCAGGTAGCAACAAGACCTGGCATGAGAAGCTTGGAAATCGTCGAATTCGAAAAACCGTGAAGAATCAAGTGTGGGGCAAGGTATATCGACACTGTGCCCATTACAGGCTTGAAGATCCTTCACGCAAGCAAGGTGACAAGAGACTGAAGAGGACAAAGAGACCAACCGAGGTGATCTATGGCGACAGAACGTACTCATGGGCTCAAGCCTGGAGGAATATGAAGCACTCCGGGGCTATTGTTGGACCGCAACTCGGTATGCTCAACTAATTCTATCATCTTGCGATCAGTAATGCTCACATCATGTTGAAAAAGATCCACCTAGCCCTCTCCCACCGGACATAACTGTCCGAACTCCACCCAGTGTGCCTTGTTCCTCGAGTCCACGCATGTCTTTTGACACCTTGCAACCACGAGATGAAATCAATACAGCTGTACACGCACAAATCCAAGTCCTATCATTCGAATGCGCACTCGCCCGAGAAGATCACACCTACTCAAATGGAGGAGGATTGTTCATACAACAGTTTCACCCATTGGAGCCCTCTCCCCACCATCCCCTTCAGGCGAATGGTAGCTGTCTAGCGGACTGCTTAAGGGCACAAATGCTAGTGTTCCTTCCAGGACTACCGATATGGAACCTTTCCAACAGGCTAGCTGGTAAGTCGGCTAATCTGTGCCTCGATGAGCTCACCCATTGACGGATTTTTAGAGATGGCAGACCTGAACGCACCCTCGCAAGGGTCGTTTTGGCCCCGGGGTGGACCAGTCACAGCTTTGACACTGACACCAAACGCCATGTCATCCCTTCAACTTTGCAGTTGCTCAGAAATTCCAAGATCAAACGAATCAGTGTTCCAACTCTCGGATCTGTTCTCATCCTTGACGATAACACGGTCCTCGTCCGCCCTCGCAACATTCACTGCTCAGCACAGACCGTATATCACCCTATCCATGGCAATATATTTATTGTCTAACAATATTTCGTCTCCAGGGCGCTTGAAAAACTCAGGCCACACGGGCTTCTTTGAAAACCTGGACTCAACCTTGAAGGAGATGCCCGCCAGACACATTCGATCCTTACTCCAGAGCCGCCTACCAAGTGTTAGGGCCGCATTCGAGGCCTTACTCAGTATATCTGGTACATTAAAGCAGCCTTTTGCTTTCAAGTCCTTGGTGCAGATCGGAATTGGCAACGGTTGGCTCGCCACCTCTACACAGGGCCACGAACTTTTATGTCATGCTGTCTGCATGGACCTAGACGAAGTCGTACAGATGTTGCTGGAAATCGGCTGCCGTCCAGACGGGCTTCTGAGGTTGAAAGATTTTCGTACAACTGCAATCATCGAAGCATTGAAACGGCGCAAGATTCACTGCACCCAGCTATTGTTGAAACATTGTGATATCAACACATGCAGTAACTTTCGACTCGAATCTCATATTTCAACCACGAGCTTTACCTTCTTCCTTTCAAGGATGAATGACCTCGACGAGATGTTGTTTGATCAAGGAATCAGATTATTCCTCGATGCTGGCGCCGATATCAACAGTCCATACGAGGTGATCAGTCTTGAATTTGTGCAGGATGTGGAGCTTGAGCTGACATGGTCCGCACTGGATTGCTTGTTCTGCTTCTGTCCGTCAGCTTTTCATAAGTTTACACCGAATTGGAGTCCATCAGAGGACTCAATGCCGACAAGAGCAGGAATTCGAACATCAGTAGACCTGGGCAGCGATGCGCTGAACGAATACTGCCACAGGCTGGCCCAACAAGTCAGATGGGAATATCTCTACGAATTTTTCGAGCGCCTGATAATCGAGCAGATTAGGGGAATCGGCCCCTGGGGTAAACTTCCAAGCACGCCAGTACACCTTAACACCTTCTACGCCTTGGTGGATTTGGGTGTCAGTATGAACAAGGCATTGAGTCGTATTCCAAATGCTCTAACTTATTACATACATGGCAGGGAAGAGATCGACATTGATATTGAGGTGATACGATACCTCCTGGACAACAGCGCTGTTGTGGACGATAAAAGTCTGGAGCTAGCTGCTCGACTAGAAAATACCGATATCCTCGCGTTGCTCATTCAAAACGTCGCCGACATCCGGCAACAAGGGCTAGGTGCAGTTATGGCAGCAGCGACCCACAACAATTTCGAAGCTGTCAAGGCACTCGTTGACGCCGGAGTCGATTTAAACACCGATTTCAATCCAATCAGGGAGCCTGCATGTGTGGCGGTGGACGGTTATCTTCAGCCTTCCAGTCTGCTATGCCAGATCATCGAGCGTTGGGAGGGATCCTTTGAAGATCTCAGCAACATGATCTCTTTCTTGGTCGAGCGAGGGGCACATCTCAGGCTGTCTGCAATCAAGCCGGGTCTTCCTGATTTAATGGAGAGCATAATCAGGCGCAGTCGATATAAACAGGAAGGCGTGGTGAAAGGAGTGGTCGGACGCATCATCTCCTTGGGCTGCGATCTCAGAGATCCTGACGTTCCCTCAGCCAGGCTTTGGGAGGCATGTGGCTTTGTATGGGGAGAATCAGACAAGGCTCACCACGAACGCATTGAAATATTTGAGCTTCTTTTCAGAAAAGGTGCCCGCCTCCGACCAGGCGCTCCGCTCGCCACGTGGATCCTCATGGGGGGTGGGACCGAACTGGTAAATGAGATGCTCTATCGTGGAGTCGATATTGATGCTTACTATCATAAGAATGGCCGACATAAAGTGAGGAACGCTTTGCAAGCGGCAGCAGAAAGGTGCAGCGAGGAGTTGGTGGTATTGCTTCTTCAGAAAGGCGCTGACGTCAATGCACTCGCTAGGGGCCATTATGGGAGGACAGCACTACAAGCCATTTGCGATTACGGCCCGCGGTCACCGGCACAGCAGGTACAGCAAATCAACATCATCAATTTGCTGCTTTCTCATGGCGCTGATGTCAATGCACACGCTAGAGGCCAATGTGGGAGGACAGCACTACAAGCCATTTGCGATTATGACCCGCGATCACCGGCAGAGCACGGACAACAAATCAACATCATCAACCATCTCCTTACACATGGCGCCAATGTCAACGCTGCTCCTGCCCGTAGGGGTGGTAGAACGGCGATGCAACTGGCTGCCGAACGCGGTCGGCTGGAAATAGTAATGCTGCTTCTTTCCTCCGAACCCTCAGCCGACGTCAACATGCCACCGTGCAAGAGTCCCGGGTTTTTGCGGCCTCCATATCACATTGCCCTGGATATGGCTGCAGAAAAAGGCCGTTTAGATACGGTCAAATTTCTCCTGGACAACAACGCGCTGAGTGGCCGCCCAGGGCTGAATGGTTACGATTGAGCTATTCGAGCCGCAGAATGGGAAGGGCATCTTGCGGTCGCAGAGCTGATTCGTGAGCATGCAGAGACCGCTTCGGGCTCAGATCCCACGCGCACAGATCTGTCACAACCGCAGAGAGATTGGCGTGAGTACGGGTACGAGGAATACTCCGATGGAGACTACTCCGAGCCAGAGTACTCCGAGTATGAAGAGGACAACAAGGACGATGAACCTCCAGAGCCCGGAGATGAACAAGATCCATTGGTGCAGCTGCAGGTTCAGCACGAAGCAGTCGAGCATCCTGGTTTCTCGAACACGGCACCCGAACCAGGTTTTGTCTGGGATATGGGAGACGACAATTCTTTCGACTTTAACATTGGCTTTCGCAACCTGCCTGAAGACATGGGAGGCATATATGATCCTGACAACGCTATCTCCACGTCCAACATCGACACTGTTGCGCCTCACTGGGGGCTTTGTTAATGACATGTGACTTGGGAATACATGCCATCAATAAGGCAGAGATAATTTAGGTGTTTGGCGATTGGTGGAGTTCTTTATTTGCGTGGTTCAAGTTTATAGGGAAGGCCTTGGGTGTTAGAACGATCTGTTTCGAAGTTCATACCAGTGCTGCTTGAGAGCCACGAAAACACAGACTCGGATAGAGCTGAAATTGATGTTAAGACAAGCCTACGAACTTCCGCCCCTACCTAGGTAATTGCAACCCTCACATATGGTTATATGCCATGATTGAATTTTTGCCCAGTCCAAGTGAATACTATTGATTTAAGGACTTGAAAGATCTGTCTGGTAGTTAATTGAATCTCATGCAGTAGCTCCTGATAAGAATAGTCTATGACAGATTACCGTGGACAAGTTTGAATCCCGAGGTCCTGCGGCCCAGCCAGCATGCCTCTTCAACGTCTTTGGCGTGAAGTACCGTATAACCAGCAGGCACCTGTCATTCGCAGAATGTCAACATTCTCCCAAACATCTATAAGAAGTTCCTCGAGCGCTCGCCGTGATATTCAGTCACCTGACCACTGAATACAGCACTCACCAGGCCAGAAAAAGCCACTGGCATGACAGTGTCATCTCGGTGCGTTCCGCCAGTTTGTGAGTCCCATGCCCGTGCGGTTGTTTGTAATATCCTCTTCCAAGATTCTGTGAGATCTTCATGTCAGAGGCGTCCTGAGATGGCCGAGATAGTCCTGGAATGGTTATGTTGTAGTACTGTACGCTTCATTGTCCACGGCAATAGGCTGGAGCCAGGCTGGGCCGAACCTGGTTTGACACGTCGATGTTCTCAAGTATCGGCGATGGAGCCTGCCAATGAGCCATACGAGCATTTTCTTTAGCTGAAAATATGTTTTCGACACAACCCTCATCGGTAATCCTGATATCCTTCTTAGGATCTCTTCCCTCTTCTAAAATCTCACGTCATCAGTAGTCCCACCTGCGCTGACTATAAAAGCCGTGTTAATGGCTATCATTGGCCACAGGCTGCAGATCTTCCCCCTAACTGATGTATACGGCTGTGAGGCTGGAAGGACAGAGGTATTAATTAGAATGCGGTTCTACGTACAATACGAAAGAAAGCTAAACCGAGTAGGACTTGAGCATGGGACAAGGGCAGGAGGGGTAGTACGTGAAGGAATGGTTGCACACATCAAAAAATACCTAGATAGATGGTGACTGCACATGTGGTTGGTCAGTCCGTATCTTTAGGATCCAACGTGTAACATATAAGGACCCGCAGGAGAGGCGCGGACTGGCAACGTTTATACCTGCTTTGAGGACGATGTGTAGAGGCAAACCGGGAATTTGCTCGGCATTACAACCACATCAGGAGGTTCTCGACTCGATTCAATTTACAAGTAACTAGTTCACTGTTGCACATGAAGATGGGCACCATCCGCGACCAAACTTTTACCAATGGTAAAATTTCCGCTCAGACAGACGCCACTGAGAATGGTACTACAAGCAGCAATTCGAACCACATCAAAATGTCCGAGTACTCCACTGGACTCCTCACAAGGCCCCGGCCAATTGCTATCTGCGGCATGGCGATGCGCCTCCCCGGCGGAATCCACGATGACAAGGCCTTATGGGAGGTGCTCTACAACGGAAAGGATATGCGAGTGACCATTCCAGAGGACAGGTACAATGCAAAGGCATTCAGCAGTGGCCTTGGGAAGAAGGGAGCCATCGAAACTCAGCATGGGTACTTCCTGACCGATGACCTTTCCTGTCTTGACGCGTCCTTCTTCTCCATGACGAAGTCAGACCTGGAAAGGACAGACCCACAGCAACGTCAAATTCTTGAGGTGACCCGCGAATGCCTCGAGAGCGCAGGCGATGCAGAGTACCGCGGAAAAGACATTGGCTTCTACGTAGGAACTTTTGGTGAGGACTGGCTTCACTCGCAGTCCAAGGAGAACCAATTCTCGGGAACCTTCATGGGCAGCGGTGATCTGATGATCGCGAACCGTGTGTCGTACGAGTTCGACCTCCAGGGCCCAAGCATGGTCATCAAGACCGGCTGCTCTGCCTCGCTTGTCGCACTCCATCACGCGTGCCAGGCTCTCCTGAATGGAGACTGTTCGGCGGCGATTGTGGGGGGCACCAGCCTGATCATGGGGCCGCACACGACTGCGGCCATGACCCAACAGGGTGTACTGTCGCCCGATGGCTCGTGCAACACATTTGATGCTTCTGCTAATGGCTTTGCAAGGGCCGACGCCATCAACGCCGTCTATATCAAGCTATTGGACGATGCGATTCGAGACGGCAATCCGATTCGCGCCGTGATACGCGGCACCTGGACCAATAGCGATGGCAAAAGCGCCTCTCTCACAGCTCCTAGCTGTGAAGCACAAACTTCGCTGATGCGCAAGGTGTATGAGAGAGCCCAACTTGATCCTGCAAGGACAGCCTTCGTTGAGGTGAGGTGATCCGCCACTCTTGTTTGGAACATCTGAGTACGTGTGAATGTCTTCTAAATTTCTGCTCCAGTGTCACGGAACCGGAACTGCCACTGGTGATCCTATTGGTATGTTACTCTTTCAAGTGAGCCAGAGTGCTGAACTTCAAAATGATAATTTCATTTGCTTATCATCGAGACACACAGAGACCACAGCTGTAGGAAACGTCTTTGGTGAGACGGGCGTGTACATCGGTTCTGTAAGATCCACGACAATACAGTTTGGCGCATTTCGCATGGACCAATTGTGCCACTGACTATTTCATTGTCCCAATGTAGCTCAAGCCCAACATTGGGCACGCGGAGGGTGCTTCAGGTCTCAATAGTCTGATCAAGGCCGTCCTCATGTTGGAGCATAAGACAATTGTGCCTCAGATCAAGTTTGTCCATCCGAACCCTAAGAGTAAGCACCCATAAGTCACGCTTCACAACCTGCGGCACTTTTCAGCTCTAGTTGAGGCAGCTCAGTGCGAGGAAGTTATGCTTGTAGCGGTTAACCCAGCAGATAATACTAGTTCCTTTCTCCGAGAAGAGGTTGAAAGTCCCTATTCAGGCAACGCCATGGCCGCTGGATCGCGCTGAGCGCGTGAGTGTCAATTCTTTCGGCATAGGAGGAACAAACGCCCATGTAAGCGCTTCACACACTCTCATATCTCGTTTACTTATGACTGCAGCACACGAAAATGGACTGATGACTTGTATTTCTGACGTCTAGGTGATTATCGACTCCTTGCAGGAAGTAAGGCCCGGCTTGCTGGTCAAGAATGGTTTGAAACGAGTTACAGCACTCCGGCCTCTGCTCATGGTCCTGTCCGCGAATAGCCAAGATTCATTGAAGAAACACGTCATGAATCTTGAAAATTATCTGGCGGAAAACCTTGAAAAGAATGAGGCGGATATTGCTTACACCTTGTCGCAGCGTCGTGAACACCTCCCGTACAGAACATTCATCGTCACCAGTGCCAATGAAGATTGTACATCCAACACTGTCATCCAGCCGCCAGCATTGGTCAAGTCGCTGGCCAATCCCGCTCCCATCACCATGGTATTCAGTGGTCAAGGTGCTCAGTGGGCTGGAATGGCCAAGGACTTGATTCAAGACGACCCAGCGTTCCGCAAGGACATTCAAAATATGGATTGCATCCTGCGAAGTCTCACGTACCCGCCAAATTGGAGTGTTGAAAGTGAGCCAATTTATTTCCTACCACATTTTTCTTATGACACCGGATATTCGCACCCGCCAAAACGGAGGGTACACCCATAGTACCTAGGTACTTAAGTAGGCAGCTTAGAGATCAAGGTACTCAGGCTAGCAACGACCTAATTATCTTATGGGCTTATCCTACAGGAGGTTATTCCATAGGAGGTTGTCCTAGGAGGTTGTCCTGTAGGAGGTTGTTCTGTAGGAGGTTATTCCATAGGAGGTTGTCCTAGGAGGTTGTTCTGTAGGAGGTTGTCCTAGGAGGTTGTCCTAGGGGAGGTTGTCCTAGGAGGTTGTCCTAGGGGAGGTTGTCCTGTAGGAGGTTGTCTGTCCTATAGGAGTTTACTCCTTGGGGCTTGGGTGTACCCTCCATTTCTGCGGGTGTGAATATCCAATCTCTTTCTCTTGAATCCTAGATCAACATCTATTTGCTTACATGGACAAAACAGATGAGCTCCTGGAACCAGCTACGAGCAGCAGACTTGAGAGGGCTGAGTTTGCACAACCATTATGCACGGCTATTCAGATTGCCCTCATCGAAACGCTCCGCCGGGCAGGAATTATCCCAACTGCCGTCGTTGGACACTCAAGCGGAGAAATTGCCGCCGCGTACGCGACTGGAGCACTTTCCATGGCTGAGGCTATGATCATAGCTTACTATCGTGGATACGTGACGAAAGAAGACACCCGTGCTGGTGGCATGGCTGTTGTCGGCATGGGCCGTGACTCTGTCGTCCCTTTCCTCGAAGGTGACGTAATTGTGGCGTGCGAGAACAGCCCCGACAGCAGTACCATCTCAGGAGATCAAGAAGCGGTGCAGAGGATCATCGAGACCATCAAGGCTGAGAAGCCAGATGTCCTGGCAAGACGTCTCAAGGTCAACACGGCATACCACTCGCACCACATGCACTCTTTCGTCGAATCATACGTAGCTCTGGTTGAACATGAGCTGGGGACCAAGGGTCTCTGCCGGAACGAACCCACGATTCCTATGTACTCGAGCGTACACAACCTGGTAATCAACCGTGCAGCTCTGCTGTGTCCAAAATACTGGGGAGAGAATCTGGAGAATCCTGTGCGTTTTCACCCAGCCGTTTTAAATATCCTGAAGGACCAGCCACATAATCTCTTTGTCGAAATCGGCCCCCACTCAACCCTTGCCGGTCCCCTGCGGCAGATCCTCGGCGAGGCTCGTTTACCATGTAATTACATCCCGGCCATGATTCGCTCAAGGAACTGCAGCAAGAGTCTTCTTTCTGCACTCGGTCAGCTCTTCCAACAGGGTGCTGCTGTCGACTTCAAGGCTATCATCCCCAGGGGAGAAGTTGTACATGACCTGCCAGCCTATGCGTGGGACCACAGCCAGTCCCACTGGGCTGAGCCCAGAGTCTCAAAGCATTGGCGATTTCGACCGTATGGACATCATGCGCTTTTAGGCCAGAGAATTCCTGAAAGTACTGCCTTTGATCCATCGTGGCGAGTGGTGCTCGACCTCGAGGACGAGCCATGGCTAGCTGATCACAAGGTACGCGATGACATCGTGTTTCCTCTGGCGGGATACGTTGCTATGGCTGGCGAAGCGATCCGTCAATTGTCAGGCATTGAGACGGGTTATAGTGTGCGGCACGTGGTGGTCCACACTGCCCTCCTTTTGGCCGAGTCTAAGCCGGTCGAAGCTGTCACCAGTCTCCGGCGGCGGCGGCTGACCGATTCTGCCGACTCGGATGCATATGACTTTGTCATCTCGTCGTGGTCAGGGTCCAACTGGATCAAGAACTGCGAGGGGCTGGTGCGTCCAATGGAACAGAGATTGACCGTGCATGCCGACGGGCCAAGGTCCATTGATGTCGCCTCTGACCGAAGGACATCCGCTTCAAAGTGGTACGAGATCATGGCGCGTGTTGGGCTCGTATATGGACCAGAGTTCCAAGGCATAACTTCTCTGTCATCGTCAACCACAGAGAAGCTAGCCGCAGCCACCATCACCAACTCGTCGGCTCGTCAAAATGCACCATTTCCGTTCCACCCGGCCACAATTGATAGTTGCCTGCAAGTTGTGCTCGCTGCCAAGGCTCAGGGCGTTAGCCGACACCTCACGCAGCTCTGTGTCCCAACTCTGATCGAGGAACTTGATATCTCTCACAGTACCGTGGAAATGAACGCTCGCGCGTGGTCTCTTGACGATGATAAGGACGTCGGACTGGAGTGCCTCTCATCGGATGGCCTCAATGTCCTTCGCCTGCGCGGTGCTCAGATGACTCCCTTGGAAGATATAAGGTCGGTCACTGCCAACGAAGACCGTCATGCAGCTGCCCGGCTCGAGTGGTATCCCGACTTCGATTTCATGGATGTTCCTCCGCTGTTCACCGCTCCAACCGCCACGAACGAGGTCAAGCGAATCATCGAAGAGCTCGCCTTATTGTGTATCCTCGACTCTTACGAACGCCTTCAAGGCCTCAGCTCCGAGCAACCTCACTTTACCAAGTTCCGCGAATGGCTGTCACGCCAAAAGGACATTGCGGCATCGGGCTCATATCCCATCGTTGAAAACGCTGCCAGCTATCTCAGTCTTTCCCGTGAACAGCGCGGAGCCCAGATCAACCAGCGTTATGAATCGCTGAAGTCGACGGGTGTTTACATAGTGCGGGTCGCGGAAGGAATCATGCGAATCCGGGACAACACAGAGAGTCTATTCACCGGCTCGACGGACACGTTGGATCTCTTGATGCGCGACAACGTTCTTACCGAGATATATAATGCTGTATCATTCGGCTGCGGCGACTTCGTGCACATGCTCGCCATCACCAAACCCAGGCTGCGTATCCTCGAAGTCGGCGCCGGAACCGGTGGCACGACAGAGCCCATACTCCGGTCCTTGGCTAGTCGCGACGGAAACCCAGCTTATTCACTATATACATTCACCGACATCTCGGCTGGCTTCTTTACCCAGGCCCGCGAGCGCTTTGCGTACGCCCCCAACATGGAATATAAGGTGTTGGACATCTCACGGAGCGCTCAGACTCAGGGCTTTGAGGCCGGATCTTACGACCTGATACTGGCGCCAAATGTTGTCCACGCCACGCCCAGTCTTAATGAGACTCTGAAGAACCTCAAGCCGCTGCTCCGGCCTGACGGACACCTTGTGCTTTCCGAGGTGTGTGCCGTCGCACGCGCCCCTGGATATGTGTTTGGAAATTTCTCCGGTTGGTGGCTCGGCGAGGCAGATAACCGCAAGTGGGAGCCATATGTCATGGTAGACCGCTGGGATGAGGAGCTGAGGAGCGCCGGCTTTACAGGTGTCGGCACGGCCGTCTACGATGCTGACCAGCCTTATCAATATTGTGCTGCCATCGTCAGCCAGCCCGCCACCAACATCAACGCGGCAGCGGAAAGTATGTTCCTTACCCTCCTTTGCTCCAAGCCCGAAGAGGGTGTTAGCAAGCGCCTCTTGGATGGTCTCACAATGGCCGGGTACAAAGTCAATGTTGCCAACTTGGACGAAGTGAGCTTGTTTGCTACACGGCACGACATCATCAGCACCCTCGAGATGGAGGCACGAGTGTTCGACAACATCAACGAAATTGATTTCACCCGGTTCCAGAACATGACAAGAAACCTCACGGATCAGACAGTGCTCTGGCTCATGCCCCCGACACAAGTCGACTGTGAGGACCCCCGATCAGCACAAACAGTGGGTTTGTTTCGCGTCACGCGCGCAGAGCTGGGCATCTCACTGAATACGCTGGAGATCAACGAGCGCGAGAAATGCTTTGCTGAACTCGTTATCAAGGTGTTTGAAAAGGTTAGGACTTGTGAGGATACAGGAAACATCGCACCCGACAGCGAGTACGCTGTTCAAGATGGCGTCATTAAGATTGGTCGCTACCAGCCCTTCAACCTCGAGCGCGAGGTCGGCGACAACAGCCTTCAGGTAGCGCAGGCCGCTGGAGTCAAGCAAAAACTGGCTATCGACAAGCCTGGTCTTCTCGAATCGCTGCATTGGGTCACCACAAATCGTATCGAGCAGCTAGGTGCGCGCGAGGTCGAAGTTGAGGGCCGCGCCGTGGGCTTGAATTTCAAGGTGAGTTATATGTCACAGCATTCTTCCCTCGAAAAAGAGCATGTTGATACTGGGATATTGCCTGACAATCCGACAAGGATATCATGGTTGCCATGGGAGTCCTCAAATTTGGCACCGGCGACAAGGACGCACCGATCGGACTCGAAATCACAGGTGTCGTATCTCGTGTCGGCTCGCAGGTCAGTGAAATTGCTATCGGAGATCGAATCTGCGGTGTTGCCGTGGAAGGTTGCTTCTCAACTCATGTGGTTCTCTTGGACACACTGGTCCTCAAGCTTCCGGACGAACTCAGCTTCGAAGAAGGTGCAACCATGCCGGCCTGCTATACGACGGCCGTTCATGCACTTATTGAAGTTGGCCAGCTGAAAAGAAACCAAGTACGTACAAGAACATGCGTCGCAATCCTGCCAAGCTGTAAAAATATGCAAGATTGGGACGAAGAAAGCTGACTGAAACACTCTCGGACTTTTCGACAGACACTGCTCGTCCATTCGTCCTGCGGTGGAGTCGGCCATGCCTCAATCGAGATTGCTAAAATGATAGGGGCCGAAACCTACTGCACTGTGGGAAGTGACCTAAAACGTCAGTATCTGGTCGACAAGATGGGCATTCCAGACGATCACATCTTCAACTCGAGAGACCAGTCCTTCCTCCCGGGTATAATTAGGGCCACCAACGGTAGAGGCGTTGACCTTGTTCTGAACTCACTCTCTGGCGAACTCCTGCACGCCTCGTGGAAATGTGTTGCAGAGTTTGGCAAGCTTGTCGAGCTGGGAAAACGCGACCTCGTGGGCTTCGGGAGGCTAGATATGGAACCATTCCTCGCCAATCGCTCTTATTGCTGTGTCGATCTTGGACACGTTCTAGCGCAGCGCCCAGCATTTGCGAGAACGTAAGTATTTGCCCCCGCAGGTTCCAGGCATAACAACCCCCCCCCCCCATACACTTTTCAGATAAATATCTCTAAGAAATGGACTTACTGACTAGACGAAATGCCTTAGACTCATGCAACAATGGATGAAAATGTATTCAGATGGCCATGTCAAGCCGATTCAGTCCATGTCTTTGTTTGAGGCTAGCGAAATTGAGCAGTGCTTTCGTCATCTTCAGAAAGGGGATCATATTGGCAAGGCGGTGGTCCGCTTCCCTGGCAATTTATCCTGTGTTTCCACTGTTTTGCAACCCAAGGACTTCACATTGGACAGCGACGCTTCTTACCTTCTTACTGGAGGCTTGGGGGGCCTAGGCCGCTCCATCGCGGGCTGGGCAGCGGAACACGGTGCTCGTCACCTCGTCTTCCTTTCAAGAAGTGCAGGAAAAGGGGAACATGACCAGTCCTTCTTCAGTGAGCTCAGGAGCATGAACTGTTCTGTCACTTTTGTTGCGGGCAAGGTCGATGACGAAAATGCTATCGTCGAGTGTATTCGGGCGGCGCCGAGACCGATCAAGGGAATCTTTCATCTAGCTATGGTTCTCAGGGTATGTCTGTTCTTCTTTCTGTTTTTCTTTTCTTTTTCTTTTTCCTTTCCTCCTTTTCCCTCCCTCCTTTTCCCTCCCTCTTTTCCCCTCCCTCTTTTTTTCCCCCCTTCTCTCCTTCCTAACCCCCTAGTCCCTCCCCTATCCTCACCTCCCTCCTCCATCCTAACCTCCCTCCTCTATCCTAACCTCCTTCCTCCTACCCTCCCTCCTACCCTCCCTCCCTCATTTTTTCCCCTGCCTCTTTTTCCCTCCCCCTTTTTCCCTCCCTCTTTTCTTCCTCTCCCCAATATATCTTTACTCCCTCTTCTCCAAGTAACGACTAACTGAGTGCCTTCCCTTCACGCAGGATGGACCTATGCTTGACCTCTCGTATGAGGAGTGGACCTCCGCGGTAGGACCCAAAGTCAACGGTGCCTGGAATCTGCACAATGCGTTCCTCGACCAGCCACCCCTTGACTTCTTCGTGATGACCAGCTCGTTAGTGACACTGGGTGACCGGGCGGGGCAGAGCAACTACGCGGCCGCCAACACGTTCCTCGAGTCCTTTTGCCAGTATCGACACAAGATGGGCCTCCCCGCGTCGGCGATCGCAGTCTGCCCCATCGACGACGTCGGCTTCGTCTCCGAGAACACCGCCGTCCGCCGTAAGCTCAAGTCCGAGGGCCTATACTTCCTGCCCGAGAGCGAGATGCTGGATTACATGCAGCTCGCAATCCTCAACTCATACCCGCCTGGCCCGGGGAGTAAGACCGACGACAGCAGGACGGCATCGTGGAAGTCTGAAGGTAACATCATCATGGGTTTGAGGTCTGAGGTCCATCTTGAAGATCCGGCCTGTCAGGTCTCATGGCGCCGCGATCGGAGGATGGGCACGTACCATAACGTGCCTAAAGCAGAGGCGGAGGGTGGTTCTTCGGCCAGCAGTAACAACGCGCTCAAGGAATTCTTCACTCGGGTCGCCGACGACCCGAGTAATCTTGAGGACCAGACAAGCATCGACCTGCTCGCCCACGAGATCGGATACCGCATCTTCCGTTTCATGATGAAGCCAGAGGAGGACATGTGTATAACAATGTCGCTCACGCAGATCGGAATGGACAGTCTGATGGCAATTGAGTTGCGCCGGTGGTGGAAGCAGGCATTTGGGCTGGATATCAGTGTCCTGGAAATTATGGGGTCTGGCACACTCCAGAATCTAGGCAAGGTTGCCGCCGATGGATTAAAGGTCAAACTAGGAGCACAGTAAATCATGAGGAACCTTCCCTTCTCGTAGTGGTAAACGCTCAGAGACCCAGTGTTTAAAGAAACGCAATGCCAATAACGCAATGCCAACAACGCTCCTATGTACAAACCCATCATATCTTTCTGAGTCAATGTTGGGCGCTCGCAGCAAGAGAACGGTCTGCGACGGCGACTACTCGGGCGTCGATGGCTTGAAATGTAGGGACATCATTTTCATGCAGTGTATGAGGCCGCCTGTCTGCGTACCTATCCAAACGGTGCTTTTCAGGCCGTTTCTGCAGTTGGACTCTGGAAAACCAAAACACTACGTCGAACACAAGCGTGGCACATTTTGCTAGTCCCGGTCGACTGAGCCATACTGTGCAGTGTCCAACTTATCCTAGCGAGTAGCTGGGCATAATGATATGCTGCAAGTTCCGTCCTCATAGACCCGCGGTCTCCATGAAATGTCCCATGAAAGACTCGACTTGGATGATGGATGGAGCAACATGCCGCTGAACATGTGCCGAACCACAATTCTGCGGGCAGCTTCCCAGGGAAGGAACTGAACTCAACGCGAGTCTATTCGTGATTTCATCAATTAACACCTCTACCCATAGTGTTGTACAAGTCGGACAGGGTGCCCAAGCCGTTCCCCTCTGCCTTTTTTGTGCATGAGGCACCGCTCCCGCCTCGTCTTCCCAACCAGCACCACCCATCCCCACCAACATCCCACATGCCCCCCACATCCAACCGCACAAAGATCACTTGAACAGGCGCTGCAAGCTGACCTCCTTGCTGCCGTCGTGCTTGTTCAGGATCTTGGCGGTGGCCAGCTCAAAGTCCTCCTGGGTGACGTGGACCCTCCTCTCGCGGAGGGCGTACATGCCGGCCTCGGTGCAGACGCCCTTGAGCTCGGCGCCGGAGCAGCCGTTCATCTTCTCGGCGATCTTGGTGAGGTTCAGGCCGCGGGTGAGGTTCATCTTGCGGGAGTGGATGCGCAGGATGTCGGCGCGGGCCTCGACGCTGGGCGGGGGGAACTCGATCTTCCTGTCGATGCGGCCGGGGCGCAGCAGGGCCGGGTCGAGGATGTCGAGGCGGTTGGTGGCCATGATGACCTTTATGTTCTTGGTGGGCTCGAAGCCGTCGAGCTGGTTGAGGAGCTCGAGCATGGTGCGCTGGACCTCGGAGTCGCCGCCGCTGGACCCCTCGACGCGGGAGCTGCCGATGCTGTCGATCTCGTCCATGAAGATGATGGAGGGGGCGTGCTCGCGCGCCATGACGAAGAGCTCGCGCACCATGCGGGAGCCCTCGCCGATGTACTTTTGCACCAGCTCCGACCCGGACACGCGGATGAACTTGCAGTCGGTGTGGTGGGCGACCGCCCTCGCCAGCAGGGTCTTGCCCGTTCCCGGTGGGCCGTAGAGCAGGACGCCCTTTGGCTGTGCGATGCCCAGGGACTCGAAGAGCTCCGGGTGCTTGAGGCCCAGCTCGATGACCTCCTTGATTTCCTTGATCTGCTGGTCCAGGCCGCCTATCATGTCGTAGGTCGAGTCGGGTACCTTCTCGACCATCATGAGGGAGACGAGGGGGTCCACGGACGAGGGCAGGATCTTTTCGAGTTTGTATGAGTCGGACAGGAGCGTAACCCGTTTGCCGACGGTGAGCTTGGTGATGTCGACGGAATCTGATACATCCACGACTGCAGATGGGTGTCAGCACGTTGATGAGCCCGGGATTGTCATTGTCGCATGTGGCGGGGTCCCTTTGCGATCACTTTACGCCACGGTAGGACCAGACTAGGCGAAGAGGAAAAAAAACACATACCGTATTTGCCCTCGGGATGAACCTTGACCAACACCTTCTTCGTGCTCATCACCTTGACGACCTCTCCGACGTAGGAACCCGGTTGCTGCAGCAGGCCCAGCTCTTCCCGGAGGAGGCGCACTCTCGAGTTGTAGTCATTCCTCTGAGCCTCGAGACGACGCAGCACGGCCTGGCCCTTGAGGATCTCAAGCTTCATGGCCTCGATCTTGTTGTGGTAGTAGTTGTCGAGCGCCATGGTGATGGAGGCGGCTCTGGGGGGAGCTCTGACCCGGGGGAAGGCTGACGTCGAGGGGAAGGTGGTGTTCGGAGGAGACTTGCCGTCGTCCTCGGTCGGCGGGGGGATTGGTTCGTCTGTGGTTGGTTCAGGGGGTCGGGGGTCGAGCTGCAGTGGTGGCTTGTTGTGCTGTTTGATGGATATGAAGATGTCGGTTGTCACGATGCGGCGCAAGCAGAGGGCGAAGAGCTGCCACAGCCGTTGCCGCAGGCAGTCCTGGCCAACGCGTCGTCCATCGCTTGCGGTTATGGTGGCCCGTGCTTCTGGACCCATGTCGGCTGGCTGGCCCCTTGCTGCCGTCGAGTGTGCGAGAGCCAAAGCTGGAAGATTAGATAAGCAGGAGAGACGTCATTCTGGACCGAGCTTCCACCAGCTCCGGCCAGCTCGACTGGGAATTATAACATAGCAGTGCTTTCATTCCGTATCCAGCCTGTATATATCAACATATAAGCACATGCAGTCTACTGTTGTTGGAATCTGGGCTCAGGTCTCACGCAGCACATTGGATGCACATGTCCAGTCCAGCCAGCCAGCCTCAAAGAGACAAGCTATGTCTCGGCCCTGGGGTTGCCTAAGGGTAGCTAGCGTATTCGTCTGTGACTTGTGCCTATTACATTCCAGGTCATCCGTCTGCGAACTCACCCTCCTTTACAGGTCAAGCGTCACGCGGCCACGAGGTCTGATATCAACACTAAAGTCATGCCCCATGGTGTTTCCGACCGAGCCGAAGAAAGCAGTTTTCTGAGAAACAGAGATCCTGGAGCTTGTTTGCGAACCCTAATTAGTTCAGGGTCTGGGTTCATCCATCCTAGAGTGGTGCCTGTCCAACTGTCCTGGTTTGGCCTGTCTCGGTCTGATCGCTGGAGGGAGTACCACAGTAGCAAGGAACGTATATCCCAGGTCCTCTAGTTTCCGGGAATACCCAGACTGCCTCGTCAGCGTCCCGACGAATTGTGTTAGACGTATAGAAATGTGTTGAACTCAATCGGAGCCCGACCTATGGAGCAACATGGCGGTGAAGCGCCACCAGATATAACTGTTTGGGCTGCACCTCGGTATAGTCTACTGGCTGGCTGCCTTGTGCTGGATTATTGCCCGATCCGATCTGGCAGCTGCCATGACAAATGACAACTGACAACTGCCGTGTCCGATCGTGTGCAGCCTGCCAGCGAACGATTCAGTTATGCCAGACCTGTCCCCGCGGAGTGAGTACGAGTACCTGTAGCACGATCGCAGGGAAGCAGTCTTGCAGGGGAGGGCATTTGACTGCAGCACGTAACTGTGTCCAGAAGAGTTCACCAGACACCAGACACCAGACACCAGACACCAAACGGTCAAACATGACGCGCACCAGAGACGCAGCAGCGCAACCACACCAGCTGAGGAGGCTCGCATCAGATGTCACATGGGTGGCAGAGAATTGGGTGGATGATCTGAGATGTGGACCCTTTGGGTTACGCCCGGCCCTTTCGACTTCTGACCTGCACAGGGTTGAGGCGGCTGCAAGGAATTTGGGTGGACACTGCGGGCCAATCTATGCACCGAGGAGATGTGACCAGTCGAGCCAGTGGCCACTGGCCAGTGTGTAGTTGTGTAGATACGGAGTAGTGTGATGCTAGCCCAAGCCAGCTACTGAATAAACTGAACGGCGGATACCTATCGGTTCGTGGCTCCCGCATGGTGTGGCTCCCCCAGTTCTTGGGCAGGCCGGATGGTGTGGTGGGCTGAGTCGGGACGAGCTGCATGGGCACTGACTTTGCCAGTCCAGAATGCAATGCGACATCATCGGGCATGACGATCCCCTTCGCGTGGCCCGCCGTTCTACCACAGTATGCACCCACGACTGCATTGGGGGTGCGATTTGCACATACTGGATAGGGCCAGTTCTGCCAGTTCTGCTCTGTAACAAGTGTCAGCCAGCATCGGCGGGAGCACAAAAGACAACGCCCTGCATGTTTGGAAACATGCATGTCAGAATGCGGCGGCGGAAAGAATGTGGGTCTCTTCTAAATCCCCCAGGTGCGTTTTCGAGTACGTACCGCTTCGTGCCCAGACCTTAAGCAACCACACCACCTAAATCTAGTATAGGGCGTGCTTGGCAGACGGGAAGGCGAATATACCTCTTTTTTTCGGGGCCATCACCAACTCTCTCATCCCTTCAAACGCTTTTTTTATTTATTAACTAGCCTTGACGCGTCTAAAAAATCTCTGCTATTGCCAAGAGATTGCTTGGGGACTTTATATAGCGAGCAAGGCGGCAAGCCCCCAGGGCCATCTCTCAACTTCAACTTCCTCCTCTTCTCTTCGTTTCTACCACCAAAAAACACCAAAAACCACCATTTCACTCTCTCTCTCTCCCTCTCTCTCTCCTCGAGGGCACTAGTTGCGAAGCGAACGGCCCTGGTAAGGGCCGTGCAGCCACTAGTAACCAACCCTCCCGGGCGGAGCCCCTCTGGTCCCCCGGCCAAAGGCCGTCACCTCGAAGTTGAGGTTAAATTCGAAGTTGAATTCGTCTATGGCAATAATTGCTCAAGAGTGACGCGTTGGACACTTTCGAGTGAAAGTACCTCTCCCCCCTGTCTGGTGTGTCACACTGCCTCGCATTCGTGCATAAGCGAGGGCCCACGGGGGATATAGAAGAGACCAAGAATGTGCCGTGTAGCAATCCAGCTGTTGCTATCCGCCCCTTGTGTGGTGGTCTTGTTGCTATTTGGATCGAACTGATCGACGTCAAAGGAACATTCAAGTGAGAGAAAAGCACCAAAGTACCAAGGTACCAAAAGTGGTTGGAGTACCAGAGTACCAGAATACCTGGGGCTGTCTATGTATAGTGGGTACAGTGGGCTGTTGGTAGCCCTGCGTTGCCCTCGCCAGCGGGCCCGAGGCTTACACCTCCAGGCCCGTTTGCGCCTGTTGGTCGTGCGTTTCCTTTCTGCAGCCCTGGACCCGGCAAATGTGCCGCCCGCCCTCCTGATCGCTGGGCATCCAAGCCTCTACACTACAGTCCCGTCTGGGAGCACGGACAAGAGAGCTAGGGTGCCGGGTGCCGGGGTGCTTGCTTGCTAATAATACAGGCGGGCTGGTGGAAGGATCAGCCTGCGGTTGGTTGGTTGGCTGGGCACTGGCTACTGGGCCCCTTCCTGCAAAGGTTCCCATCCCCAAGCCCACGGCCCAAGGCCCAAGGCTTTTTGTCCCATGTTTCTGTGTTGATCTTCTCGCATCTGGTTCGAGTCAAGTCGAAATTCCAAGAAAAAAAGTTGCCCTCACCACGGCAGCACCGCAGCACAGCAGCACCGCAGCTGCACGCATGCCCCGAGTGTGGGTGCGAGTCTTCTGACCGAGAAGTACACTGCTTGCTTGCTCCTCGATCTGATCGCCAAAACCCTCGTCCTCGTCTCCCTCGAAATCCATCCATACCGTGGCCAGCCCGCGACCACGACCCGCGACCGCTTGTTCTGTCCCCGAGCTTGTTGCCTTGGAACTCTTCCTTGCTCGCACCACTGCTCGCATCATTGCTCCTCCTTCTCCTCCTCCTCCTTCTCCCCTTCCTCCCACACCACGCCTGTCTCATCTTGCCTGGGGTTGCACGCAGGCACTGCCATGACTTGGACCCGCCTTTAGACTGGAGCTCTACTCAGTGCTCTCCGTCAGCTTGACCCACACCAGCTCGGCCAAAGTACACATGATCGCCCATCCTCGATCTCCCCAGAATCACCACTACTACATGTAACTCGTCCTCCCGAGACCCAATTTCGCCCACCTCTCCTCTGCCCCTGTTCCTTGTTTATCTTTTTTTCTCGTACGTACTCGTAACTTGATACCCCCCTCCTCTCGAGCAACCCACTTCGGCCCAAACCTCCAGCGATATCGTGATCGTGCCCGAGAGACTACGCGACCTGGCGAGCCGCGCCAAAGGTCAACAAGGCAGTGCGCACATCTTGCTGCTGTACACGTGCATGTGATATATGGTACAATTTACGACAAGTTCCTCGGAACATCGGACGGAGTAACCCCGTCAGGATGGATCAACCTCACCAAAACAAGCCCGACGACGCCAGCGAGGTATCGCGCCGCTCCTCAATCGCGCCGTCGCCCACAGACGTCCGCAGCGCCAGCAGATACGAGTCTATCACCGGCCGGGACGACGACGGCTTCTCAGAAAGCTACCAGTCTACGGATACTGTGCGGAGGAGACCAGATGCTACCGTAAATTATGGTATGTGTGACCTGCCACTTCCCGCCATATGGCGCCCTTGTGCCCCGTGCATATCTCCCTATGCTGCATTGCCCAGCTTCACGAGATCGCACGCCTGCGATCGTCCTACATTGTTGGCCCTGTGCTGACTCGCCTCGCCCGCCGCAACAGGCACTAGCAGCCCCTCTGTAGGCACCGCCTCCTCGTCACAATATCTCGAGCCCACCATCTCCAACGAGCGACACCATCAACGCGTAGGGACCAACTCGTCACAACCCTCGCGCTCCCCTGTACCGCCCTCGACCCACGAGCGCGGAAGAGCCAAGCCGCGCAAGCCACCACTGCCACGGCGGGCCTCCTCCAACGCCCAAGCACCACACCGCGGCGGCGTCTTCTCCGTCGACGACGCCCTCGACGAGATCGAGGCCGACCAGGTGAACGAGCTTCAACAGAGCTACTCATCCGTGCGGAGGAGACAGCCCCAGGCCCCAAAGCTGAGCAGGATACAGTCGAGCCGGGATGCGACCGGATCCAGCGAGGATGCCGGGCCTCCGAAGACCCCAGTCATCGTGGAGGAGCAAAATGACGATGTTCCGGACGCAGAGGACGGGGAAGGGAGTGTGCAAGCCGGTGACGGGATGGACGAAGATACGCCTGTCGACGACGACGACGACGACGACGGTGACATCAGCGACGCCGAGAGCTTCACGCTCAAGGACAGGCAGGCCGCCATCAACGAGACCCACCCGTTCGGTATTAGGCTGTGGAAACCTGCCCTGTACAAGAAGGATAGATCGGTCCAGAAGAACGCAGAGACGGACATACACAGCTCGCCCGGCGGCAGGGTCAGCAACTGGCTGCTCTTGTTCAACATTGTCTGGACTTTATGTTTTGGCTGGTGGATGGCCCTGATCGCCTTCGCCGGCGCTGTCGTGTGTTTCTTGTTCGCTGCCGCCCCTAGTGCACTTGAGTATGGACGTGTGCTATGGGGATTGGCGGGATACCTCTTCTATCCCTTTGGCAAGTTCATCCGACTTGAACAGCAGGAGGCATATATCGACGAGGACCAAGGGGAAGGAAGAAGTATCTCTGAGTATGAACAATGGCAGAGTGGCGATCTCGAATACGGCAGGCTGTTCTTCGGCCCTGACAGAAACACCCGGTCTATCGTCGGGAGATCCCGAAGGAGTATTGATTCCGAGCCCAGCGAGACCGACAGCCTGCTGGGACGTGGTCGAGGGCACCACAGCCACGGCAGCGACGATGACCTGCCCCGTATCAAGAGGAGGCTCTTCGGTCGTGGCCAGTGGAACATTGGTCGCCTCATCTTCTTCATCTTCTTCTACGCCCTCATCACGCCATCGCTGTTCCTCGCGTCCGCGATATGTTGGTTCTTGGTCTTCTGGATCCCAATGGGCAAAGTTACCATGCTCCTCTTCGACCACCTGCGCCGTCACCCCTTGGCGTTGTCATTCGAGTCCGACATCTCTTACGCTCGCATCCCGGCGGCGCCTCACTCTTCCGTTATTGTCTGCACCTATCGGGCTGTCGGATTGAAATACTGGAAGTACACGGTCGATGGCACCAACATCTTCCTCATCAACCTCATGGCCGTGGTGCTTTTTGTTATCCTCGATTGGGCCGTGCTGGAGGGTGTCTTCGGGGTCCACAACTTCATCACCTCTCCCGGCTTCCTCTTTATCATGGGATTATTCTCCATCATCCCTCTGGCGTACTTTATCGGTCAGGCTGTGGCTTCCATCTCAGCACAGTCGTCCATGGGATTCGGCGCCGCCATCAACGCCTTCTTCTCCACCATCGTCGAGGTCTTCCTGTACTGTGTGGCGCTCAAGGACGGCAAAGGTGCGCTTGTCGAAGGTAGTATCGTCGGCTCCATATTTGCCGGTGTCTTGTTCCTCCCGGGCTTGTCCATGTGCTTCGGCGCCATCAAGCGCAAGACGCAGCGCTTCAACGCTCGTTCGGCCGGTGTGACATCGACAATGTTGCTCTTCGCAGTGATCGGCGCGTTCGGCCCCACTCTGTTCTATCAGATATACGGCTCACATGAACTCAACTGCGTCGACTGCGTCAGCAGTGGTCATTCCAAGCACGGCATGGGGGCCAGGGACTGCCGCCGCTGCTACTTCAGCCAGACACCTGCCCTGGACGAGCGATTCTATCTCGAGGCGGTCCGCCCGTACTGCTACATGGCAGCCACACTGCTGTTTTTGAGCTATGTCATCGGCCTGTGGTTTACACTACGCACTCACGCCGCGGTGATCTGGAACACTGAGCAGGATGAGAAGAAGCACGAGGAACAGATGCACCACACCGCAATGGGCGGCCGCTCGGCGCCTCGCAGCGGGTACCCATCCATCGGCGAGGCCAGCGGTCTGGACGTGCGTGAGAGCCAGATTTACAAGCGAACTCTGGGCCAGACCCTTAGGCAGGTAGGTCTGCAGCCCGGCATTTCCGGTAACGGCACCGCCACGACACCGCACATCCCGCCTCCAAGGTCCGACACCGTCAGCTCGTCAATGAACATCCCGGGGTTCTCGGAGGCCGAGAACACGCAGCTCGTGCAGCAGATCGCCGAGATCGCCAGCACGGCTGCCACCGCCGCCGCTAGGGACGCGCGGGGCAGCGTTGCTAAAAGCACCCCTGCTACGACGCCTCACCTGCCACAGGGCCATTCTTCTGGGAGGGATACGGCGATGAGCTCGCACCGGCCGCCTCCCATCCGCACGGCGACTTTCCCCGAGCACGAGGACCCCGTGGGTGCTGAGGCCCACGCGGGCGGCCACGGAGGTCACGATGCGCCGAACTGGAGCCGGACAAAGTCTGCCGTCATCCTGATGAGCGCGACTGTGCTGTATGCGATTATCGCGGAGATTCTTGTGGACACGGTCGACGTGGTCCTGGAGGGATTTGCGATTGACGAGAAGTTCCTGGGTATCACGCTCTTTGCGTTGGTGCCGAATACCACGGAATTCTTGGTGAGTTTTTATCTCCCGGCTCGCTTCACCCCCTTGTTTCTGGTGGACGTAATGATGAGCACTACGCGTTATTACCCAGCTCACTCAGACGCATATCTGCGGTTGCTGAGAACACGTTGAATTATCTACTCCTGAACACCCTGTCACCCCACTCCTCTTCCAAAGACGCAAAATCCGAGCACATTTTCCCCAGTCAGGTCTTACTAACCGTGACCCCCACCAGAACGCCATATCCTTCGCCATGAACGGCAACATCGCCCTCTCCATGGAGATCGGGTCCGCCTACGCCCTGCAGGTCTGCCTCCTCCAGATCCCGGCCCTGGTCCTCTTCAGCGCCGTGTACACGGTCACGCTGCCCAACGGCGAGCTCCCGCTCGACATGGCCAAGTACACCTTCTCGCTGCTCTTCCCGCAGTGGGACATGGTGACGGTCATCCTGTGCGTCTTCCTGCTGAGCTACATGTACGGCGAGGGCAAGAGCAACTACTTCAAGGGGTCCATCCTGCTGCTGAGCTACCTCGTCGTCGTCACGGGGTACTACTTTACGGGCTTCGGCATCGGGATCGACTCCCTCGGGGCCGGGGCGAACCGGTTCGACGTCTGGGATGCGCAGGCTGGGGGCTGGGTCTCGCAGTCCCCGGCTGGCGCGGGCGCGGCGGGGCCGGAGAGCTTCAAGACCGTCGGGAGGACGGTCTCTGGTGTGCTGTACTGAAAATATAAAGGTTGGCTGGCTGGCTGTGGTATGGTGTAGGGTTGGAAGCTAGCTGGGTGTGAGCGAACCTCATGGATCTGCATGCATGGCGTGGCATGGTGTGGCATGGTGTGGCATGGTGTGGCATGGTGTGGCATGGTGTGGCTGCTGCTGTGTGGTACCCGCCGGGCCGGAAAGACGGGCGGCATTGGGGGTGTTTTGTGTTTCTGGGGTTGTTAATATCTTGTTCAATCTGTTGTTGGTTCTCTCTGATCTTGCTTCATCTTGGATCGATGTCATTGCGTGCGTGCGTGCATGGGAGAAGGACGTGCTGTGTGTCTGTGTGCCCTGGATGATTTAGCGTCAGGACACGGCCGGCCGGCCCTCCTCTCTTCTCCGGTCATCTTTTTTTTTTTTTCCTTTTGTCCTTTCTTTTGTTCTTTACGGTGTGGCTGTAGATGCATATCCGATATCCCATCTTTCTCTTCTGTTGTGTTAGAGTGTCTGCTGGCCTTGCTTGCTTGCTTGTGTGAAGAGGTGCTCGTGGTGTACACTCCCTGGCTGGCTGGCTTGATGAACGCGAGCTCACATTTGCATGTGCCTGTTCGTTCCCCTGTGTGGAAAGGGCTAGACTGCGAGGCTAGCCTTGAAGTTCTACATACTCGCATGTAATTAGTTGCCCCTACGACTGGCCCGGCCCGCCCGGATGAATCCCACCCCGCCCGGGTGTCCTGTGTTTTACACGTTCATGGGAAAGCTTTGTGTTGTTTATGGGTAAATGAGTTTGCGAGCCGGTAATGCATATAACTGTACTATATATCTCCACACATCAAATACGACCTCCCCGTCTCAACCTGGCTCGCTTCTCCACCTCCCACCTCCCCACCGAGGGGGGGGGGCAACAATAAAAGGGCAGCACGTCCTCAAGCTTTATCGATGAAGGGGTCATCCGGCGACTCGTTCCCATATATCGGGGTAAGAGGCGAGGACTCAGCTACCGGAGTGAGAGGTGAGTCGGTATTGCCTCGTCCGCCACCACCACCACCACCACCGCCGCCGCCTGGCGGAGGCGGAGTCCAAGGGTCAATGTCATAGGAGGAATAGTCAAACGGCTCCTCGTCGACCGGCGGCAGCTGGGTGGCGGGGCCGCCCTCGCCGCCGTCGTTGTCGTTGCTCCCGAACGGATCTGAGAGACTTGAGCCGAGGCTTGAGAGACTCGAGGATCTCATCAGCACGTCCGATCCTTGTTCCGCCGGCGGGTTGGCGGTGGGGCCGCCGCTCTGTGGCGGCGTCGGTAGCTGTGTGGCGTCGCCGTCGCCGCCGTCGCCGCCGTTGTCGTCGTCGTTGCTCCCGAACGGATCTGAGGGGCTTGAGGCGAGGCTTGAGAGACTTGAGGATCTCATCAGTACGTCCGATCCTTGTTCCGCCGGCGGGTTGGCGGTGGTCGTGGTCGTGGGATTAGTTGGCGCAGCAGCAGGAGGTTCGGCTGCCGTCCCAGCCCCTTCCACGCAGTCACACGCCCGCAAGGTCAGCATGTAGTTCGCCCTCCGCGTCAGCATGTCCAGCGCGGAGTGCAGGCCCGCGTTGCTCAGCCGCTCGCCGCTTTGTGCCGACTGGATCCTGTTGCCGTGGATGGGGCAGGGCTCGTCATCCTCAGGCTGGCTTATGTTGTCGTCCTGGCCGAGGCAGTCGCAGTCTCGGCCCTGGCTCCCGCGGGTGCTGGCGATCAGGTCCTGGAAGGCCTGGAAGTCGTTCTGCAGGCGTTGGAGCTCGGTCTGGAGGTACTCGTCCGTCGGGAGGGGGTAGTAGCGGGCTACCTCTTCTGCTGAGGCCATGGTTTATTTGATGTTTTTGTTCTCTTCTTTTAGGGGGGGGGGGGTTGTTCCTGGACCAGACAACCGGTGACAAAGTTGCTTTCGCTTTTTCCTTTCTCCCTCTCCGTAAATACTAGGGTAACTGACTTTTGAAGCGAACTGTTTCTTTTTCACATCTACTTGAAGAACCCAGAATTCCTCTTGGGAAAAATAGCGATTTGGCGCACCTTTGTGAGAAGTTTCAGGTGGAGGACCGGTTGCGGCATTGAAGGTTAAGTGGAATGAATGTACGACAAAGACCAGAGTCGCTCTTGTGCCCATTGTTACCTAGCACGCTCAGTGATACTTGGAGTAAAACACAGCAGCCACCGCTCCGACTCTAATACGCTCCAAAGACAGCTCGTTATTCATCCGGAATCGATCAATCTACACGGCTGCTACCACACGCCACGATCACCGCCTCCGGAGCAACGAAGGTGGGTAAGAGGCCCGGTTCCTGGCGGCCACCAACCACCCCACCAATGGTACTAATAATCACACATACAACACAATATACACGTTATTCAATCAATTATGTGATCATTCACATGCCATTTTCACAGTTTAGTAGCTCGTTACTTAATAAACAAGCCCATGTAGTCGATTGCTGTTTTGCGAGAATCGGGGTGAGATTAATCAGACCCAGAACCCCGTCCTAAATAAGGCCGGAATTGATGAGAACCCTCAAATTCCTTCAAGTCCTGGCCAGCCTTCTTAATTCGTTGACCAGCCCCTAAGTCAAAATCCTTTCCTATATGGAAGAGGACGTAGCCAATAACCTCTTTGAAATCATCGATAATGGTCTATCACTAGCCAAATCGTCCCAGAAGTAGTTATGATGTACCTAAGATGACAGGTTACAACCGTATGCATAATATCCTAGCTAAATCCGAGACAGTTCAGTCGGCTCAACGCCTATCTACGGTAGAGGAAAATAGTTTGGTTGCATAGGTTCTCAAGCAAGAATCTGCGAAACATGCTCTAACAGCCACAGTTGTCCGCCAAATCACGGAGGCCAGCAGAGTAACTTGTTGCCCTATACTACTATCTGTTTTTTGCCTGACGAATATCCCTTCTGAATCGTAGGGAAAGAATGAGCTTGAAACCATGAGTTAGCACAAAAGATACATATACCCAGCCGTAGCGCGGTTGGAGAACCCATTTTATGCAACCGGTCTCTCATATGTATGTAGATAATGAAAGAAACTACTATATGTTTGTACTATACATTATGTAGGCGGGTACCAGGTCAATGAGAATGTAGAATCCAATTGACGTCCGCAATACTTCCCAGGGTTGTGGCAAGGGTACTGAGACCTCTTTTCGCTCCGCACACTCATCAGTGTCTCAAATCCTCGAGAATGCCTGAAACATTGGCGAACGAAAGTTCGGCCAACGTATCTTCCCACAGTTGCTCAGAGATCTGGCGCCCTTCCTCGGTGTAGACGATAGGAGCCATTCTACATCACGTTTTCTTGTCAGCTGGTAAACCTCGCAAGAATAATAAAAGAAAAAAGGTGCAACGGAGGACCACTCACGGTACAAGTTTCTGAAATGAAAGGAACCGCCCATGGGTTTCCTCCCCGTGTTTGACGATGGCATCGGTTATCATTCGCGCCCCCACGGCCGAGGAGTTGGCCAGTAATCTCAGGATCATCTTGAACACCGCACCACCGGCCGTCTTGTCAAAGTCGCGGTTGAACTCGGAGTCGTGGATCGCGCTTGGAGAGGCGCAATTAATCAAGGCGACAGATGGGGGGACCTCTGCTGCGAGTCTGGCGATGAAGAATTGCCCGAGTAGTTTCGACAGCCACATGCGGTCCGCCATGTCTACCTTGCCATCCTGCCTGTCGAGAACCTTGAGGAGCCGCTCGCCCTTGACGTCCTTTTCCTTGAACTTGGTCCAGCATGCCGCCTCGGAGGATGTGAAGGTGATACGGGTGGGTCGCGGCTGGTTTGCCCTCTTCTCCTTGGCGATTGGGAGCAAGAGAATGGCTATCAGGGCGGTGGACAGGTAGTTGACCTGGATCACCTCGTCGTGGCCGGTATGCTTGTTGAATTCACGCTTGGTAGGAGCGATGCCAATATTCAGATTTACGAAATCCAAGCGGTCGAGGCCTCTGACCCTGTTGGCGAAGGCAGTAACAGACTCGTATGAGGACTGGTCCAGCAGCCAGACCTCGATCGCACCCTCGGCCAAGTCGCGGCCAGAGGCAAGCTTGGCGGCGGCGGCCTTGCCCTTCTCCTCGCTCCGGACGGCGAGGATCAGCCTGCTAAGCCCGAGGTTCAGGAGCTGCTGCGAGGTTTGGAAGCCGACTCCAGTGTTGGAGCCGGTGATGATGGCTGTGCATCCCTTGAGGTCGACATCATGTACTTCTGTGGGCTTGTAGCTGATCTGCTGCTTCCAGAAGTACAGCAGGCCCGACTGCTTCTCAGGGGTGATGTCGAATTCTGGAGCCATCACGGATGTGTCTATGGGAGCCAAGGTGTTCAAGTTGGTTGCTAGTTGGCAAAGCCTTCACTGCTCTGTTCAAGAAAAATGAACTGAATCCTCCAGGAATGAACCGAGACGCACCGGTTGGTACATGCGCCATGCCCAGCCTGCTATCTGCACCCTAGCAAGCGCAGCCAGGCAGCGCAGGCAGCGCAATGATAAGTGGGCCACGTGAATAATGCGTGAGGTTTCCCTTTAAAGAAGGGCCAACCCCTGTAATAGAGCCGGATCAACGGCTGGACGCTCAACAGTCCTACTTGTGAGGCCACTCATACCCTCTACACGTAGGTGAAGAAAGTCAACCGTCAACCAATTTAATTTTGATATGACATGACATTTCTGCACAGTCTAGTTGACAGTGTCAACAATAGAAATGCGGAATTGTTGCGCTCCTTTAGTCAATCACCCGGACAGATTCAGGCTGGAATGTCTTGTCTTCTCAAGCAGATCTCAAAGGCCGCTGTTATTGTGGGTTCTCTTAGGCACTTACAGCATCTATCAAGCTATGAATCTGATTTTCTACAGCATGTCCTACATTGAGCATTGTCTGTAGCTGGAGTAGCCCATCTTATCCGTCCAAGACGTCAGGCTATCTATGAGCTGGGGACTAATACCCCTGTTGGTCTTGATGAAGATAGTCTCGAAGGGGTGGATGCTCCCCCCTCCATAGTTCCCCTCCGACTGCGGGTCCCACTCCCCCAGCGGCTCGCAAAACGACGTGACGTTGTGACCCGCCGCAGAGGTCTGGTACATGGTAAGCAGCGTGTCGACCTTCTTCCCGGCGGCCAGGATGATCCCCGTCGCCGAGATCTCGCCCTCCACGGCGTCCTGCCGGCTGGCGAAGCACTGGGAGAGGCCCTTCTCGGCCCAGCCCGGCCCGCTGGGCTGGTAGCCGGCCGGCCGGGGGAAGTCATCTGCGTGCGTGAAGAGCTTCTCCAACCAGTCGTCGTGCCGCAGGCTCGTCGGTGGCGGGTTGAGGAGCAGGGAGAGGCCCTCGCGGTCTGTTGCCCACACCATCGATTGTACGTGTGGCGTCGGCCAGCAGTTTAGTGAGATGCCGACAAGCTAGAGATGGATTTTAATTAGCACGTGCGGTTTAGCCCCATGCTGCAGCTACATTCCCTTCTCTGTCTCGGACTTATGCATGCACGAAGATGGATGGCATCATGGAAGGGGGGGGGGGGGTGTTTCGATCAGGCAACTACATACTTTTACCTCTTGCGTTATCCTCGACAACAGCCGCTCCGTCCAGCAGAGTCCATCAGCCCAAGCCGGCATGAAAGGCCCGCGTACGCTGGCGTTCATGAGGATGAACCTGTTATATCGCCGCCACAGGTCGTCCTTCAGGAGGACCTCGGCATGCGAGCCGAGGTCATAGCAGCTGTTATCGCGTTGGATTGACCGGACCCCCGGTGTGTCGGGGACTAACGACACGGCGTCAGTCACGCCGTTGAATATAAAGAGGAAGTCGGCTTCTGCGTGTAGCCCGTGGTCAATGAAGAATTGCAGGTTCCGCCGGGCCTCTTGGCTCTCGCTGTACACGTAGGTGATGAGAGGGCGGTCGGTCTCCGAAGCGGCTGCCGGCGGGTCCTCGGTGACGGAAGTCGTGGAACCGTCTTCAGAGATCTGATGTGTTGACGGCACTGCTAATGCTGGCCCAGTAATGATATACCGCTGCCCAAACTGTGCCCCGGTAATTAGCAGCCGTTGTGGGCCAAAGAGGGCGAGGTGGTCACGAGCATGTTCATACCCAGACTAGTAGGACGGTCGAAATGCAGAACACTGCTTTGAGAAGGCCTCCAGACAAATGCGAACGCCGATGATGGGTCATTGCAATTCTTCCCGCGGATCTTGGGGTAAACGATCCTGCACGTGGTCAAAGACGGAATAACGTGCGGGAAAGATGTAAAACTAGTAGACCTCGGCCGCAATATGAGGAAGAAATAAGAATGGCAACGTGTTTTGATAATACCGTAGTGGGCACACGAGTCACCCTACAAACCTTGTGCAGGTGCGTAATGGTTTACGCAACGGTTATTCCTATGCGCAACGGATAGCCACGTTTTGGTGTAAAGATTACGTGGCGACTCAGTTTAAGGGTTGTCTGTTTGCTTTAGGGTGAAGTATGGCTTGAAAGGATTTGATTTTGAACTTATTTTGAGACAAATAGGAGTAATTAGAGTTCATGACGTTCTCGTGTTTATTTATAGACCTCAAGTTTTAAGTTTGAGACGTTAGGAGCTGTACTTAACCCTAAGGAGGTAATTGCCTCTTCTCATGACTGCCTCTTTATTATAACTTCTTCGTGATTCTCAATCTTATGCTACTATACATACTAAAAACTTATATAATTATGGTGTAGTGTGTAATCGTTGTGTACTAAGTAAGGTTTAGAAATGAAGCAACATTGAACTGTTGCGTACCTGTGCAAACCTTATGCGGTGCTAGGAAGTACCGGTATGGCACCTTGGACTAGATCTTGTAGGTGCTGTGTACCAAGTGTAAGTCTACGGCTGACGCGGGAATAATATGTGCAGGATGACCAATAAGTCGCCACGGATTGGGCTCAATTGCCATTTGGTTGCAGGTGAGAACCACTTGAGCAATTCCGCACGTGATTGAAATGTCACTTGCAGCCATTGCACAAGATAATGCCTTCAAGTCACAGTCAGGACAGAAAGCCAAGGCACGCTTTTGGTGGGCTTAACAACGGGCAACTGGGGGCGCGTGCCCTCGCTGTCTTAGTTATTTTTCGGTTCCTACGCCGTCAGAAGTTAGTCTATGAACTATACAACTAGGGTGATCCCAACAGATGGGCTACGCCTCAGGGTCTATTCTCAGCTTACAGGTGTTTTACTTATGATTCTAAGACTATGTACCAAACAAAAAGATATTCCTAGCCTTTCCATCTGGATAGATTCTCGACAACCTTTGATCTATTGTCTTTATTCTTCTTCAAACCTCCCAGTCGGTGATGAGGCCAACCGTAGAGTAGAAGCGAATCTGGTTGAACTTGATAATAGTCAACTAGGAGAATACTTAAGTACGTATTAAATGCGGAGCTGGGTAGGTCTCACCAGAGAGTTGCAAGTGTTCAACTACAACAGTCTTTGAGCGTTTCACACTGCATGAAGGGAACGCGCACGCCCTCGGGATGTACACAGATTAAGAACCTTGCAACAAAACCACCCAGTGACAATAATCGGTGGTCTGAATTTATCCACAAAAGACCAGTCAGTCGTGCTTTTCTCTGGTCTTACCAAAAAGAGTCGACATGTAGGCCATCGCTTTCCAGCGTATGTATACTCACGTTGACTGGTGCTGCCTCGACGTAAAACGATACCTATGTAACTAAGTCAGGGTATCGCCATCCTCATTTGATGGGCCCGCTCTTGCATTTCCTTCTCCTTTCTCGTGTCTAATTGTCATTTCAATTTCCCAAGCTCCAGATGGCCGAAGGATTTAAGGCCAACGAGAAGCTGAGCATTCACTGGATTCGCACCCTTGGAAGTTGCATTGAAACGAGGCCAACAAGGCCGGTCTAGATCAATTTCCCATGCAACCGTGGGCGCTTGTGCGACCAGGCTTTGGGCAAACAGACCACCCCGGTCTACTTTTGTGTTGTTGCTGTTGCTCGTCCTAGGCATTGCTGTCTTCTAGTCGTCACCGAGTTCCTCGGGAGCCAATTTTGTCACACCTGGGCACCCGCCTCTATACGTACGCTGGTCAAAGGCACCTCGTAGCTTCTCAATGCCCTATCTCATCGTGCTGACATGCTGGTCGAACAATCCTCTGGGACTTTGCGAGAGAAAATCTCGGATGTTCGCCTCCGTGGCACTCAGTCAATCCTACCTTGTGGCTTGCTGTTGCGAGCCGCGCTTCTGAAAACTAATGCAGACTCAAGTGCTGCGAACGACTAATACATATTATAACATCCTTTGAACTCCGCGGCCACGAACCGGTCGCTGCGCAGCTCTCTTGAGGAAGCCCAATTTCCGAGCCTGGCACCGTAATTCGCACTATGAAGAACACCACCTGCTTTACACTTTGCTTGCTTTTTGATATTTGAACCCGGCAGAGCCACTCGTCCGTATCTGAGGATGAAGACGTCAAAGTTTCAACTGATTACACACACGAAGGGCGGCCCATGCTTGCTCAAACCGCTGGAGAGCACCGTGTATCCAGCAGAGGTATTTGGTCCCCAGGCATTCCAGAGGATACCGGGCAAGCTGATCAACAGCCGACGAAGGACCCGAGATGGGCTCAACGGATAGCTTCGCATACGTCGTCGTAATGTAGTCTGGGCCAATCTCTGGTGGGAATGTCGAGGACCCTCTCGGCTTCGTGATGAACCAGCTCATTGATCTGATTCGGTCTTGACGGGCTTCGGCCATTCGAAATAGACATGGCAGCAGGACTAAAGATTGTTTTAGTCTCGCGTATCGGGCAACAGTCGGCTCGAGTCTTTTGCCGTACTTGATTATTCCACGGCCGAAGCAGGCTGACCTTGATCAGCAGGTCGCCTGACCTACCAATGAATCGTTTCGCCTAATGTGGTCGTCTTTACTCGCACCAGGATCATCCTCAGCCATACTGACACTTATCGGCCGGGCGGGTAAAATCTCGTGCGCATCGAGTCAGTGAGCGTTGTTCGGGGCCTGAACTTGTCAGCCTCGTCGGGACCCTCGGCGAAGTGCTGCTCTTTATGTTCCGTCTCGCCATCACTGGCCCCGAGTCTGTCTGGCTGTGCCTGGGTCAATTTGGAAGTCAGGCTCGTCTGCTGCAAGGGCTCGAGCCAGAAACACGCCTCAATTCACGCGATTCACTCGCAAAAGACGCCTCCAGCCAGCCGACCCAAAGAACGGGCAGTAGCTGACCAGAGGGCTGCTTGGTCCTGTTCGGCCAGGGGGAATTTTGAGGAGATGTAGGGCTTTGATGTTCCACCACGGCAAATCTGTCCCGGAGACGAGGCCGATGATACGCAGCCACATTGTGACGGTGGTATGGTCCGGATCGGTGGGTTACGAGGTCCTGTCGACGAGCGTCCGGGTGAGGTTGCTCGCTCTGGGATGCGGCTTGGCAGGGCTGTCCATGGCTGGCGTGCGAACGGATTGGACGCAGAGACGCCGAGGACAGGTGTCTGGTCGTTTCTGGGCAGACCCTGGAAGGAATATGAGTGAGCGAGTGGTTATTATCAAAATCAAAGGGGAGACGGAGAGCGCTGGGGAGGCGACAGGGGTGCATGTAAGTCGGGGCGGGGCGCAGGGATGCAAGCTGCATGAGGCTCGCAGGGCCCCCTGCTCCCTGCTGCAGCTCCCAGCCTCCCTCTTTGTCGGTTAGCTAAGCAGATGCCCGGCCGAGAGTGGCTGTCCCGCGGCTACGTCACTGGCTAGCCCCATGCAGGAACCACTTTAAGGTGGGGCGTGCCCGCCAGCGCTAGTCCCCATCTGGGGCTGTTGCTGGCCCAACCTCCGGATTTTTGTTTACCGGAGATGCTCGTCGTCTTTCTTGGTTCTGCAGCGGAGAGGAGCTGGCATCATTCGAGAATAGAACAGCACCACCCCTGGCCTGGCCTGGCCTGTCAGCCTGTTGCTACTGACGACCGTCAGAGGTACGTACTTTGCATTCAAGGAAAAAAAGTGGTGGCGCAGGGTTGGGATTGGGACTCTTGGCCCTGTTGTTGTCTGTCCAGACGTAAGGGCAGCATCCACTTGGTTCCTGCCCTGCCCTTACCCTACCCTGTCTGCCTGTCTGTCCCCCTTCCTGCAGGCTTGCTTGCCCTGCCTTGCCGTATGCTGGGTCGGAACTAGGTACGGAGCTACAGAGTACATGCATGCATGCATGTGGTTTCCCAGCCATCGCAATACTCGACGCCAGTCCAGGATTGCAACACGCTTTGGTTTTCCCTCACATCTGACATTCTCCTTCGCTTTACTTTCCCTCTCCTCTCCATGACAACCACATACCAATACACTTTTCCACTTGCATTCCACCCGCAGCTGTAGTCTCACTGCCGTCTCCATCTTATCTTCCGTCTTCTCTCTGCTCACCTTACCCACATCAAAGTAGCGCGTCTGTGTGTGTGTCTGTCTGTGGCATATCTGGAACTCCAAGCATTCCAGTCTGCCCACCAACCACCACCACCACCCCGAGCCGTCCTCGTACATTCCAGCGCAGGCCTTCGCCAGGCCCCAGAGCGGATCCTCGACACGCAGCGAGAAGCACACCACCACAGTCCCCCACGGCCCTGATCGCACCGTCTGCCAACTGGCCCGCCAGGGCGCCCTCGACGTCCCTCCGGCTCTGCACGGAGAGGTCGGCATAGGGGTCACCAGCGGAGGAGGTCACAGGTCGGCGACGGCAACATGGCGAACGAGAGGTTCAGAGTAGGGTGGTACCGTACGTTTCCCTTCCCATTTCCAGCCCCGACCTGGGCAGCAACAACAACAACAACAACATTCCAGCCTCTCCCCTAGCTTGTCTCGGATGCCACATGGGAAGCAGTTTGACGACGGACAGGCGCAGGCTAACCAGAACGCTTCTCCAGGATTCGTACCATTCCTCGGCTACCACCATGTGTTGATGATATTAATAGCGATAGCAATTATCCTGCTATGTAAGTGACCTCCCGAGGCGTCTCCACAACGGGCTCCACGTGTGCGCGTGCGAGACATACACCTCCCGACTGGACTGGACCAAGCTAACAATGTGCCTCCTCCGACAGCCCTCCTCCTCGCAGGCTGCTCGTCATCGAGCCCGCTCATCCCAGACATCTTCCTGATATCGCTCTACTACGACGACTACACCCCACACCCGGACACCTCGCAGGTCAACTACGCCGCCTTCAGCAACATCCACTCGCTCGCCGGCGACGCCCACCTGCAGGCCCGCGTCGGCTACTTTGGCATCTGCATCAACCCGGACGGCGGCTCCTGGCTGTGCTCCAACAACGCCACCTCCCTCGCCCAGGAGGTGAGCGTCGACCAGGACCCCCTCAACCTCATCTGGCTGGCGAGCCAGTTCAAGGACTCGATCGTCTTCCCTTACCTCATGTGAGTTCTGCTATACTACCTCTGTGCCCCTCGCCCAGACTTGTTGTAGTAAAAAAACGGAACAAAAGAAAACATAAAGCTAATAATCATGTCTCCCCAGAATCATCGCCATCATCTTCGCCTTCATCTGCTTCCTGCTCCTCGCCACCTTCCCTGGCTGGCACGAGGAGGAGGACAGCGAGGGCTCCGACCGCGAGGTCAAGCCCTTCCCGTCCCGGCCCGTGTCCCAGGTGGCCCTCGCCATCATCTTCATCGCCTCCATCTTCGTGCTGGTCTCGGTGCTGTGGCAGCACACCGCCTCCGTCGCCGCGTCCACCATCGCAGAGGACTTTGCAAACGGCAGCGTCAAGTCGGGCGTCGGCACGAGCGCCATGGTCCTGGGCTGGTTCTCCTTCACGCTGCTCATCATCGTCACTATCGGCCTGCTGGTCATGATCCTCAGCATACGGGTGCTGAGCCAGCTGGCTGACTAAGTCGAAGCGGTCGATATCTGGATGGTGTGTGTTGTCGGGTAGAATTTTTCTTTTTTTCCTCCAGCCGTTATATTTTTGGTGAAAGAAATCACAGGGCAATGGAGGAGGCAGGCTAGGATTAGGATAATGGCATCACCAATGGAGATGATGCTTTTGGAAGGAAGATGTGTTACTACTACTACCATGATGGAAATGATTTCGATAGAAACGGGTACGGAATATGGATATCCCCCACGCCCCCATCCCCTTCTTAGGAAGAAGGGGAGGGGGGCAAAGAGAGAGAAACCAAAAAAATGTCAAAAGGATCGATCGGTCGTCCCACATTCGTCCCCAATCAGCGCCATTATACCCGTCTCTATTTCTGCGACGACGCAACGGCGATCACGAATCTCATCTCCAACATTCGACGCTCATGCGGTATATATAATATGATACGAACGGGGGACACAACGACCAACGATGGACAGCATGGCCAGGCCGAGCTGGGAACTCGCCGGCCAGGGCAGGCCGGGGCAGGACTGCATTGGAACGGACGATGGTCGGGCGGTCAGGCGGTATCGGCGGGAAGGGATGCGAATGTGGATATGGATATATATACATACATGTACATGCAATGCAACAGGAACAAATCTGGCTCTATTTTCCTCTCCCTCTTGGCTTGTTGTTGTCTTGTCGTTCTCTCACCCTGGGCCCGCTGCTCTCTGTTCTCCAGGGCTGTCCTCAGTCTCCACCGCCGGCGATGAGTACCCGACACGTGTATGGAGGCGACGCCGTCCCAAGCAAAAGGGAGAGACAGAGAGAGAGAGGTAGAGACGGGCGGGAGGAAGGCTGGGAGGGGCAGTGTAGAGCGAGGGAAAAGGTCAACGGGGCCAGGGGAAAAGAAGAAGAAGCCACACACCCACCGTGTAAGGAAAACCAAAGCAAAGCAAAGCAGCATCTTAGAAACGGAGTGCAACATATCCATCCATTCAGTAAGAACCACATCAATCAGAAAAGAATCCAATCAACAATTTCCTCAATGTCCGCGCTGTCACCTCTCCCACTACCAAACGCCGCCGAACGCTGTACTTCACATCCAAAAAACTGTCATCTGTGCCTGGCCTGGTTGCCGATACGGGTCCCAGGTGCTATTTACACACTTCTTGCTTTCTTTTTACCTCTTTGACAGAACAAATGCGGCTCCCGATGGCTCAAACAAGACCTGGGCCCCACATGCTGAAACTCCGACCCCCCGAGTATCACATGTCAACATAAAAGCTGCTTCGCTTAGAAAAGGAAATACCCAACCTTCTTAAGGCGGTAAATCGGGTCTTTTCTTTCACGTGGTTGGCACCTGGCGATCGAGTGGTGCTCGTTTGGATCTTACAGGGGTTGGTGATAGAAAGCAGGGCACTGGGCATCTTGCAAGGGCGTCGCCCCTCTAACCGCCGAGGCAGCTTTCTCATAATGCTTTGAATTATCCAACGTGTCTGATATTGGATCCCTGACCTTTCACTACCGTCGCATATGTAGGAGGATTGTGATATGCAGAAGGACAATTGGCCGGAGAGATGGGAAAAGCTGCGCTATTTGGCGTGGACTCAGTATCGTTTTCGTTCAGTTTGATCTCTTGCCCTTCGAGTGCCCTTGACAACTCAGCATCCACCGCATTATACAAAAGCCGGGGAATTCCTCCAACCGACAGAGACTCTGGTAGGGCCCATCTAGGGTAGAAATTCATGGATGATGATCGTATGACAAGCTGATGCACGTTCATTTCCTGGAAAAACCAGTGACAGAGCATACACGTTGGTTTGCTGACTCCGATCACCACTTTTTCCTCCGATGAAGCGCTAAGTACCTGTGGTTGGGCTGGAGCGAAGGGGACAAAGTTGTCCCCTGATTCTTGGATAAAGCTCCAGAGCTGGACCTCCGCATGAACCCGGCGTTCATTTTTACGAAGGCCTTTGCGACAGCTTTTGAGTTTTCTCTTCAAGATAGCCTGCTCCTCTGAAGAAATGCCACAGGCTCCCAGGCCCAGCTCCTGAGACGCTTTCTCGGTGTTGAACCCAATCAACCCTTCAAAGTTGCATGGCTTCGGATCAACTGTTGGAAGTATCTCGACAGTGATGTTTTGAAAAAGTTGAGGCCATCTCCGTGCAGTGGCAGCGAAAGTCAAAATCGCATCATTGTACGATAGAACACGCTTGAGAGCATGCCACATCTTATGACAGACTGAAAAATAATGGTTCTTGCTCAGTTTCTCTCCGCGGAACTCCTTGAATTTTCCCCTGCCCACAAGGATTTCCAGGATACTGAAGAGTGTAGTTCTACCAGTGGCCGTCTCCGACTCTAAAATATCCAGAAAGCATGTCATTTGATCCTTGACTGGCTTTCACGTTAGTTCGACTTGGCGAAATAATTTTGAATTTCTGGTAACTCACAATTGGTCTCTGTATCTTTTTGGGATTGGCCTGAGCGAATGACTGCGGTATTATCGCTCAGCCCTCCATGCTTGAAGGGGCGTGTCGACGGACGTAATCTCCGAATTGTTTTGAGGAGTCTCGACAGACTTGCAGTCAAGACGAGGTTCTTGGAAGTTTGAACAAGCCTCTGGACTTGCATTGTATCTTTAATGTTAGCAGATTCGTACCTACGTAGTCTAAAATTCAAATCAAAAGAGTTGAGCACACACCAGTTTCATCCAGATTCTCTTCAAACCTTTCCAACTTTTTCAGGCAAGTCAAGATCGTGTTCAAATACGTTTCCAGTCTTTCCCAGTTGAACAGCAGTATTCGTTGTGATGCAGCACGAAAGGTTTTCAGAACGATTTCCCGCCCAGGGAAGCAGCTGGGCGTCTCTGTGGTTTGGAAAGCACTCAAAACATATTCAATGTGAGACTCCACAGCGCTCATATCATCCGGTCGGCCGTTGGACGCAACTTTGTATCGCAGGGGCTCATCAGGTCCCGGGCGATAGACCGTGACGGCCGTAACTGTATTTCCATCGTGTCTGCTCGCACAGATCTCAGCCAAACGATCCAGGAACTCTCGGAGTCTTCTTTCGTCCGGGAGATCTTTCAAAAGCCGCTGATCTGGCAGCCTGGACCGCTCAATCTTGTAATGGTGTTCTCTCTGAATACCGAGAAGACTGGAGAGGAGAGCCAGGCGCTTATAAAAAGCGATTTCGCAGGCAACGCTGTTGTCAAACCAGCTCATTATGGTATGTGGGTGTGCTAAGTACAAATTTTGTAGCGTAATCTGTGCGGCTAAGGCGTAATTCCAAGCAGTAGACTGCGGCTGGGAATAAGAAGATTCTTGGAGAAGTGTTACTACTGCAGCAAGTGAGTTCGACATCCTGACACATAGTCAACGGCCTCTGCGAGTTAATATATAAGTTTGTGCTGGTTGGAAGAGTGTGGAGCTTTCTAACTCGCAATTCCAAATTTTCAATCGTGCAAATTACAGTCCTTTGATGATATCTCTCGCGTTTTACATCGTGGAAGAGCCCTTTCCGGGGGGGTCTTTGATGGCAAATGGCATACGGAATTGTGAAACATATGCCACAATTATACACCACTTGCCTTCAGCACTAATAGCGCAGAGGTGTAAATAGTGACAGTAGACCTGTCATATCGCATCTGGGGACCGTGACACCCTGACTGGCAAATCTTTGTCACGGGCCTGGGAGTGGTATAACGCGACTATTGGAGTAGGGACCTCAAACATTCATCCATCATTTCTTTATTTGTATCTATTCACTCTATTTGAAAGTCTGTCTCCGTCGTATCTCATATACTCAAGCGACCATATCGAGAGGTACGACTTGTCACCAAGGGTATGGTGTCTTAGTGCGTTCGCCATCACCAGGGGTCGCCCTTTATTCATGAAGGGTTCAATTGCCTAAAAACACGAGTAATCAAGCGAGAAGTTTGTGTTCTTTATTTTGCATTGCGGTCCTCATGACGGGATACTCAGCTAGGCGGAAATAGATCACGAATCCACTTTCGTGAGGGAAGGGATCAGATGGACTGCCTACCTACTTAAGTAGGTACCTGGTGTACCTAGGTGGTTTCGCTTCTATTCCGTATACGTCCGAGGACATACATGGCGCCTTCATGCGGTGGCAAACGCTCAAGACCCAGCGCTTGAAAAAGATACGGTGTTGATAACTATAGTTATAATGTGATCAATAACAGTACCATGATTATCACGACAATGCCAATAAGCCCTGCCAAACCATAGCCAAAGATCAAACCACCCAGGCGCACATCTTTTAGCATGCCAACAATAAACAAAGCAAAGAAAACCGGCCAAAAGTAGACCAAAGTTCCAACCATGACAGCTACAGGCAACGTTCTCAACATCTTCCGCCCTGTGTTCCCCGCCTTTCGCCCCATATCCTCTGCCTTCTGGATCAACCACATCGTGAAATGTAACCCAAGAAGTATCAGAGCGACCAGCGTAAGAAGAATGACCACAACGCCACAAAAGTCGTAGAGGAGATAATCAAGGTCTTTGAATCTCGTTTGCATGCTAAGCAGGCTAGTAGCAAGGCTAAGAGGCAGGAATACAGCTGCTAATGTCGCCAGTATCCACTGGTTTTTCGAGTCCTCCACACTTTGACGAGCCTCTAGGAGCTTTAGGTCGTGCTCCAGAGATCTGGGTATGTCGTCCGCCAGTCGCCTGAGGTCGGAGGCCAGGCCTTTGACGCCCGCAACAATCTTCCTGAAGTCTTCGTCTTGATCTCGGATACTAGTTGTATCGCTAGCTGTTTGAAGCAAAGATTCGAGTATGGCGTTGGAATCGGTCACCTTATTCTGGATGTGGCGATGCAGGTATGCATCTGTGATGATTTCATCCATAACACCGGGTAGCAGCCGTGCGTTGCGCGCTTCCAGAGCATCGCGTCGCAGGTTTTGGTATGAACGCCTTGCTCTCACGAGAGTTTCCAGCAGATGGAGAAGTTGCGTGTGGGCGAACCAGAGCATTATGGCCATCTTGCGGTGATGACTCCGCTCGTTGTTCCTTAGAAGGGAGTGGTAATTCGCCCCAACACTTTTGAGCTTCTCAATAAAACGACGAACCATATCGCCTACCGACACACTCAGCACCGTTCTATTGTAAGTTCTGAGTGATATCAACACTATATATAACAATAATTTCAGCTTAGCTTTGGTGCATTAAAGAAGAAAACAAACTTTAAATAATCTAATTTACATATTAGCTATACTGTGCTTTAGTGCGTACTTAAGAGGGTTACTATAAGGATCTAGGGCTTCTAAGTTATTTCCTTACTTTAAAGCCCTTTTTTACTACTTAAAGTTATTATTAAAATATTTATTTCTATCTAATAGTTAAAATAATATAAATAATTAAATATAAATAAAATTTTTAAGAATTTAAATAAACTTTAAAGGTTAGAAATAATTATTAAAAAAGAGGGTTATAGGATTAAAAATAAACTTATTTAAAAGACTTCTTTTTTAAAAAAGATTCCTCTTTAATTCTCTATTAAGCTTCTTTTATTTAAGTATATTTATTAGATTTAATACCACATTATAGGTAATTTAATAGTAAAATTATAGTTTTTAATAATATTATATTACTTATTTTATTTTATAGACTCTCTATATTATAAGGGTTAGTTTTATTATACTA